TAGCTTTAAGCATATGGATAGTTAATATTTATATTTTCATGATAATGTTATGTGAAATGAGTGTTTCATGTTACACTATAAGTCGTTGGAATTAGTCAGTGCTGTCATTGTTAAAAGAAGTTATATTTCTTTGAGCATATCTGGCTGGATACTATTATTATCTGTAAATATAAGAACAGAATTAGGCTTCATCAAGTTCACTCCATTCTTCCACAGAGGAGTCATCAGTGTCCAGACGAATGACAACTGGATTAACCTTTTGCTCCTTCAAGCCATCTTTGAGCCAGTACTCTTTCTCCACCTTCTTGACATGTTCAACACATGCATGCCAGCGTGCAATGTCAATGTCACATATAGCAGTGTTGACAATGTGCTTGACATCATTCAACTTGACTGATTGATTTTTCCGGGCCACTGCACTTTCATTGTCTCCTCAGATAAGTTGAGGGTTGAGGGATAAGGGTTGAGATCACAGTGGTACGGTGGTAATCTCAAGACCTTATGGCCGTGTTGGCGTAGCATGTTGTCAATGTTATATGTGGGTGGAGGTTTGTTAGGTTTAATCAAAGAGTACAACTGTGGTTTAGTGGCCTTAATTGAAAATTGTATATTGTTATTTGTTAGCCATTGCTGCATATCTGACTTCTTTGTATTGGCAGTTGGGCACCTATTGTTTGGATCTCGAACACTGTGATAGGGAGCATTGTCCATGACAACAGGACTTTTGTAAGGCAGAGCTGGCAACATTTGTTCATCAACATACTGTGTGAAAACCGTTGAGTTCATTTCTGTATGATAGTCCCTACCATCTGTACTCTTTGACCGAAATACCAGATCACACCCAGGTAGGAATCCACGGTGGGAACCAGCATGAAGAACGATTAAACGTTCACCTTTGCCTGTTGGTATTTTCCTACCATCACTTGGATCAGTGGGTAGCCATTGTCTGGCAGCAGTATGGTTTGCATTGACCCAGGTCTCATCCAGATATATGGGTTCGAACCCATCCTCTCTTGCCTGCTTAATTTCTCTCAGATAGTTACACCTTATTTTCACAATATCAGATCTCTCACACATTACAAGTTTCTGGTTTGCTACCTTCTTGTACTTGTATCCAAATTTGAGCAGTAGTTTGCTTAGCATAAACCTAGAAACATTAATGTCGTGATCCTCTGCAAGGATGTGTTTTAACTTTCTTGTGGACAGGTGTTCATTTCTAGCAAATAGCCGGCGAATGACATCTCTGATGACCCTGATGTCAAAAGAATCTAACTTTGGATGCCTACCTTTTTGTACAAGGTTTTGTTTATTGGTTGTTGGTTTATTTTTCACAATTTTTAGCACGATGTTCTTTTTCATGCCAAGAGCAAAAGTTGTACGTTTCAAGTAATCCGACACCTTATAAATCGGTTTGCTACGTTTGCTCTCTTTTAAAAAAAAATTCAACACATTTCTAATTAAACGTTTAGCATCATCTGAATAAGCTTTCATGATGACAGCTAGAAGTAGTCAATGTGAATGATCCAAACGGTCTATCACTGTGCAGTGCACAGGTAACTATCATGAACTGCACGTGCATTTACCTTTATGACCCACCACTGCCGCTGTTACAGGTCATTGGCTCCCTCCCTCTGTAAACCGTCTGCGTTCTGCTGTTTATTTTGTTGACAGTTACATAGACAGATTCTTAAATACAAATGCATAAAATCGGTGATTTACAATGTGATTAGGTTGTCTGACAAAACACCCACTTGCACAGTTTGAGATCGATTGGGTCATTGGATGAAGAGATATTTACAAAATACCGGGTCCACATGCATTTCATGCCTAACTTTTTTTTTATAGTGGAGGTTAAACTGAGAGTTACAAGGCTTACTATGCAGAGCTATGGAATGAGACTAAAATAAAGTATAAAACATAACTAAGATTCTATCATTGTACCATATAAAACATATTTAAGGTTCTTACAGATGATCTTACTGTTAAATATAGTAAGTAAAAGTAAGTAATTAAATGGGAATAATATCATCCACCTTACTACTCAATATAATCTTCATAAACACTAATTAAAAAACTATGTACATATACGGAGTCAAAATTAAAAAAACCCTTCACAATTCATATTTGTTAATAAACTTAGGAATTGTTATAGTAGACAGTTTTCGGGTATCATAATATTAATCCCCAAGAATCGACTCAAGAAAAAACTCAGCACAGCACACTGAAGTCAATCCAAACATCGTGCACCCCACAATAGTGCTAAAACGTGTTTTTTTCACGTGCCACTGGTCACGTGATCTTACAATGTGCCGCGTGAACGAGCTGTTGCAACGCTGGAAGCAGGAAGGTCAGTTATGGTTTACAGACTTGACTGCAACAAACTGGCATCACTGCTTATCGCCCTTGGCCAGGGTCGACCACGTGTGACGTCACAGGCGAAGGACCGTCACATTGTGTTACGCCACCTCCGTAACAGTTTTATGACGGCTGCAGCAACCAAACATGAGCTGTTTAGTTGTCGATGGCCGACACAAACCACCCGAAACCGGCTGCGATCTACTAACCTTCAAGTTCGACGACCATGTCGCGGAACCATTTGGACGCCATTACATCGACGTCAGCGTTTGCTATGGCCCCGGCGACACCTCTGATGACTGGAGACTGGAGACTGGAGTTAGTCAGGGAGACTGGAATCGAGTTGTCTTCAGTGATGAATCAAGACTTACCCTCAGATTCGCTGATGGTAGGATGAGAGTGTGGAGGCAACGCCGTGAACGTTATGCTCAGTGTACAGGAAGTTGACAGATTTGGGGTACTTTCTGTGGGATTGCTCGCTCACGACGTCTGGTTATCCGTGGGAACCTTAATGCTGCAGGTTACCGCGAATACCGTGACCAGGTGCTTGACTCCGAACATATTCCATGCATGGCAGCACATGGTCCAGGTCTGAACTTTCAACATGACAATGCCCCATACAGCCATCTTGACCAGGAATTACCTGCAGAACGCAGGAATCAACGTTCTTGACTGACGTTCAAGGTCACCTGTTCTCTATCCAATCGAGCACATTTGGGATGCTCTCGGTAGACGTCTACGCACTCTCAGAAACCCATCCAGGAATTTGCAGGATCTTGGTGCTGCTTTGCAGGAACAATGGCGCCGACTCCCCAATAATGTGTTTTCACGCATCAGACAGTCCATGAGGGGTGGCCATACACGCTACTGAACGTTTGGAACATCAGAATAAATTTTCTACACTTTGTTTACGCATTTTATTGATAAAATCTGTAACCACATGGAATCGATTTTTGGAATTGTGATTATTCTCAGTTCATCCTATCCTTCTTAATACATAAATGATAATCTCTATACCACATTCTTGTGTCATTTCTTCTTATACTATTAAACATATGATTGTGAAGTTATGATATATGATAACTCAGTATATATATTTGAGTCTGCCACATACCCATCTCTTTCACTTACTGTAGTTTATAGTATATTTGATAAATATAGCAATGCCTATGTTTGTAAAATACAATGTTGCCATATTCTTACTTATTTCATCTTAATATTCAGCTGTTACAGTTCTCAAGATTCACTTGGTTATAGCAATGTCCAAATATATAGAAACATACGTTCATGAAGTGTATCCGTCCGATACTTGGACTATCTGTACACGTCCATGCACGTATATGCTTTCTGTGCTTGTAACCTGTTACTCTGCAGTGATCACATTATTTTCTCAGCAGTTGCAAATAACATTGTTATTTTTTTGTATGCGTAACAGAAACAATTGGCGAAGATACACACGGTAAATGGCATATGTTTATGTATATTGTTGGATAATTATAGATTTTCGGACTTCGGACGGGAGTGCTTACTAGGGCTACAAAGAAGGGTATGGCGGCACACAGTCGTTCATGTGATTGGAAATGTTTCTTAATATAAGGGTCCAAAAATCAACAATAGGAGGAAATCTACAAGTAAAATGTTCTCAGTAGTTTGTGTATTCTTGAAAAAATAAATGCTCCTCACCAGACACAATATCCTGAAATTTGTCACTGTTCTCTGCCTCCTCAACCCCTCGAGTTGTTTGGCGTGTCGTACATGGTCACCCGCCATTTTGGAACAGGAAGTATTTACGGATATGTAGCCGAAAGTATTGGAAGATATCTTGAAATCGTTTCCCACCCTTTTAGGGCTGAAATAATTCGTTTGCCATTCTTTCCTTTTACTTGTATTGTAGATATCAATAATTGATTTAAATATATCTTAAAAATGATAACTGTTATCTCTAATTTGATTTTAGATATCAGTAATAGCAAGAACTCAATATATATATAATCTAAGTAAAGATATCTCTAACTGAATTGAAGATATCTCAAATTGAATTGAAAATATATCTGTAATACATTTGTGGATATGTATCAATTATTTCAGGGAATCTAGAATTGAATTCAAGATGTCTCTATAAGATTTTGAGATGTCAGTAATTTTATTTTAGATATGAGAAATTTATTAAAGATATCTTCAATTATTTACAGATATCTTTAAACACTTTTAAATCATGCAAGATTATGGCCTGATATTAGCAGCTGAATGATTAAAACCCGTGTCTACATTCAAATTTCGGGCTAGTTAATTATTTTGTGGGCTAGTAACTTTCAGGCATATCTAACCCGACATTTGGAAACTATTTCGAACACTGCCCCCATCCCAAGCGTGGGTCAATCGTAAGATTAAGTATTCCTCCATTCAGAGGCATGACCCATCTGTGGCCATAATCAAGCTGATATTGGGTTCATTTCCAAACACAAAAGCAATAATTAGCAAAAGTATGAATAAAGACTATACACTTCCATGCCTGCTGATGTAGTATCCGAGACATGTACAAATTATCAGTGTACGCCTCGGTACAGTTAGCCACAAAGTGTGTACGACTGTGGGCAGGAGACGGAAGGAAGACTCAAGTTCCTGTACAGCAAGCAGGCGTCGTCTCTCGCCATCAGCGCACAACTCGTCACGCCTGACCCAAACACGCACGTCTCGCGGCCGGGACTTGACACAGTGTTAGAACATGCTGCGATTATCGCTTTTTGTTCTGGTTTCTGTTGGAATAGGTGAGTTTGAATTTTTCTGTTTTTAAATAATAACTATTCATCGATATATTACAAATACAGTTTATGAGTACATAGTTTTAGAAACAGGAATGAAATTATGTTTTAGAAATAGGATTGGAAATATCAGTCGCCATGGAGCGTGAGTTTTAAAAAGTTTATTAAAATGATTATTTTAGATCATAGCCTTGTAGTAAAAAGAAAGAAAAATGTACGGACACCGTTCTAAAAAGAAGTAGTATTACATCAGCAGCAGGATTCTTCAGAATAATTATGGATATTTGATGAATACATGCTTGTCTATACCCCACTTTAACGTGTTTAAGTGCGTAGAAAGTACTGTTCACCAGAACATAACTTTCACGAACATATTATCACTGACCACTTTGCACATAAGAAGACCCAAACAGAAAACAGATAACCCATAGTTTCATCTAAGAACGTGCTTTACAGGCATAATGTACACGTGCTCAACAGATATAATGAACACGTTCTTCACAGATATAATGTACACGTTCTTCACAGATATAATGAACACGTTCTTCACAGATATAATGTACACGTTCTTCAGAGATATGATTACACGTGCTCAACCAGCGTAATGTAAGTGTCCTTTCAAAAACACAATGCACACGTGCTTTACATACATAATATACAAGGTCTTCGCAGAGATAATGTAAACGTACTTTACTGACCTAAATTACATTTTTCCACAGACATAATGTACATGCGTTTTCACAGACACATTATACGCGTGCTTCACAGACACTTTACACGTTTTAGACTGACTGACTGAGTATGGTTTTACGCCGCTTTTAGCAATATTCCAGCAATATCACAGCGCGGGACACCAGAAATGGGTTTCACACATTGTACCCATGTGGGGAATCGAACCCGGCCATCGGCGTGATGAGCGAACGCTCTAACCACTAGGCTACCCAAACGCCCCATCACGTTTTAGAAGAGCAGGAAGAAATATGACAGAATAGACAGTAACATCGACCACTGGCGGTTAAGCCTTTGTTGACACCAATGAACGCAGTTATTACTAACTGCCTGGGCCTGTACTTCACACGTTCACTGGGCTTTTTACTCTGATCAGTGCACAATCCATCCATGTAATGTATATACTGTAGGGCTCTATAGATCCGGTATCAATTGCCGCTGTAAGGAGCAACACAACCAAGTAGACCGTTGCGATATGCCAGAAATGTGCGTACTTCCGGTTGGTACTTTAAGAAGAATTCGATACTTATGTGTCACAGTAGATAACCTATTTGATTCTGTAGTACAATAAATTGGATACAAAACTAACTAGATATTAAAGTTATTATACAAATATGTATCTTATGAAAAAAAAAACACAACAAAAGTAAAAAAAGGGAAGAAAAAAAGAAGAAAAGCATCGATAATGACAAAAGCACCGCATATACTACACTCAAGCTTGAAATAATAAATAATATAAACAATGACAACACTATATTTACTGAAGCATTTACGGCTCTCTTTTTTATTTAATATTTTAGATTTGGGTATTCACCATTGCTTATCTTCAAATTTCATGTTCTGTATCTTTACAATGTATCAGAACATGAAAGAATTATTACGGATGTGTCCTGTGACACTTTAATTTATGTCAGAAACTTACGAGTGTTCTCTTCCGTACAATAGTCAAATATCTTTTAATGACATATAGATTTTGAAGCAAACACACGTCCGTTCCTAGTCGTTCTCTGTATTTTTCTCAGCATAGGAATGACAAGTCTTTATGGATGATCAAGCTTGAAAACGGTATAAGCACCTCTACGTCGCTATTGTACAATAAAGAAGTTGATCATCCATAAAGATTTGTCATTCTAGACTTACAACTTCTAGAATGCCTCCCAAACAGATTTTTCTAACAGCAGTATATGCCAGGCATGTATCGGTCTATCAGTGTATCTCGCTGTCGTGGGGCGTAGTGAATATTCAAGAATATTCGAAAAAGCCAGTAAAGAAAGTGTTTATCTATCAAACAGTGTTTATCCATCCATCAGTCAAAATTGTATATACGCCCGTCCAAAGAGGCCGCGGGAATCAGGCGGCATCGGATGTCATGATATAGGAACGGCGAATGTATTGCATGATATATTTCGTCCTTGGAACACCCGTCAACAGTGTCAGTATGTACTTCCTGTTGTAGGAACAGTGTCAGTATGAACTTACTGTTGTAGGAACAGTGTCAGTATGAACTTACTGTTGTAGGAACAGTGTCGGTATGAACCTACTGTTGAAGGGACAGTGTCAGTATGAACTTACTGTTGTAGGAACATTGTCAGTGTGAACTTACTGTTGTAGGAACAGTGTCAGCATGAACTTCCTGTTGTAGGAACATTGTCAGTGTGAACTTACTGTTGTAGGAACATTGTCAGTGTGAACTTACTGTTGTAGGAACATTGTCAGTATGAACTTCCTGTTGTAGGAACATTGTCAGTGTGAACTTACTGTTGTAGGAACAGTGTCAGTATGAACTCCCTGTTGTAGGAACAGTGTCAGTATGAACTTCCTGTTGTAAGAAACAGTGTTAGTATGAACTTACTGTTGTAGGAACAGTGTCAGTATGAACTTCCTGTTGTAGGAACATTGTCAGTGTGAACTTACTGTTGTAGGAACAGTGTCAGTATGAACTCCCTGTTGTAGGAACAGTGTCAGTATGAACTTCCTGTTGTAAGAAACAGTGTTAGTATGAACTAACTGTTGTAGGAACAGTGTCACTATGTACTTCCTGTTGTAGTAAGAGTGCGTACTTACTGTTGTAGGAACATTGTCAGTATGAACTTACTGTTGTAGAAAAAGTGTCAGTATAAACCTAATGTTGTAGGAACAGTGTCACCATGAACTTCCTGTTATAGGAACATTGTCGGTATGAACCTACTGTTGTAGGAACAGTGTCAGTATGAACTTCCTCTTGTAGGAACAGTGTCAGTGTGAACTTACTGTTGTAGGAACAGTGTCAATATGAACTCCCTGTTGAAGGAACAGTGTCAGTATGAACTTCCTGTTGTAGGAACAGTGTCACTATGTACTTCCTGTTGTAGGAACAGTGTCAGTATGAACTTACTGTTGTAGGAACAGTGTCAGTATGAACTTACTGTTGTAGGAACGGTGGAGTGCGTACTTCCTGTTGTCGGAACAGTGTCAGTATGAAGTTCCTGTTGTAGGAACAGTGTCAGTATGAATTTACTGTTGTAGGAACAGTGTCACCATGAACTTCCTGTTATAGGAACATTGTCGGTATGAACCTACTGTTGTAGGAACAGTGTCAGTATGAACTTCCTCTTGTAGGAACAGTGTCAATATGAACTCCCTGTTGAAGGAACAGTGTCAGTATGAACTTCCTGTTGTAGGAACAGTGTCAGTGTGAACTTCCTGTTGTAGGAACAGTGTCAGTATGAACTTACTGTTGTAGGAACAGTGTCAGTATGAACTTACTGTTGTAGGAACGGTGGAGTGCGTACTTCCTGTTGTCGGAACAGTGTCAGTATGAAGTTCCTGTTGTAGGAACAGTGTCAGTATGAATTTACTGTTGTAGGAACAGTGTCAGTATGAACTTACCGTTGTAGGAACAGTGTCAGTATAAACTTACTGTTGTAGGAACAGTGTCAGTATGAACTTACCCTTGTAGGAACAGTGTCAGTATGAACTTCCTGTTGTATGAACGGTGGAGTGCGTACTTACTGTTGTAGGAACAGTGTCGGTATGAACCTACTGTTGTAGGAACAGTGTCAGTATGAACTTCCTCTTGTAGGAACAGTGTCAGTGTATACTCCCTGTTGTAGGAACAGTGTCGGTATGAACTTCCTGCTGTAGGAACAGTGTCGGTTTGAACCTACTGTTGTAGGAACAGTGTCGGTATGAACTTCCTGTTGTAGGAACAGTGTCGGTATTAACCTCGTGTTGTAGGAACAGTGTCGGTATGAACTTCCTGTTGTAGGAACAGTGTCGGTTTGAACCTACTGTTGTAGGCACAACGTCAGTATGAACCTAATGTTGTAGGTACAGTGTCAGTATGGACTTACTGTTGTAGGAACAGTGTCAGTATGAACTTTCTGTTGTAGGAACAATGTCAGTACGAACTTCCTACTGTAAGAACAGTGTCAGTATGAACCTCCTGTTGTAGGAACAGTGTCAGTATGAACTTACTGCTGTAGGAACAGTGTAAGTATAAACCTAATGTTGTAGGAACAGTGAGAGCATGAACTTCCTGTTGTAGGAAGATTGTCCGCATGAACCTACTGTTGAAGGAACAGTGTCAGTATGAACTGCCTGTTGTAGGAACAGTGTCAGTATGAACTTCATGTTGTAGGAATAGTGTCAGTGTGAACTTCCTGTTGTAGGAACAGTGTCAGTATGAACTCCCTGTTGTAGGAACAGAGTCAGTATGAACCTACTGTAGTAGGAACAGTGTCAGTATGAACTTACTATTGTAGGAACAGTGTCAGTATGAACTTCCTGTTGTAGGGTACAGTGTCAGTATGAACTTACTGTTGTAGGGACAGTGTCAGTATGAACTAACTGTTGTAGGAACAGTGTCAGTATGAACTTACTGTTGTAGGGAACAGTGTCAGTATGAACTTACTGTTGTAGGAGCGGTGTCAGTATGAACTTACTGTTGTAGGAACAGTGTCAGTATGAACTTACTGTTGTAGGAGCCGTGTCAGTATGAACTTCCTGTTCTAGCCACAGTGTCAGTATGAGCTTACTGTTGTAGGAACAGTGTTAGTATGAACTTCCTGTTGTAGGAGCGGTGTCAGTATGAATTTCATGTTGTAGGGGCGGTGTCAGTATCATCTTCCTGTTGTAGGAACAGTGTCAGTATGAACTTTCTTTTGTAGGGACAGTGTTACTGTGAACTTCCTGTTGTAGGAACAGTGTCAGTTTGAACTTCCTGTTGTAGGAATAGAATCAATATGAACTTCCTGTTGTTGGAAATGTGTTAGTATGAACTTCCTGTTGTAGGGGCGGTGTCAGTATGAACTTCCTGTTGTAGGAATAGTATCAATATGAACTTCATGTTGTAGGAACAGTGTCAGTATGAACTTACTGTTGTAGGAACAGTGTCAGTATGAACTTACTGTTGTAGGAGCGCTGTCAGTATGAACTTCATGTTGTAGGAACAGTGTTGATATGAACTTCATGTTGTAGGGGCGGTGTCAGTATGAACTTCATGTTGTAGGAACAGTGTCAGTATGAACTTACTGTTGTAGGAGCGGTGTCAGTATGAACTTCATGTTGTAGGGGCGGTGTCAGTATGAACTTACTGTTGTAGGAACAGTGTCAGTATGAACTTACTGTTGTAGGAACAGTGTCAGTATAAACTTACTGTTGTAGGAGCCGTGTCAGTATGAACTTACTGTTGTAGGGGCGGTGTCAGTATGAACTTCCTGTTGTAGGAACAGTGTCAGTATGAGCTTACTGTTGTAGGAACAGTGTCAGTATGAACTTCCTATTGTAGGAGCGGTGTCAGTATGAACTTCATGTTGTAGGGGTGGTGTCAGTATGATCTTCCTGTTGTAGGAACAGTGTCAGTATGAACTCCCTGTCGTAGGAAGTGTCAGTATGAACTTCCTGTTGTAGGGACAGTGTTAGTGTGAACTTCCTTGTTGTAGGAACAGTGTCAGTTTGAACTTCCTGTTGTAGGAATAGTATCAGTATGAACTTCCTGTTGTTGGAAATGTGTTAGTATGAACTTCCTGTTGTAGAGGCGGTGTCAGTATGAACTTCCTGTTGTAGGAGTAGTATCAATATGAACTTCCTGTTGTAGGAACAGTGTCAGTATGAACTTACTCTTGTAGGAACAGTGTCAGTATGAACTTACTCTTGTAGGAACAGTGTCAGTATGAACTTACTCTTGTAGGAACAGTGTTAGTATGAACTTCATGTTGTAGGAACAGTGTCAGTATGAACTTACTGTTGTAGGAACAGTGTCAGTATGAACTTACTGTTGTAGGAGCGGTGTCAGTATGAACTTACTGTTGTAGGAACAGTGTCAGTATGAACTTACTCTTGTAGGAGCGGTGTCAGTATGAACTTCATGTTGTAGGAACAGTGTCAGTATGAACTTACTGTTGTAGGAGCGGTGTCAGTATGAACTTCATGTTGTAGGGGCGGTGTCAGTATGAACTTACTGTTGTAGGAACAGTGTCAGTATGAACTGAGGCGTTGTCATTGTCGTCTTTCTTATGTGATATTTCCTAAAAGCGATCTTAGCTCTAAGGTGATCGTAACTCCTATACTTTAATATCGGCTTACGATCATCGTAAAGCTAAGGTGATCGTAACTCCTATACTTTAATATCAGCTTACGATCATCGTAGGGCTAAGATGGTTCTGTGGAACCTGGCGTCACCGGAATCCTCACAGGAAGACACAGGGAGACAAATGTAGCATCCTGGAAGGGAAGGACACGTCTGTACTGACATGTCGCCCAGACGTTACGAAAATATCAGTTACAAGCAACCCCGTACATATATATTAAGGCATAACAGTTCATATATGCAGAGGAGTGAGTTTAGTTTTACGCCACACTCAGCAATGTTCCAGCTATATGGTGGCGGTCTGTAAATAGTCGAGTCTGGACCAGACAATCCAGTGAACAACATCATGAGCATCATTCTACGCAATTGGGACACGATGACATGTGTCGACCAAGTCAGCGAGCCTGACCACTCGATAGTCGCCTCTTACGACAAGCATGGGTTACTGAAGATCAATTCTAACCCGGATCTTTCTGTGTCTCATATATGTAGAAGATAGGTAGGTTAACGGTACATGTTGGCATTGCTTATGTATTTTATGTGTGAAATTTCAGCAAATCAGAATCGGAATGTAAACGACATGTACACATTTTTTATGTATTGTCTTTATGTTCATAGATCTGCTTCATGGTCAGGAGTGCAGCCTACAACTGGTACCACAAGTACCTATCATCCAGGTTGCCAGGGGCAACAACGTCACCATCTTATGTGATGCAAGTTGCTATGGCCGACATTCAACCAATCGGTTCTCTTGGTACGACCGACATAACCAGCCAATCGGGACGTCTGGCAGGTAACCACATGAGCATGATTGGATTATACCTGACCAAAGAGAAAATGAGGTGGAAATGTGGCTTCATCAGTTGCTTGTCTGCAGGTTTTCTAGACTGATATTCAGTCCCAGAAATACAGTTTTCTTATTTGAAAACATATACCTACAGAGGGCCAGTAACGGAGACTAGGAACAGTCTTATGTGTATGTGTGTGTGTGTGTGTGTGTGTGTGTGTGTGTGTGTGTGTGTGTGTGTGTGTGTGTGCTTGATTGTTTGTGTATGTGCTTGATTGTTTGTGTGTGTATGTGTTTGATTTGTGTATGTGTGTGTGTGCGTGCGTGTGCGTGCGTGTGTGCGTGTGCGTGCGTGTGTACCCCTTCACTAAAACCAGAAGCGAACAACTACTGGGTAACTCATGTTATGTTAGGGATTACATTTTCTCAGTAAAGTACTTATGTTATGTTGAGTCACATCCGGGACTCGAACCCATACTCTCAGAGTCACTTACGTGCCAGCACACAAAGTGAGACATCTAACACACTCAGTCACCGCGGCTTCCGCAGAAGTACTAGAATCTGTACTTTACAAAGAAAGTGTAATCTCAGATGTAGCACATGTTACATTTGACCACTTTCAATGTGGCATTGAAACAAGTATTGTGTCTGGACATCAACTTAGCAAGTGTCTTTTATTGCAGGGTATTTTCTGTACAGTACAACCGTGGGATGTTTGCCCGTCTCATCCTGCTCAACACTGACTTCAGCGAAACGGGGCGGTACACATGCGCAGGGCGCGCTGGCGTTGATGTGGTGCAGAAATATATCGACATCAGCGTGACAGGTAGGTACTGTTCGTTAAACTTAAGTCTGTTGTGATGTGTCACAGCTGACTAGGTTAGTGGTGACCGGGCTTTCTGTGATGCTTCAGGATCTTTCTGTTTCGGCAACGTTACAAGTACTACCTTCGAAGATCCGGGTTAGAATTGATCTTCAGTAACCCATGCTTGTCGTAAGAGGCGACTAACGGGATCGGGTGGTCAGGCTCGCTGACTTGGTCGACACATGTCATCGGTTCCCAATTGTTTAGATCGATGCTCATGCTATTGATCAGTGGATTGTCTTGTACTGACTCGATTATTTACAGACTACCTCCACATAGCTGGAATATTGCTGAGTACGGAGTTAGACAACAACCAACCAACGTTGCAAATACATTGATCCAACGGAAGTTGAAATGAAAGCAAGGTTAAACCTTGTATTGGTTTGTAGCAGTACCAAGGTGTTGCTTAGTTAGCAAAGTTCTCAATGCCATGTTATGTCTAGTCTTAATTGTATTGGTGATCTTGTCTGATATCGGTTAACAGAGAAAGACTTCGAAGTTGTTGAATACGTTGACGATGGACCTCGTAGGGGAGATGTACGTGTTGACGAACCGTTCTTGCCTAGACGTCGGCCCGCAAGAGATGTTAGAAACAGGCGTGCAGCAGAGGATGCAGCAGAGGATACGACAATGTCCACTACAGACAGCAATGCTGCGATCACAACACAGGAAGGTGACGGATCAGGATCCACGACTGATGTCCCTACTGATACAATAGGCATGACTGACAATCCAGCTGAAGGAGAACCATCCATGGGTGGGTCAACAACAGCGACAGGCCAATCATCCTACGAAACTACCCCAAATGCCTTTCCGACCAACACTTCCTCAAAGAACACCCAAGTCCAATCCGCGACAGAGCAATCACCATCTGGATTGACATTATCCCAAGTCCAATCCACGACAGCGCAATCACCATCTGGATCGAAAACATCCCCATCTTCTAACTCCTCAGAAACCCCCAAGGGACAAACCACCGATCGTGCTTCAACGGTTACTGTTCCATCACCACCAGCGGCAGGCAAATCAACTAGTAGACCTTCAACGAATAAACCACCTACAAAGTCGTCTGCTAACGTAACAGGCTATAAGGGCATATACAAAAGGGATAAAACAGCCTTTGGGAAATACGGAGTTTTAGCGTTTGCTCTGGCTCTAAGTGCAGCCATTCTTCTTTTGTACACACTCATCCTCCTGAACGTGATCATTCCACGATGCTGCACGAACAGGCAGTCGGTCAGTTTCCGGGAAGCGTCAGACAGCAAACATAAACAAAATGGTCCTTCTGCAGTAGATGCTGTTGCCATGAAACCTTTGGTTATTGAACCTAGACCAAACAGTCCGGATGACGGATTTATGACAGTGGATTTGGATGACAAAGTTGATCCCAAACCAAATTCAACTACGCCAGGGGAAAAAGCAGATGCACCAGTATCACCAAGTTCTGATCCAGGGAGTCCATCCAAGTAAGTATGGCACTTTCACACCTGCAACTTGCAGTATCCGTTTAACCACTCTCATCTTCCATCAGCACATGAAATATTGAGATATTTAAATATTTGTTTATTTGGTTCAATATTTTAGCAAATTTATCTACATACCAAGTGATCAGTAAATATTCTGGTGACCACCATAAACATTACAACACTTCCCTGGTTCAAAGCATACTGTACAGAATTCTTCTATTCAAATCCATAACTAGACAGACAGACAGACAGACATTTTATTTCATTAACGTAGGCCATTGGCCCATAATATAAAGGACATATAAATAATGCATACATGTTGGATGTAAGATATCGATTGAAATACAACGGCTTAGTTCTTAGTTTTAATACAGCAGGGAGGAATGTACTTAATAATTTTAGATAATTTGTGATGTTGCAGGTGATTAAAAGCACAAAGGTTTCGAATGTTGGAGGGTAGATCTGATTGCTGTACATGAATTCAATCTTGTAATGAACATTTAAGATTCACAAGTTACGTTCCTTCCATTGCTTATCTTGATGTTTCAGGTTCGTGAGTACATTCCTGATTGGCCGGAAGCCTTCAGAAAGCACCTCTCTTGGTGTGTATCTGCACGAAGGCAAGCCCGGGGATACAGTGCAGGTCACCTCAGAGACTGATGGCAGCCAGGGGACCTCAGATCCCACACCTGAACAGAACACCGCAGGAGAAACGAAAACTGAAGAGGAAAAGAAGGACCTCGGGGACCAGTCTCCCAAAGAAAATGTGGATACCAGTACTGAGGTCGACACCAGCACTGCCACTAAAGACACGTCAGCCAGCAGCTCGGACCTGGGGGACCTGCCTTCAGCAGGGCTAAAGACCTGAGGTTCTGTGTGGAAAGTGTGGACTGTTTCAGCTTGCAACTTGTGACAACTTACGGCTATCTGAAGCTTGATTACAATGCTCTTTTCACATACTCAACTTAATCCAGTTTACTTCTCAATTACGGCATAATGCAGCAAAGTCATGTCATCAATTTGAAAATATAAAAAATTATCTTAATGTCCAAAACTATATTGATGCTTGGGGACTGGTCATTTATCATTATGTATAGAAGGTTGGGGTTTAGGTGGGTTGGGGTTGGGGTTGGGGGTCAGAAGGAATTAGGGTAGGTCACCAAATAAAATGACAGTCTGTAGGTACGGGTCATCAAAATATTCAACATATTTGGGTAGGGTCATAAAAGAATGGGCATTTTATAATAAAATATAAATTTGAGGGTCATGAACAAGAAGGAAATGACATAGGTCAACCAAACATAACATTAGGAGAGGGTCTTTACTTTTAGTACCTCACGAAGAGGTGACAAAACACCCCCAGTAAGAACTGACCGGTTTCTTTGTGTCTTTGATACCATTGTGAAACATGACATCATTGAATGATAAAACCCACAATGGGCATATCATTATTTATTCACCAAATCCTCATCATGCTCTAAGCACTACTTCATTACACTGGTCAATGGATCAGTGGTGTCAATTTTAATTCCCAGCTCCCTGGGGAATATACAACCAAAGGTGCCTTTGAAGGTTAACAATCACATTATCATCTCATCCTACCTGGTACCCATTCACTACTGGGTGGTGTAATTTCAATGAGCTTGAAGAAAATACCTTGTATATGTGGGATGTATTGTTTCACATAACATCAATTTAAAACATGAATTATTCAGGGAGTAGTTTCAGTACCAACATGTAACCTGCTGAGGTAGTTGCCTGACAATTTACATGCATCAGAAGTCATTCTACTTGAGCAACTCAAGCACAAAGTACAAAGTTTTAGTTCTTTCAAGAAATTGTAGATCATGGGTCGTGTCATACATCATAAATCTAATGAAACTGTACTGTGACTCTGAATTATATCAGAGGAACTGCAAATGCATCTATCTATCATTACTGAGAGAGTATGGGTGGGCAGGTGAGTGAGTGGGAAAGTGCAAGAGTGATTGGGAAGTTCAGTGAATGAGTGTGTGGACAGGTGAGTGATTGGGAAGTTGAGTGAGTGAATGAGTGAGTGGACTGGACTGGTAAATGGAAGGTGAGTGAGTGAATGAGTGAGTGGACAGGTGAGTAAGTGAATGAATGAATGGACAGGTGAGAAGGTAAATGAGTGAGAGGGAAGTTGAGTGAGTGAGTAGACATAAGAGAGAGGGAAGGTGTATGTGTGAGTGAGTGAATGAGTGGACAGGTGAGTGAGTGAGTTTAGTTTTATGCTGCTTTTAGCACTATGCCAGCAATATCACAGCAGGGGGCACCAGGAATGACTTCACACATTGTACACATATGGGAATCAAATCCAGTCTTTAACCAGGAGCCTACCCACCGCCCCAGTGAGTGAGTGACTGAGTGAGTGACTGAGTGTATCAGGGGCAATTGAATTAACTTGGTCCTGATGAGCACAGACTTAACAACAACACCCACATCTATCCAGAAGAGTCAAACAAATGAATATAGGCTGCAGCTGTACCCAAAAACTGCAAGGATACTGAAGACATATTTTATAGAAAGTTTCCAAGTGGGGCCAGGTACTAAACTAAATTTTGACAAATTAGATAGCTGCATGTGAACTACCACTAACCTGAAGATGAAAATACATCGATAATCTCTGTGGGAAAAGAGATATATTGTGAAAGGTTGTTCTTGGATTGTATATAATTGTAATATATCAAAAGAATGTGTTTGTATCAACTCTCGTCTTTCTGAAGTTATCAAGTTTACAAATCTTGTATCTTAAAACATCAAATATGTACAAGTTTCATAAAATAGATGTTATCTAAATGAGAAGACATGCACATTTTAATATATAAAGAAATATTTAAAAAGCACTCACATAGCACACATTTGTGTGTTGTGTGATTATTTTGTGAAATTCCTCTCTTTATTTTAACAAATATAGTTTGCTTTACAATTAATTAATAGATATTTGTATACTCACTTTGGTTTCCACAACAACTATAACTCAGGCAAGGCCAATTTTATATCTTGTTTTACAGATCCGCCGGTCGTATTTTTTCAAGAATAAGAACAAATAAAAAATAATTTTCCCCGCTCAAAAAATAAAATCTTAATGTTTAGATATACGGGAGCAAGACCTCGACTACGCAAGGCAGTTGTTGGTCACTAAAACACCAATATCTGTTCTCAGAGACTTTTAACTGAATTATCTAACCATATTTGTGTTAGAATCAGTGCTTCGAACACGACAGCAAGTGTGAACTTGAAACACAATGCCTTTGAAAAACTCATGTGGGCTTTTGCTCTGATTTATATTTTTTTTCCTTCCTGCTTTAGGTTTTGTGAGGACAAAAATCTGTAAAACCAGAAACAAATTTGGTCTGGCCTAAAGATCTTCTTTTGACCAGTGGTCATGATCAATGCATAAATGTGTCTACAGTTTCACTCTCCACACCACTGATTAAAGCACATAAGTGTCATTTGTAACTTATTATGAAGTTTTAAAGTTCCATGCTATTTGTAGAAATGGGTCCAGTTTATTTCTCTGTCATGTATACAAACACACAATGAAAACACATGATTAAGTTGAAATTGGAAAAGAACTGTTTTCTGCAAATACATCACCTGAGGTTTAAAGAGATACCACGACATTATTGTGTTCTTGTAATATGACCTTTGTGGCCATTTCCCCAATATTACAAAAAACAACAACTCTTCTTTTTCCTTTTCACTGTATATATACCTACAAACTGCAGGTTCCAATATTCAAGCATGTTTATCTTAGTAATTTATTTGTAATTATTTACAGTGGCCATACTGCTTGTTTAGTTTATTTTAGTTTCCTTTAAAATTTTTGAGTGTTGATTTCTTTAATTTAGCATGTTTGTGAATTTTGATCATACAGGATCATACTTTCACAGAAAATATTTTATTTGTTTTTGGATTTGCATGCACAGACCCAAGTTGATCTTCACTCAAGGCATTTATGTAAATAAATATTTCTTGTGGAAAAGAAAGATTCATGACTAAAGATCCTATACTTATCTACTTCAAAGTTGCCAGTTTCTTCACATCAATCTACTTCTTAACTGATTACTAATTACACATGGCATGAGATTATTACAAATTATTTTTATATTTTGTTTCAATAAATTGATCAAATCTCTTCCAATCTTTTAATTTCTGTCAATATTACTGAAAGATGAAAATCGGAATTTGATTCAGAAGAGTGAAATGATCTGAAAATGTGTGAGAGAGTGTGAGTATTGCTTTTATGCTGCTTATAGCAATATTCCAGCAATATCATGGCGGGGGACACCAGAAATAGGCTTCACACATTGTACCCATGTGGGGATTTGAACCCAGACCTTCGGCGTGACGAGCGAATGCTTTAACCACTAGGCTACCCCACTGCCCGGTCTGAAAATGAAGAAATGGGCATCTGTGTTCTACAAATAGAATTCATGGAGCTTAAATTCACCATAATAGGGCCCAAAATGAAAACATTACTTGATTTGTGAGTGATTATTTCATCCCTTGACCCCTTGATTTGTGAACAAGGCTGATTGTGTCATACAGTGTGGAGCTGTCATGTCAACCACTTGACACCTACTTGATCGACAGGGGGTAGCCTAGTGGTTAAAGCATCTGTTGTCCCACTTTTCATACAAAAGGGGGAACCACTTGCTGGTTGAACAGCTAGGTGTGTGAGTTGCAGGTGTCAAATTGAAATGACTGTTTGAGTTGAACAACTGCAAAAGGTGACAACAAAATAATTTTGTTGAACAACTGTTTTTTTGGGGTGTCCAAAATTATGAGACAAATCATCAGAGTTGGTCTGTCAATTTCATGTGACTGTGCAAATTTGGTTGCAATTATTAGGTTTTGTTGAAATTATTAGATTTTGTGTTTGTGAGTAATTCAATTTAAATCAAACGTACTGCAGATTCTATCAGATGAAATGAAGACAAACACAGAATAAGTGCTGAAATATTTATTAATCGCCATGTGAAGCCTTCAACAATGTCAGCCATGGAATTTGAGTGTGGTAATATCCCCAAGTTGAACATGTCCAGAACATATACAAGTTCCTCATGGTCTAGAAATCCAGGATCAATAAATACGTGGAAACATGTTCATAGGACAACAGAAGACTTCCTTCACTTCACATTCACGAGATACTGCACTCCACAGCTGTGACACAAAGAGGTCAACACATCTCAAAAGACAACAATGGTAAATCGTCTTTACTAAATGAATTTGATGATACTGAATTAATCTTGTGATCGTCCTAGTTGTATGTCATGTATCTTGGCGTGGCGCTGAACTTAGCATAGGCTTTGATGACTTTGTTGACAGCCTCAAGGAAATCCTTCTCTGTGGCCATCTTCCTTCGTGCCCTGATTGCGAACATCCCTGCTTCAGTACATACACTGCGAATCTCAGCACCTGGAATGAAAACATGTCACAGTGAATATCAGACATGCCATGAGTTTGTGAATATCAGAAATGACGTAACAGTCAATATTAGACATACCACTAGACAGTGGATGTCAGTACCTATAGCCATGATGTCAAAATCAATGTTATACAGGACACATTCAACATGGTATCAGTACCTATAGCCACATGAGGTCACCATCAACATTACACTGGCTACAAGAAAGTTGATATCAGTACCAACTGCTTTAAGATGTCCCAACTTAAGACATGCTACCACAGTGCATATAATCATATAATCATATAATCATATAATCACACCAAACTGATACGTTCAATCCAGTAGGGCTTCCACGGGGACTCGAGTACTCGAGGACGAGTCGGGTCTAGCTGGACTCGAGTCCATTTTCAAGGACTCGAGGACTCGAAAAGGGGAGATAACTCGGATTATTTGACGTTGACAGACTGTCTGCCATGTGCTAAGCATGAGCGGCCGTTAACGTCTAATATTAAGATAAGATATAACTTTATAACTAAATTCTTATACATCCAAACTGTCTCAAAATGAATATATACACAGTTCACAAAAATATACTCAATAATTACATGCTCAATCACATGATGGTGATTCAAAATATTTGTTGCATTCACGAATACTTGATGGTATGAAAGACTGTCTAGCTCTGTTTGATTTGAGGGAAGGTAATTGACAGCAGCGTCCAGAAGGAAGTAGTTCAAAATGGTGAGATCAAATATATCAACTATCAAATCTAATTTTAGCTCCCTTTTTGACAATCTGGCGCGCTCATAGATAAAAGGGAGTATACTCAAAAGACACTCCAGAAATTTTGCAAGCAGTATTAACAATTTTGAAAAGTTTGTTTTTGACAGATCCCCATACTAACATAGAAAATTGTAGGTCAACACACTTTGAATAAAGGTTTGATAAAAAACTGTCATTACGGTTTTGTCAATGCCTTGACGATAATAATGTTCAGAATCAGAAATTAGGCCAGTAACAGTGGCATCATCTGCAAATTTCACAGTGAACAAGTCATATATTGACAAGTAACAGTCATTGGTATACAAAACGAAGAGTACGGATGAAGGAACACAGCTATGTGGATCTCCAGTAGAGGTTGAGAGCAAAGAAGATTGATAGCCATTGACACTGACATACTGAGTTCTATGTACCCTGAATTCTTTAACCCATCTGATAATGTTTTAATTAACACCTAGCTTAAACAGTTTACTCCTCACACGGTGTGGCTGTATGGTATTAGTTGCTACAAGTCTGCAGATGAGAGTAAATATGATACATCGTTTGAGTTTTCACTTCTTAAAATGATTAGGTAACTATCTTGACAATTGATAGACATGGAGAAAGATCAAAAATCAAATGTATGGGCGTATCTTGATCTGGATAGTGAAAACAGCAAAATAACCAAATGCCGCCTGTGCGGTATCTCGCTGCGTTTGCAGGCAGTACAAGAAGTACGACCAAAAAAAAACGTTTGTCAAGTAAACATCCAAATACTGATTCTGACCAATAGGAAATGTTAGTCACATGACGATATGAAGTCGGAAAGAAGTAAGTGTTCACTTGTGTGATTGGAACACATGTCATGCCGGTTACGCTATCGTTTGCTTCAAAGGTATGAATTTCGAGTACTCGGGTCCGAGTCGAGTCTCACCCCTCGAGTACTCGAGTCCAAAAAAATGGACTCGTTGAAGCCCTACAATACAGGTGAAATATTGAACATTCTGAAGTTTGCTAAGTGTAACTGGTCGACGTTTCAAACGTTGTCTCACAGAATCCAACATCTTGAGATTCTGAGTTTGAGAGAGTGAGTGAGTGAGTGAGTGAGTGAGTGAGTGAGTGAGTGAGTGAGTGAGTGAGTGAGTGAGTGAGTGAGTTTCACTCACTCCAATTTTAACAGAATTTATTAAAGGTCGATTCTAATAAATTTAAACCATAAAAGACAGTTAACTAATAGTAATACACACACACGCCTTCAACAGTCATCCTTCAATACATCTTCACAAAACACATCATCCAGTACGTTTTGCTCTAACACAAACTTCCAAATCACAGTGTTATATGACACAGACATGATCATGATAAGTGAATAATAAGTAGTAGGTTGAGTTAGTGACAATGAACTGCTGCATCTGTTTCCAGCGCCGGACGAGGATGTAAGTACAGTACATCATGTGGTAGTATTATTACACTGGCGGCAAATCTGAGCCACACATAATATCGTGAGACAGATACTGCAGCAGGAAGTGCTGCTGTCACAACAGATATGACTGATATTATAACAAGAGTCATGTAACCATGGTTCTTCCTGGTATGCATTGGGGGCAGTCCGATATTGGCAATTATATTTCTCAAATTTTGATATGGGTAATCAGATATGTCATTCTATTTAAATATACACATGGCATTATGAGAATCGGCTTGTGTATCACTGAAATATGAGAAGGTATGTTTTCCATGAAGACAGTTTTGGAACCTGTTTGATAGCTTGTCTTTTATATAGCATACTGGAGCGTACCTAGCAGTCATACCATGTTATATCTGTATATATTGTAGCATATCTGTTAGGTCTACCATGCCATATCCGTAGCACACTCTAGTATATCCAGTTGTCATACCATGTCATATCTGTATATATTGTAGCATATCTGTTTGGCCTACCATGCCATATTCTTAGCACACTCTAGTATATCTAGTTGTCATACCATATCATATCTGTATATATTGTAGCATATCTGTTAGGCCTACCATGCCATATCCGTAGCACACTCTAGTATATCCAGTTGTCATACCATATCGTATCTGTATATATTGTAGCATATCTGTTAGGCCTACCATGCCATATTCTTAGCACACTCTAGTATATCTAGTTGTCATACCATATCATATCTGTATATATTGTAGCATATCTGTTAGGCCTACCATGCCATATCCGTAGCACACTCTAGTATATCTAATTGTCAAACCATATTTAATCTGTATATATTGTAGCATATCTGTTAGGCCTACCATGCCATATCCGTAGCACACTCTAGTATATCCAGTTGTCATACCATGTCCACAGCCTTAAAAAATTATTAAAACTATTTTATTCTCCAACTTTTATTAGTATTCTGTACTTGTTATATCACACTAACTGGAGACTACTAAATCAAGGTGAGAACAACTAAACTCCACTGTGTGTAATCCCCAATGTTTTATTACACAAACAGTTTAAATGAAGCTATTGTTGTAGATAGCTCGGGTTGTTTATGTACAGACATAGGTTTTAACTTGAAGGTTTCCTGTTATGAAGCGAGAGGGTGGAGTGGTTAGACCCACATCTCATCAGATACACGCAGGAAAACAACACTCGAGATCTCTCTACATCCTTATGACTGAAGCAAGGGGAAGTGTATGTGGTAGCGCTTGAGGCAAGGCTATATAATGAGCAGTTACTCATGTTCAGTGCTACACATACCTAACAGTAAACTACAACATCAATGTGTGTAAAGAAACTACAGGAATTCTCTGGAAGAAATCTCTGCTTTATTCTCTTTACATTGTAAAGACAGAGGTGTTAATTAAATATAGCAATAACATCAAACATTACTGTAGATGTGGAAGGTAATAAGTATTAGTTACTGAGTAACAGGGAACTAGTAAATCCCTTATCTAGTGAAGGTCTTGATCCGGGTTAGTCAAACTATAATCACTGAATATCATGACAGAAATCTGTCAAAGTGACATTTATTGAAATATTGAATGTAATTTGTCAATGGCCATGTTAAAGGGAATTTGTTGGTGTGCTATCTACTAATGATACATTATTCCTACTCCAATTCCTACTAAAACAGTTTCTTTTCAAAAGTATCAACATGACATAACCCTCACTGTAAACTTAAGACATGTTAAGTTATTAAAGACTTCATATCAAAATGGTGGCTCTCCACACACACACACACACACACACACACACACACACACACACACACACACACACACACACACACACACACACACACACACACACACACACACACACACACACACACACACACACACACACCAAATAATTTAACACTCATATGCCATTCTAAACGCTAAACATGCTGAGGATAACATGCAAACATGCACATGAAGTCTCCTGAAACTGAGCTCACTGACTGAAAGTATAGTAACAGTCAAAACTCTGCAAAGACTGCTTCATTAGAATGCTAGGTTAAAGGCTGGGGTGCAAACCTCCAAAAACCCATGGGTTTCCAATTAGCCTGAGATTGGCTACTCCTCAGCAGTGTAGATGTTATCCGTCCAAGAGTGACAGGACTGTAACAGCTATGGGTGCCTGGCAAGAGCCTGGCGATGTCAAAGGATAACCTTGGAATTTACTACTGGAGTAAATATGTGCCTTATAGTAAATATCCTGACAACCCTTTCACTACATATTTTTATGACTAAAGAGTTTAATTTGATTACCATACATGAAATTTCTAATTTTACTTCTTTTCTGAAAATAAAATCTTCAACATGGTGATGTCAGCATCAAGTAAGTGTACAGCCCTAACCCTGCACAGCATGGGGTCAGGGGAGGGGGGCATTTTCACAGTCTGCCTGAAATATGAAACTTTCAACCCGCTCACAGGCTTGTTTCTATGGAAACACACCTCTTCTGGCCACCTGACTGATACAGTGGGAAATTCAAATCTGGATTTAAAAAAGGAGACATATATGTTCAAAATGTATGTTTTGTAGGCTGTCTACATCCATACATTTACAGTGAGTCTTCATATCATACTTCTTTACACTGTGGCTTAATTCCATCATGAACTGGTAAGTCAATATTGTGATATTTCATGGAATGTACTTGAATACTGCATTGCTTTGTATCAAAAGACAGCTTTGACAAGGCAAAGAGGCCACACCCCATCTGTGTATAGGTTTGAACCCCGGCTTTAAGACTTTCAGTACACACAAATAATCCAGTCCACTCTTTTTATGATAAAATACAGAATGATTTGCCTCATACAACACCAGTGAGAGAAACAAAATGCTTCTACTTCATTCGATAATACGACAAGTTCTGCGTAATGGAACACTTGACAAGCACTTGTCAAAGTAGGGTGTGAGCAAAATGTTACATTACATTGTGTTCTCAAATAGCACTGCCTGGTTGCTTCTTTGTGAAACCACGTTTTAATGTGTATCATATATTCAACAATGTGACACTCAGTTGTCATAATGGACAGATAACCGATTTGTCAAGACATAACAGACTTTTCTATACTACTCAAAATGTGCTAAGGACCAAATATTGGAAATTTTATAATAAAGTGTATATTTATTGTACTTATCCTATCTTACCCTATGCATTTCTATTTTTAAAACCTGGAGTGGAAATGCCTTAGAACAAAATTTCCAGCTTCCAAACAAAACAACTCACCCAAACACATCCCACAACACCATGGTCATCACTTAAACAATCACTGCAGTCCTGTGCAATATGTTCCCCAGGCACAAAAGATTTGTCTAACAATAATTTTGATATTAAATACAACCAGTAATGACCAGGAATTCACTATACATGTCACATTAGGACAAATAGTACGATATAGTTTCAAAGTCTCTCGTAAGGTTTATTTGTTTGACATCAGAGTGTGCAATATTCCATCAGTGTCATGACAGTCTGTAATTAACGAAGTCACAACTTGGGATGATGGTGCTTGTGTTAGATGATGACTTTGGGTACATTGACAAACTTCCAACTCAGTCACTGAACCTGGCCACCTGTTCCATTTAGGGGCCATTCATAATTTATGGCAACGGGGGTGATGATGATTTTTATGGAGAAACATGTACAATTTGATGGAGAATGGACCCCCCCAAAGTAAGTGACCCACCCTGCATGTCATCAACAAAATGAATGATACCACACCCTAGTACTTGTGTACAAAATTGGTCGCACCCCCTTAAAATCAACATCACCCCTTGCCATAAATCATCAACAGTCCCTATACCCTCTCACGACGGGGATTGTTAACAAGGTAACCTATTCTAAACAAGCATCCTCATGAGAAGAAGATTCCACAAAACATGCTAGACAACTACTCTGCATCATCAACATTATCAACAAAAGCTGAAATTTTCTGATGTAAAAGTTACAGCAATTCTGGAAACTCAAATATATTCAAAGCAAAAAGTCCTCGGCAGGCACAAGCATTAAAACCCAACCAAACTGACGAAAAGCTAAAACCGTGTTAATTCACCTATCAAACATTCATGTGTATATCTGACCAACCCTCAGGAAAATTAAGGAGGAGCTGTGTCTGTCTAGGCAAACTGTCGTTTAAGCAAAACGTTTCTGAATTCTGGTAGATCACGGGCGGTGGGGAAGCCTAGTGGCTCATCACACTGAAGACCCGGGCTCGATTCCCCGCATGGTTACAATGTGTGAAGCCCATTTCTGGTGTCTCCCACCGCGATATTGCTGGAATATTGCTAAAAGCGGCGTAAAACACTAAATTCACTCACTCACTCAGTATTTACTAAAACAAAAACCTTTAGTGAGTGGGTGAGTATAGTTTTACGCCGCACTAAGCAATATTCCATCTATATGGTGGCGGTCTGTAAATAATCGAGTCTGGACCAGACAATCCAATGATCAACAGCATGAGCATTGATCTACACAATTGGGATACGATGATCCAATCAACAATTCAGCATCAGTTCACAGATTATTTTTAATAAAGGCGATTTTGGACAAGTATCACAACAAACCTGTGCTGTTGGGGCAAAGTCTAGCGAGGAGCTCATATCTGATGTCCTTCTCTACACTCATAGACCTGGCATGAATCTTGAATATATGAGACCTTCCCTGAAACAGATCAGACAGGGATGTTTCATAGCTGTCATATAGGTTACAGCCTGAGCTATAGAAGGAAAACATTTCAACACAGAGAACCTATAATCATGGGTCATGTTACACTTAAAACACCTACTAGATGCAGTCTAGTCTGTGACAATAATCACCAGCCAAAAGACTGCCAAGTAAAATTTGGTCAAGTAATCATTGTAATCTCAGTCCCAAATAATATCAGTATTACAACACTAAATTCAACTGAAAATAAGACAAACAATGAAGTCATACTAAGGTACATAAAGGCACTTAAATATCATGTAGTCAAAGCACACACCTCTAAGTCCGGTAGACCAAACTCAATCTTCCGGTCAAGACGCCCCGGTCTCATCAATGCAGGGTCTAAGGTATCTGGTCTATTTGTGGCCATGAGAACCTTGATATTTCCTCGGGGGTCGAAACCATCTAGCTGGTTGATGAGCTCTAACATAGTCCTCTGGACCTCATTGTCTCCCCCTGCACCGTCATCGAACCTGGCACCTAAAGACAGACAGCAACATTAGACAACAGCACAAAGGGCATCTGAACACAGACGCAGCAACTTTAATCCATATCACATTGGGCACCTCATTACAGATGTAGCAACACTAAACCACTGCACATAGGGCACCTGAACACAGACGCAGCAACCTTAATCCATATCACATTGGGCACCTCATTACAGATGTAGCAACACTAAACCACTGCACATAGGGCACCTGAACACAGATGCAGCAACCTTAATCCATATCACATTGGGCACCTCATTACAGATGTAGCAGCACTAAACCACTGCACATAGGGCACCTGAACACAGACGCAGCAACTTTAATCCATATCACATTGGGCACCTCATTACAGATGTAGCAACACTAAACCACTGCACAAAGGGCATCTGAACACAGACGTAGCAACCTTAATCCATATCACATTGGGCACCTCATTACGGATGTAGCAGCACTAAACCACTGCACATAGGGCACCTGAACACAGACGCAGCAACTTTAATCCATAACACATTGGGCACCTCATTACAGATGTAGCAGCACTAAACCACTGCACAGACGCAGCAAAATTAAACCACATCATAGATGTAACAATAAACCACCGATATAGGGCACCTGAACACAGACGCAGCAACTTTAATCCATATCACATTGGGCACCTCATTACTGATGTAGCAACACTAAACCACTGCACATAGGGCACCTGAACACAGACGCAGCAACCTTAATCCATATCACATTGGGCACCTCATTACAGATGTAGCAGCACTAAACCACTGCACATAGGGCACCTGAACACAGACGCAGCAACCTTAATCCATATAACATTGGGCACCTCATTACAGATGTAGCAACACTAAACCACTGCACATAGGGCACCTGAACACAGACGCAGCAACCTTAATCCATATCACATTGGGCACCTCATTACAGATGTAGCAGCACTAAACCACTGCACATAGGGCACCTGAACACAGATGCAGCAACCTTAATCCATATCACATTGGGCACCTCATTACAGATGTAGCAGCACTAAACCACTGCACATAGGGCATCTGAACACAGACGCAGCAACTTTAATCCATATCACATTGGACAACTCATTATGATGTAGCAGCACTAAACCACTGCACATAGGGCACCTGAACACAGACGCAGCAAAATTAAACCACATCATAGATGTAACAATAAACCACCGTATATAGGGCACCTGAACACAGATGCATCATTAAACCACTGCACATAAGGCACCTGAAGATAGACGAATCAACATTAAACCACAGCACAAAGGACACTTCAACACAGAGGCAGCAACACTAAACTTCTCCTAATAGGGTAAATGGATTCAAATGACTCCTGTATGGTACACAAATGCAAATCAAGGTTCACAAACAGCTTTTTAATATAAAAACAGTACAGATCCTGTGGTGTTACTGACAAAAGAATCTAGTGAACGGTTCTTAAGATATTCCAATTTGTACGTACGTACGGACGAAGCCTAATACTATATCCCCCCGCGTCGCGCTAAACATGCGGCGGGGGATAATAACATTTGCCCAAAGTTCATTCTAAGCATTACTGATTTGCAAGACAAACTCACCTCCAATAGCATCAATCTCATCAAAGAAGACAATACATGCTTTCTTTGACCTTGCCATTTCAAACAGCTCTCTCACCATCCTAGCACCCTGAAAAACAAACACACTTACATGGTCAAAAGTGTGCTGTACCATGGTACTGTTTGATGGTGTTACTATATGCTGATACATCATCATGATACAAAGCTGGCCAAATATATGCATTTTTGTCTCTGTTGCAGTATAAATAAACACACAAAAAGTCACACTTAAAATACTGGAAATGATATCAGTGTGTTTGTTTTTTCTTACATGACACACTCAGCAATATTCAAGCTATATGACAGTGGTCTGTAAATAATAACGTCTGGACCAGACAATCCAGTGATTTAAGAGAAATGTATCACATAAAAGTATATTCTGAGTGGGCAGTTCACATGTTTTGTGACGCATGTAAGTCCAACACATTGAATCATGATTGAGGTAGTGAGTGTGCACGTGTGGTTTTACACTGTTTTTAGTAATATTCCAACAATAGCATGACACTGGATGCCAGAAGTGAGACCATGTATGAAAAACACCAGAAATGGGCTTCACACATTGTACCCAAGTGGGGAATCATGGGCGTGACGAGCGAACTCAAGAACATGGATGAAGACAACTTAATAGCATACCTCTCCAACATATTTCTGTACAAGTTCTGATCCTATGACTCTGATAAAGCAGGCATCTGTTCTGTTAGCGACGGCTCGGGCACACAAGGTCTTCCCTGTTCCTGGCGGCCCAAACAACAACACTCCCTTGGGGGGTTCAATACCAAGGTTGACAAACCTCTCAGGCTGGAACCAAGTTGATGATTTATGTGCAAAATTGACAAAAGGGCAAAGATTCTTTAACATATGATTGATTTGCATTACATATGTTGGTTTCAAAAGGCTGTTTTCAATCAAAAACAAGCTTCTGGAAAATGGAATTTTTAGAGTAAAATTAATATTTTATACTTATCCTGACTCATGCTTATTGCTTGTCTTCTTCTTCTTGCGAACATAGTGGAACACGTGTATCTCCCAATTGAAGTTCCCTTCAATTAAAAAATCACTAATTAGTACTCACCACGAGTTACCTCCCTTCCACAAGCTCGGGAACGAGGGCGCCACCTCCACCCATGTGCCTCACTCTCTCCTTATGTTTCGAGCCCGACACTTTATTTTTCCGAAGAAATCCAAAGTGTTAAGTGGGGAGGACGGGAGGGCTTACCTCATGAGTCAGGATAAGTATAAAATATTAATTTTACTCTAAAAATTTCATATTTTTCCTTATCCTGACTCATGCTTATTGCTTGTAGAATCCGACGGAACAGGAGGTGGGAATATATATGCTTTGGATTTTAATAATTAGTGATTTAAACTGTGATGATTGTAATAACCCTATGGGAACTTCATAAAGGCACTGAACTGATGAATTCCTGCTGTTTAACTTATCAGCTGCCATATAAAGGTTATTACAATTTATTGAATATGATAAAAGTATATACAACATTAATGTAAGCTGAAGCTATTAATGTGATAGTATAAACTTCTGTGAGTTTATAGTGGATACTTTTATAAATTAACCAAAGTATTAAGCTTAAGATATGCATATATTTAAGCTATAATAGTATAGTACAGTGCTTAAGATATAATTATAACTTAAGCTGTATAATAGTAACCAACTCTTTAGAGTTTGTTAGCTAATACATTTATGCATATGACCATATGACTGCGCTTAAGGATTGATGAAACTTAAGCTGAACATATATATAGTAGCAAAACTCCTAGGAGTTGTAAGCTTATATATAGTATGATATAAAACCATAGTACTGAGCTTAAGATAATAAATTAAACTTAAGCAAAATATATAGATAGCATGTAGCTATTAGTACTGTTATCAGATAGGTATAAAATCTGTAAGATAGACTTATCTTCTCCGTGGAACTGTCAACTGTTGAGCGAGGACCATGGGACCGAAATGGTGGATACCTGAGACGTCCTCGGTGGTGATATCTCTCAGATAGTGGTTGGCAAACACCATATTGGATCTCCAGAAACATCCCTCCATTATGGTATTCAACGAGCAATTCCCATGTAGAGCGAGAGTTGAGGCTAGCGCTCTAATTTCGTGAGGATTAGAAGCTCTTGGAGGGTCGAGTCCTGCAGCCTTGTAGGCACGTGAGTATGACAGTTCTGATCCAGATAGAGATCGTGAGTACGTGAGACTTCCGTCTGCGTGAGCTGTAGATATAGGGATAAATAATCTCTTGAATTTCCCTCTGCTCTGTTTGGATCGTTGGAGATATATTTTCAGTGCCCTCACTGGGCACAGTGATAGATCCATCGTATCATGCGGTCCAAGTATGGATGAGAGAGCTGGGACGTGAAATAATCTGTCTGGCTGACCTGGCAGTTGGTTTTTCGCTATAAAATCCCAGCGAAGTCCCAGATGAGCGATGTTATGAATATCATCAAAGCGTATTCTCTCGTAATCCAAAGCGTGAATCTCTGACATCCTGGCGGCCGTAGCTAACGCTAACAGGAATAAGGTTTTGTGGGTCAGTGATTCAAACGATGTAGATAGCAATGGTTCATAAGCCTCACTAGTGAGGTGTTGGAGCACTATATTTAGATCCCAGGCTGGAGCATGAAACTTCCTCCCATCGGGACGCTCGTAACAAAGCGAGTAACTCTGGTGTTTTTGTTAACTTGACGCCCGTTCGCAGAGTTATGACAGAACTTATGGCTGCAAGATAAGTGGACAAGGTTGAGCCTTTTAGATTCTTAGTTTGCCGTAGATAACATAAGAAATCTGCCACTTGAGGATGTGTAGCATATCTGGCTGTAAATCCTTTCTTAGCAGCGTAATTGACAAAACTGTGCCATTTGTCATCGTACAAGTTACGAGTTGAGTTACGTAGTGCAAGCGTGACCGCTTTAGCCGCTCTGGCAGAATGACCTCTCTTATTCAGACATGCCTTGATACAATCCATACGTGAAGTTGGAATGCTTCTGGTGTTTCGTGCACTTGTTTGGTGTGCGGATGTATCAATAGATTGGCGCTGTGGGAGCTGAAGAATTGGTTTTCCCATTACTTGAATGAGATCTGGAAACCAAGTTCTTGCTGGCCAGTAGGGCCCGACCAAAATCAGATGGAGGCTCTGCGTTTGACTGATTTTCTGTAAGACTTGTGGGATCAACGCTGGAGGCGGGAAAGTGTACGCGTTGAGTCTCTCCCACGATATGCTTAGTGCGTCCGTTGCCCATGCTAGTGGGTCTGGCACTGGCGACCACTAATGTTGTCAGTTGCTTGTTGAATCGAGTGGCGAATAGGTCTATCAGTGGAGATCCTATTTCCATGATTATTTGATTGAATATCTCTGTGTGGAGCATCCATTCTGTCGGGTGACGGTTGGTGTGGCGAGAGAGCCGCCTGCTAATACATTCTTTGCTCCTGGAATGTGGCAAGCTCTGACGTGTATGTTTAGATTGTCGCTTAAATCGAACAGTCTGAAACATCGAGTCAGTAGGTTCTGTGACCTTGTTGAACCTTGTTTGTTCACATAAAACGCCACTGTTGAATTGTCTGTGTGAACCATCAACTGAGCCGCACGTAGTATGTTGCTCCAGTGACTTATGGCGTTTATGACTGCTTGCATCTCTAGCAGATTTATGTGACATTTGCTCTCTTGATTGCTCCATAGGCCTGACGCTGTCCTGCCGGCAAGGTGGGCTCCCCAACCTTGTAGTGACGCGTCTACGTAGAGATGTGTGTTCGATTCCGGCTCTACTAAGGAGACGCCTGCGCAAACATTCAATCTCTTGGTCCACCAGAGTAGATGTGGTTTGACATAATCTGGTAGACTGAATGGTAGAGGGTCCTCGAGATGAGCATTGATGAGGACTTGTAACGGACGTAATTGATGTGAGTAGTCCCAATAGGCTCTGCCACTGTCGTAGTGGTAACGGAGAGAGTAGGGCTTGAGGAATCCATCTGTCCTCCGGGACTACAATACGATTCTGAGCTGTTAGAAATCGTATACCTAGAAATTGCAGATCCTGCGTTGGTTCTAGGTCCGACTTGAGTAGATTTACTAACCATCCTAATTGTGTTAGTAGCTTGATTATAAAGTTCAGCTGTAGTCTGAGACGCTGTGGATCTGGATCCACTTGTATACCGTCGTCTAGGTAAAAATCGCTGCGAAGACCTTGACGATGTAGGTATGAGACAATAGGCTTGGTCACTCTTGTGAATACCCAAGGGGCCGATGTGATTCCGAAGGGAAGAACCTTCCACTGGTAATGTTTCCCGTCTAGGATAAATCTTAGATATTTCCTTGAGTTGGGATGAATCGGAATGTGTAGATATGCGTCTTGCAAATCTATCCTGGCCATGTAATCTTTGGGACGAATTAAATGCCGAAGTTGCGGTAAATGTTTCATGCGAAACGTTGGTGGTTTGCATAGATATTCTCTGTTGAAGATGCTCATGTTGTATATGAGACGAAACTTCTCCTTGGAGTTTTTCTTCGGGCACTAGGAAAACTGGGGAGTAGAACCTGGTACGATGTTTCGTTGATCCAGAACTTCTAAGGCCTGTTTGTTTAGTAGAGTAAGTACTGTTTCTCTTAACATAGGTAGTTGTGCCGGTTGAACGTTGAACCCTGTGGGGTTGACTGTTAACGGAGGCTTGGCCTTGAGTTGTATTAGATATCCGTGCTGTAGGATGTTGGATACATATGGATCTTGTAGTATTCCCCAGTTTTCCCAGTGTAGCTGAAGGCGTCCACCCACTTGAGACGGTTGTACTGGAACGGCTGGGGGTGGAAGACTCCAGTCGTTCCGAACCTGAATTTCATCGTCTAAATCCATGGTCACCTCTGGATGATCTGCCTCTAGCTGATCCTCCCCTAAATTTGTTGTATGGGCGACGAAAAGAATCCTTGGGATCTTTAGCTGCAGCTAATTTCTTGTCCCGTGCTCTCTGTAGCCCCGAAAACTTAGACTTGCCCGAGTATCTCTGTGTTGACTGTTTAATGACGTTCGCTAAGGTATCCATGGATCTGATCATAAGAACCTCTCTCGAGTCTTTAGATACTTCTTTGGAGACCTTGTCTATGTTGCCACCAAACAGTAAGGGCGATGACCATGGAGCTGTGTATATAGATTCTGTAAATTGCTTATCCCAAGAGCAGGAGGCTAGTAAGCCTTGCCGACGAGCCATGGTAGTAGTTTCAGTAAGCGCTGATAGGTGCTCTGTAAGAAATTGGTGGTCTCTTTTCTGCATGAGTAGAGCTGAGTAGATCATTCTATCTTCCTCCTCTGTAGAATTCTTGAACTTGGTGATGAGAGTTTCATTAATCGTTCTAGATCTATTCAATCCAAAGAACATTCTCCTGGCGATGGTATCTAGTTGAGCGAATTTGCGATCGTCTACTTTGTAACTTCTGGACTTGTCATCGCTGATTAATTTAAAGTTGTCATCAATATCCTGGGCCTTGAAAAAGGGGGCCCATATTGTGTCCGGCAATTTTTTTGGCATTGAAGACCGGGAAACGTGTAGATTGGACTTTTGAAGATTTGGAACAGGCTGTATCCAGATTAGCTGGTACCGCTGCAATCGGGTCAATAGGAGGTAAGGTGATATTGTCTACATCATCATCCTTCATCAGGTAAAAATCTGAGTTGAATTCTCGTTCTTCGATGGGGAAGCAAGTTGTAACTCATTCACCATCCAGTATCTGATCTCAGCATCTGAGAAAATGATACCTTCTTCCTCTGATGTAGGGTCACATGTCGGGAGTCCTAGATCTGTAGGAAGATCTATGAGAGGAAGATCTTCTGGGCGAGGCAGATATGGAGCCATTTAGCCTTCGCGTCCTTCGCGAATGTATCGAGTCAGTGTCCGAATCGACATATGAGCGCTTGCCTCGCGAACGACCTCTGTGTTCTACAGGGTGTGGGCTCGGCGAAGCGCTCCTTCTCCGCGATGTCCCTCGCAACTGGATAGGCTCTAGCTCCTTCGCGGAGGCGGCCTGGGACTTCCTTTGCGAAGTGATCGCTACGGGCTGGGTTGCCCTTCGCGGAGGCGCGTTTGTGGGCTCTGGGGCCCTACACGAAGCCAAGGCGGGCTCTGGGGCCCTGTATGACTTATTAAGTGTTGGGCTCTGGGGCCTCTGTAAACCGTAACGGTCCTCCATCAGTCTCATGATTTGTTTAACCAGGTCGTCTGGGACAGTCTGCGCTGGCGTTGAGGGTGGCCTCTCTGTGACAGTGACGGGACCCTCAATCATAAACTCAGGCGTCAGCGTAGGCATCTCTGGTTGCGTGTTGATCTGTGCTGTAGTGACGGTAGCAGATACTGGACGTTTCTTATGACGTACATCTGGAATGATAATCGGAATGTCATCATCATATAAACATAATTCTGAGACAGGTAGAATATCGGAGGCAAAATTATTTGTAGTTTTCGTAGATTTCCCTTTTGACGAAGCTGTGGACCTGGGGGTTCGAAGCGTACACGCTGAGATGATGTGGACACTTTCCTAGTCTTAGACTGTGAAGACGGAATGTCTTGAGATGCAGGTCGCTTCTTGGACATAGCGGACTGCGTCCCACGCTTATCCCCCGAGGGAAACTCCGGCAGGCCACCAGCCGGTGGCGGGTCGTCAGTCAACAGTTGACAGGGTATAATAGCTTCCGATCTATTAGCCATGACTGAAGATTGTTTACGAGATTTATCTGCCTTCCGTCTCAAAACGGAACATAAATATTTATCAAAGGCAGAAATTGGTAAATTAATACATAATTTACAATGAGAAACAATAGAACATGGAGTAATGCAACTAGGGCATTTTAAATGTGGATCGGTAGCGGAATAATGTAGTTTACAACCTGTGCAGATTCTCATTAACGTAAACTGCTGAACAAACACGCTAACCCGTGAATAAAACAGCAGAAACACGACTAATAATCAATGCAAGTTGAATAAGGATACTAGTTACACCTCTATAACTGAATATAAGAGGTACTAAACTAAATATAAATAAAGGATATAGTGTGTTGGGAGACACAGGCGCTCTCACGTCCAGCTCACTGGGCGAAGAAGGAGAGAGTGAGGCACATGGGTGGAGGTGGCGCCCTCATTCCCACGCTTGTGGAAGGGAGGTAACTCGTGGTGAGTACCAATTAGTGATTTTTTAATTGAAGGGAACTTCAATTGGGAGATACACGTGTTCCACTATGTTCGCAAGAAGAAGAAGACAAGCAATAAGCATGAGTCAGGATAAGGAAAAATAAAGTAATATAAGGAGTTGGTTTCTTGTGATTTATGCATGTCTGTAAGATGAGAATGGTCTTTTTTCTCACAAAGATTGCAACATACAGTAAATTATGTTCATGGCAAACAAGCTCATAATGAACTGATGGGCTTAGCAAACCATTATTTTAATACTTTTTTATAACCACTTGCTGTATATTTTAGTTGAAATGCTTATAGATAACTATTGTTATAAAGAACTAGAAATTGAGGACACATTGAGTTCATTACAAGTATATATAACTCTGGTTCACTGCAACTTAGTGCAAGAGTGAATTGGTTTTAATACACCACTTTTAATAGTATTCCAGTTGTAACATGGCATGTACGCTCAATGTGGGAGCAAAGCCCCAAGTGGTGCAGATCTGTCAAACCTAGAAACAATATCAGCCAGGGTAAGCCAGCATTCAGTGCCACAATCACAGGTTTCCAGCTTACCTAAGGGACACAACTCTGCACTGAAAGCTGTGGCTTGTTAGATGAGAGTGATTGATTTTGTTCAGTTTTACGCCGCACTCAGCAATATTCCAGCCATATGGTGGGGGTCTGTAAATAATTGAGCCTGGACCAGACAATCCAGTGATCAACAGCATGAGCATCGATCAACGCAATTGGGATAATTGTCGCGATTTACTACAAGCATGGCTTACTGAAGATCAATTCTAACCTGGATATTCATGGGTTCTCAGATGAGAGCGCCATCCACACCACTGATGTGTCCACAAACATACAACTAGCTCACATATGTCAGAATACAAGGCAACGTTCTTCATGCTCCAGTAGAGGGGCGAGTATTCACTTCGCATACTTAGATTAAATCTAACACCTGTACATGTAGGAGAAGGCAATTGATAACCCCATTGTAATCAGTTCAATGATCATGATGATATTGACTCTGAAATGAAAGTGCCTAATTTTGCACCTCTAATCAGGCCTAAAGATGTCTTAACGTATATTTCCGAGAGGTGTTGACACTAATGACAGTCCAGATAAACAAGGGTAAATAAACACTGGTTGCAAGATAAATCACTCCAATACATGCTCAAATACCAGGCAGCTCAGTACTTTAATCAATCTCCTTTTGGAACATGAACAATGTCAGTCTGGCAATAAATACTATTCCAAGCACATCCCACAAACCTCAGACTCGACACAAGAACAGCTTATTTCACAGGCATGACATAATTCAAGAGTCATCTCCCTTGCAAACATCATCTCTTCTCAGTATCATGTTTTGATTGTTTAATGTTGCACTCAACAATACTCTAACATGGTGGTAGTCGCTAGTGCTCAGTGCAGGCAGCAATACAAGCTTTTGATTTTAAAGTATCTAATATCGAGAAATCAGGAGAAACAGAGCTAATACTTACGTGTAAAAGAGGTGTCTCCACGACTTCTCTGAGTTTCTCAATTTGCTCTTTACAACCACCCACATCGCTGTACGTCACATCAGGTTTTTCTTCAACCTGGAACAGAATCAAGTCATATGAACGAAATCATAACAGAAAAGCGCTAATACAACAAGCTACATGGTATCTGTCTGGAACAAATCAAATAATAGCAAGCTTTGATTAAGGACTGGCTACATTAATGCTTGAGGAACATATACGAGTGAGTGAGTTTAGTTTTCCGCTTCTTTTATCAATATTCCAGCAATATCAAGGCACGGGTCACCAGAAATGGGCTTCACGACTTGCATCCATGCAGGGAATCGAACCTGGGTCTTCGGCAAACACTTTAACCACTGGGCTACCACACCACCCATAAGAGTGAGTGAGTGAGTTTAGTTTTACGCTGCACTCAGCAATATTCCAGCTATATGGCGACGGTCTGTAAATAATCGAGTCAGGACCAGACAACCCAGTGATCAACAGCATGAGCATCGATCTGCGTAATTGGGAAACCATGACATGTGTTAACCAAGTCAGCGAGCCTGACTATCTGATCCCGTTAGTTGCCTCTTACTGGTTTCATTTGTTAAGAGCAAATAAATGTGTGATCAATCAATATTTAAGTTTCAGTGAGATGAGACATACCTGCATCATGGTGACAGTGGGGTCAATCTTCGGGGGGAGAGGAATGTGGATCTGGTACTTGTTGCGGTCAACTCTGAAGCCACAACATGCATGACGTCATTCTAACATAAGGTATTATAAAACACAGTCCTAAAACTGACAGTGTCGTGGATAGCATTTTGTACAATATGTTGGTACCAGTTTGGTTCAAACAGCATTCGCTTTACGCCACAGCATGTCAGCTTAATGTGAAATGAGAGGATGTTGGGATTTGATGGTTACCCCGATTAACTGAAACCAGTGAGCAAGGGTGTGGTACTGACAAATGTAGACACATAATGAAGAAAACCAGGATTCTAAACCAGGATCATAGGATTCTGGCATGAACAAGGGAAGCAACTCTTCAAGGCAATTTCTGCAATTCATGGCAATTTTGAACTTTTGTATCATGATACAATACAGATGTCATATTATCTAGGTTTGATAACCAAAAAATTATGAATCATGTGACATAATTTTGTTATTCTCATTGCAGAACACTGAGCTTGCCAAGGTTTCTTTCTCATAGCATTCTAAATCAAAATTCCTGTATTCCTCCACATGCTCCACTTACCCAACTCTCATTCCTTCTTCAATATCTGTGGGTGCCACCTGATCTCCAAGATCAACGACAAATTTGGCAAACTGTTTCACATTGATAATATATTTGGGGTCATCAGAGTCTGCATTGATGATCTTTGTACACCTGGCTACTTGCAGTGGTTGCTCACCTGAAATAATGACGTATCAGTAAAAGGGGGCCTTGTCCTGTGACTACAAGATGACAAATTTGAAGACCAGTTGACATGTTCAGTGGGTTCTAAAGATATTCAGCTGTAGTATTTTAATCTTGGGACCTGTTTAAACATAATGGACACCATAGTTACCCTGGGGTCTTCATGTTCTGTATGAGACACTGCTTAATTCTTCAGAATGTGTTGTGTCAGCATAAATACTGTACCGATTTCAAGTTTTCTTGACTACACATATGTTGATGACCAGCTTACCAACCATAGAATCAAGCATGAAATGTGTTCGCAGTCAAAACAATCACGAAAGGTTCTGTGATCCTTGAAGTCTGCACTGATAGTATCTGAATCTAAGGACGTGAAGTTTAACAGATAACATTAGGTGTATAACACAGAACCCTGAATTTTCGAACACTGTTCTGTGTATGTTGGTGATATATTGAAACTGTTTCAAAAGGACTGATTGGAGTGCATGGTGCTGTGGTACACTGACTGACTGACTCAGTTCGGTTTTATGCCGCTTTTAGCAATATTCCAGCAACATCACGGCGGGGGACACCAGAAATGGGCTTCACAGATTGTACCCATGTGGGTGTCTTGAACGGCAACACAGGGTGAATAAGAAAGTCCTCTGGGGTACTTATGCATTAAAATACCAAGAACTATATTTCAATAAGCAGGAAGCCACTCTACAGTAAAGGCAGGTAACTCCTGCAAACCTCAATAGGAGCAGTGACATGAAGCGTCTTTTCATAACCTCTACAGATTTTTTTTCAGGCGGTAGGAATCAGACTAAAAGATCGAATACTTACCCTATCCTTGTGAAAAAAATAGAAATCGGTAATGCTCGGGTCTGAGGACATACTTGAATGTCAGTCTACCTGAAGTAATATAAGCCAAAGCCGACCAAAATGCCCACATACCTTCACCGCTTTCCAACACCAGTTAACGGTTAGAACAATCCCTGAAAGGAAGGCGACTAGACAGCCAATCTAAAGCGATGGACAGATCCATGGCCCGGAATGGACTTGTCCGTCGGACGACGGGCGCCTCTGTCCACACCTGCTAAGCGCTGAACCAGAGGGTGTTGTCCTAAAGGGCACCCTCGGTAGGAGGATATGGAAAAGCTGAAATAGCTGTGGAGTAGCCTCGGATAGTAGACGGGCTAGGCCCCTCGGCTTCCAACCTGAGACTGTAAAAACTCCAAACTTCGACTACAGTCGAAGAAAGGGATCAAGTATCCCTCTGTTTCCACACCAGCCAAGCACATAACAGGCCCATCTATCCTCATACTGTAAGTTAGTCGAATCCCTCCGCGAAGCCAGAATTGTGTCTGCAACTGGTGCAGGAATTCCGCTCGCACGGAGGCGACTCCTGACAGTGGCCAAGCCACCCACTGGATCCATGGATCCGGGTGTGGCTGGCCTTCCTGGGATAGGAGGTCCGGTCGCATCGGTAATAGCACAGGAGGCTGTACTAGCGATCTGAGTATTACCGGGAACCAGCGTTGAGACGACCACAGAGGTGCAAGAAGCACAAGTAGTCGCGCTGGTTGGGTGGCTAGCTGCGATAGGACTCTGGGAATCAGGGGTATCGGTGGGAAAGCCCACAGCACCCTGTCCGTCCAATCTAGCTGGAAGGCGTCGGAGGCGATCGCTCCCGGATCCGGGATCCTGGAGCAAAACACCGGAGTCTGGTTACGTCACCCCAGAGGCAAACAGATCCACCTGGAACGACCCGAACAACTGGGAGATAGCCCGAATATCTCGGTCGAGTAACCACTGCGTGAGGGGCCAGGATCTGACGTGAGAGTGCATCTGCACGCGTTGTCCTCCCGGGAGATACACAGGTAATACCCGTGTGTTGAACCCGGTCGCACCACAGCAGAAACTGCCACGCCTCCTGGAGGAGTGGCGGAGACACCGTACCGCCCTGCTTCAGGATATAGGACATCGCCGTTTGATTGTCCATTTCTAGGCGAACCACCGCGGTTCGAACCTGCTCCATGAAGCGTTGAACACCAGTCGGACCGCTCTCAATTCTAACACGTTGATGTGTAAGGTCGCCTGGATTCACGGACCAAAGTCCGGAAGCTGTGAGTCCCCTAGGACACCCCACCCTGTGAAGGAGGCGTCCGTCTGAATTGTGGCGTAGGCACGGGGTCTCAGTGGGATACCCTGACTAGATTCCGGTGTCGGTCCACCACCCTCAGGTGGGGAGAAGCCACTCTGGAGTTAGGAGAATTGTCTCCGTAACTCCCGAGTGTGACCACAGCTGTGCTAACGCTTGCTGAACTGGCCGCATCCTCAGACGCGCACGCCAAACTACGTCCACCGTCGCCGCCATGTTGCCTAGCAACTGAAGCCATGTGCGTGCTGAGGCCCTGGGGGACTGAAGGAATTGTAAAACAACCCTTTGGACTTTGGAAATGCGGTCTTGAGACAGAGAGACTAAGCCCTGCTGTGTCTCGAATCTCGCCCCCAAGAAAACCAGATCCTGGGATGGAACCAGCTCGGATTTCTTGAGGTTGATGACCCAACCCAACCTGGTGAGAATATCCATCACCGTCTGTGTGGATTCCCGACTCAAGTGAGTGGAAAGCGCCCTGAGCAGCCAGTCGTCCAGGTACGGGTAACAAAAGTTGCCCTGTGCCCTGGCGACTTGAGCTGGCACTAGCATGAGTTTTGTGAACACCCTTGGCGCCGTGGAGATGCCGAAGGGGAGCACACGAAACTGATAGCACCTCCCGTCGAAGGAAAACCGGAGGTATTTCCTGAACTTCGAGGAGTGCATTGGTACATGAAGGTACGCGTCCTTGAGGTCGATTGACGTAAGCCAATCCCCTGCCTCCACAGATGAGATCACCGACCGCAGTGTCTCCATCTTGAAGGATGGTACCTCTAGCAAACTGTTCAGACCCTTTAAATTGAGAATGGGTCTGAACCCTCCGTCCTTCTTGGTAACCAGGAAATAGGTTGAGTAAACCCCTAGATTTTCCTGGCCCGTCGGAACCACCTCGATGGCTGCCTTGTCCAGCAACGCCTGGACCTCGGCACGGAAAACATCGGCCTTTTCCGGAGAGTTCGGCACTGGCGTGCAACGAATCCCGGAGAAAGGAGGAGGGCCTCGCTTCCACTGTGGCATATGACCATCCCTGAGTGTGGACAGGACCCAGGGATTTGATGTGACTTTCTCCCATTCCCGAAGGAAGAGAGGTAGCCGGCCGCCGACAGGGACTTCGGGTAAGAGGCAGTGAATCCCGGCAGTCGGCAGTGTAACAACCGCTTGTGCCGGGACCAACAAGGGCTCCGGAGGAATGCTTACTGGGAAGCCGGGGCCGACTTCCCCTTCCTCTGAAAATGCTGCTGAGAGGAGGCAGCCTTGCCCCTACCTCTACCCCTGCCCTTGCCTCTACGTGCCTGAAGTGGAGCCGTCCACTTGGGCGCTTCCTTTCCTGAAGAGGAAGGGTAAGCTGAGGCAAGGACGGAAGGCCGGGCGCGAGCAGTGAGGGGTTGCTCGAGTAAGGGCTTTGAGTCCTTAAACTGGCTAACCGCCTCCGCGGCCTCCCTGACCACTGTCAATGCCCCCGGGAACAGGGTTGAGCCCATCCTGAACGGCAGAGACAACAGCGCCTGCTGTGTAGCCGGTGAATATCTGGCCACAGACAGCCACAACCGACGGAGGCCCATAACCGCAGACATCATCTGGCTAGCGCACGACCGAATGGCGTCGCGTGCCAGATGTGAATGCACCTCCTCCGTGAGCTGCCTCGCTATCGACGCGTCCTCCTGGGTCCACCAGCTTCCTCTGCAGGGCCGAGAGGTATGCTGAGTGGACGGAAACCTTAAGTTGTTGAACGGCGTTACGGTATTGTTCTTCAAAGGAACGATATACCGATTTCAACACCTGGTTGTTGGAAGTAAACGGAGGCGAGCGCCGACCCTGACGAGCCGACGCGTGGCTATGGCCAGATGACCCCCCCAGGGCGACTGAGGCATAAATGCACTCATCTACCACCGGGGGGTCATAAAGAGCCCCCTCTCCCATCAGGTAGCGCCGGTTCAGCTCCGGGAGATCGAAGCGTGACCTGCCACCTGAGAGGAGAGGGTTAATAACCTCACTGATCAGTGAAGGTAAAATACGCATAAGTGGGCCTCGGCGACCCGACCGCGAAAAACGCCTCCCCGGGAGGCGAAACTCCGCGGGTTGAGGGTGCGTCTGGCGGCACACGACCACCTGCGGCAAAATGGAAGCAATGCGTTCCCTTACTTGCCGCAGGGACGGACCAAGTGCGAAGGAACCTTCCCCCGGCGTCTCATGCCCCCCGTCCTCATCCATGGCTTCCTCCTCCCGCTCCCCCGGCAGCGAACTCTCGGTATCCAGAGTCGCCTCCGAGAGCACGGAAGTCGGTTCCACAGACAAAGATAGGGGAGCCATAAGAGCCAAGGCGCCTGGCCCGACCGACCCTAGGCTCGAGGATGAGCCAGGTTGCCGAGGACCCAGGGAAGAGCCTGCGAAACAGGATTCCCGAAGTAGCGTAAGGCCCGAGTCGACCCGGTAGCACCGGCTTCGAAACCCCAGCTTTGTGAGCTGGTGGCCAGCGATGCGTGACCATTATCCACAGCTAATGCGCTGCGCTGAACCCGAACGAAGCTTCGGGCCAGCCACAGGCGCATCCAGCAGCAGAGGTCACCAGAGCCAAGGCTCAAGGCAACGACCCCTCCGGGGGTAGAACCCGTCCCCGGACCGTAGCCCGAGGCAGGGGAACCCCCGACAGACGACCTCGGAGCGCCGCCAACTCCCGAACGGAAGCCGATCTCCTCACGGAGACCGGACATCGCGTCCGTGATCAGCGAGCGAACCGAAGTCATCTGTTGCTGCAATATGGAATTTAAATCATTAATACAGAGGGGTGCAGAATCTGAATGAGTGGAAGTGGAGGGGATAGGGGAAGAAGGTTTATCCGCCGTCTTGGCCCGCTTACCCCCACCCCCGCTAGTAGAAGAAGAACTCTTCTTACTTTTAGCCACTTTAGATGGTGGGTCCTGAGCCCATAAGTCCCCCCCGCCTGCAGCAGATTTGTATAAAACAAAAAATCGGCGGATCGACGCTTAGTCGTCTTGGGTGAGAAAATCTGGCAACTCTCACACGATTGATCATCATGATGCTCAACAGCCAAACAACGTAGGCACACATCGTGCGAATCCTGTGGTGGCAACATGGCCGCACATGCAACGCACGGGTGAAACTGTAACAAACAGAACCATTTTTAATGGAACTGATGTACAGTCTAAAATACACACATATATGCAACACAAGTAAAATATAATACGCACGGGCGATACACCCTATGTGAAAAGCTAAGGCAGTTTTACCCTTAACATGTATCATGAACAAGGCGAAAAATGCAAGCTACCTGCGTAACATATACAGCGTAAAAAATATGAAAAAACTTACCCAACTCACCTTACATTGCTGGAAGTGAAAACGTTAGGCAAGCCTACAATAGTAATACAAGAAATTACCCTACCACCCTAGCGATGTAACTTAAAAAAGTTACCACCGTAGGACAGAAGGAAGCCAAACCGACCGCCATCTTGCCTGCCACATGGCTGGAAAATGGAGCCTGTCCGACTAAGTTACAACAATCATGAATGAAAAAATCAACCTACAATTCCATCTAACGCCCGTGCGAGAGAAAAGAGGAACCATACATACATTAGTTGATTCTTTAACACTCATTTTCATCAATGAACGACACGCACGTCTCTCTTCTAAGACGACAGCATGAAAAGTGAGGTGCGAGGTTGTCGGCTAGAGTTACCTGCTCTTGTCGGTAGGGGGCCCTGGGACCCTGTAGGGTGGTCTCATAACGCAGAACGTGTTTTTACGTTTTGTAAATATTTTTTTATTGAAATATAGTTACAACTGTCGTAGGTTTCAAAATGGACATTTTAATGCTTATAAGTACCCCAAGGAGGACTTCTGAAAAAGAAATAGTAGGTTGATATAACAGTAAGCAGAGAAACAGCTTGGAAGAGTTTTCATGAGCATGATCATTGATGTCAGTATAGTTCTGTCTCCTATTCTCACGGTAAAAACGTTTTCTGCCGATATCTCCGATGTGTGATACCGAGCGGTTGTTAACCTTGCCGACCAGTAACTAGGAAGTGGCCCAGGTCTACGAGCATCAAATTTAAAATGAAGAGACTTACACTAAATGCCAATCTATCGAAAACCATGGTATCTTCTAATAGTTCCTTCTGATACACAATACTTGTCCTAATTCAGTTTCATCACCCAAGATTGGACCAGTACTTTTAACTGCTGACAAAAGTGATATTCCAGCAATATCTGAAGGGAAGACCAAAAATGGGCTCCAAACACTGTATCCACGTGGAGAATCAAACCCAGGGATGTGGCGTGATGAGCAAACACTTCAACCACTAGGCTGCCCCACTGTCCCGACTGTTCACAGTAAATCTTTAACAGCCAAGATATGAATTTGCCTGGATGACTTACTTTGCAATGTCTGTTTATCTGCAGCAAGATCCCACAGCGCCGGTGGTGCCAGACCTGTGTCAGACTCCTTGATACCTGAAGTATAATGTGTGGCATATACATGATGCAGCAGGTCACATCAACAGCAGAGAGTTCTGCATCATGTAGTTTGTCCTATATGCTAGGTACTTAAGAATTCTTAGATCAACAGTGAAATTGCAGTTCTGGTCTGAAATGTTTTTCTATTTTTCTGGACAACAGGACATAAATTTACGAACATTATTATGAATATTACTTAACATTTACTCCATCAAAATTTAAATTGATTGCTTATAAGCTATGTTACTAAAAGAATTTTGATGACAAGTAGTTTCTTCCACAATGGTACGGAAATTGATGACATGGTGACAAGGCTAGCAAACTCTTGATATGATAGTTAGCCATATGACCGGTTATAAGTACAGTTGGTTGGTTGGTTGTTTAACACGCCGCACCTGGCAATCTACTACACCAAGTGTACTGGATCTGCTAGTGTCGGATTTCTACTAGTTCAACATATACCGGGTAGCTAAAAGTATGAAAGTTCAGATGGTTGATTTGTTGATTGTTGTTTAACGCTGCACTCAGCAATATTCCAGCTATATGGTGGCAGTCTGTAAATAATTGAGTCTGACCAGACAATCCACTGATCAGCAGCACGAGCATGGATCTACGCAACTGGGATACAATGACATGTGTCAGCCAAGGCCACGATGTAAGATAAGTTTCAATTTTATGCAAGCTTCTCAGTTCAGGTTTAATTTTTTGTGGTCCGTCCTGATTGATCCGGGTTTCAGAAGTGTGTAGACTGGGCTCTGCCGCGTAAGGGTAGTGTAGCGCAGCGCAACTAAGCGGGAGAACTAGAAGTAGTAACTGACAGTGACAAGTCAGAAAGCATGGTTAACTTAGCTGCGGCCTTGGTGTTGGTGTTGGCGAATTATGTACTGAAAAAAGCCAAAAGAATATCTTGCAATTATTATATGCTTCTGAGTATAAGCATAAGTATAAATGTTCTAAAAGTGTTTAGTGTAAGTGTTTTGGTAAACAAAGTTGTATATTTTTTAAATGTGTAATTTTGAAGATGATTTACATCAAGCTTTTTTTATTATATGCAGCTTGTACCTGTCAAATCATCAAGAACTGTCAAAACAAGAACTGTCAAAACAAGAACTGTCAAAAACAAGAATTGTCAATGTTTAAGCAAGTCAAGTGTCACAAGTGTATTGAATATGTCAACAAGAAAGTAAAATGACTGAGTACAGAACCATGGGCTAATTATTTTTCTGCTACACACAAGCCTAACCACCCAATCCTGTTAGTTGCCTCTTATGACAAGCATCGGTTGCTGAAGACCGATTTTAACACGATTCTTCAAGGGTCTGTAATAAGTATAGATCTATACTCCAATCTACAGAAATTAAAAATACACAATGGTACCTACCTGCCAGTTCGTTAACTTTCTTGAGAACATTTTGAATGTCTTCTTCTACTCCTTTGATAGCTTTGCTGTACTGACCAACACCCTAAAAGTTAAAAAATGCAAATAAATGTGATGTACAAAATGCCGAGCAAGAAACCAAATGAAAAGAAAGAATGTTCACATTTCGTATGCATAATCCCTTTTTGGGTGATGCACACATTTGAAAGTTAGCATTTGTGGAAATGTCATCATGGTTATGTTTTTTTGTCTATCAACATATTTACACCAAATGTATTGGATTCTCCTTCTCAGCATTCATCTGTTAGAAATAGCAAATCTCCTGATCTTGAGTGTAAATATCAGTCAAATTTAGAAGCCTATACTACATCGAAACTTGCCATATATTGTAATAAAGAAGTTGTACATCTACAGAACTATCACCTTTTTTTCATGATACAGTTCTATGCATCATTCAACATGTCTAAAACGTTATTAGAAGACTAATCTTATTCAAGTATGTGCATGAAATTAGCCTCTAAAATTAAACCACTGCTTAGATCTTTTTAGAATTTGGGATGGCTTTAAGCCATTGCTTTCAGAAAATCTGCAGAGGTTAATGCATGTAAGACATGTGATGTTCACAGATTGCATTCACACTTTTTCAACAAGTTTGGTTTTATGCCACTTATAGCAATATTCCAGCAATATCACGGCGAGTGACACCAGAAATCAGCTTCACACGTTGTACCCATGTGGGGAATCGAACCCGGACCTTTGTGTCACAAGTGAACACTATGACCATTTGGCTACCCTACAGCAGCCACAACTTATGATAAAGTAACAGCAAATAATGTCAAATGAACAGAAACTGTATCAATTTCATTTTATCTAAGTAAATGTTTTTATGCTTCATGTTTTAGCATGTTTATTTGGTGTTCAACACTGCACCAAGCAATGTTTCAGCTACATTACAACAGTTACTACATAACTGAGACTGGACTATATAATCCAGTGACTGACATCATGAGCATCCATCTATGCAACTGGGGTATGATGAAATGCATCAGCCATGTCAGCAGGCCTGACCACCAAGCCTTGACCACTTGTTACTTGCTGCTAATGACAAGGATGGGTATTTGAATACCAATGTAAACCAGGATCTTCAAAGACGCTCATGCTATATGGTGTTGGTCACACACACAAGTACATGCCAGAATGGTGCCATTACTCAAAACAAGACAATAATGTGAACTTGCCCACATGTTGTCTATGGAAAATATTTCAGGGATACTTACATAGGTCTTTAAAAGAGCAATGTCCCCTTCATCAAGAACTACAAGAAAAGAAAGTCATACTTATAGTTGTTACAAATGTTGCAAATCATACCTTATGTACAGTATGATATGATTAATCACAAGACTGCCTCCGTGGTGTAGTGGTTAGAGCGTCCGCTCGGAGAGCGGAAGGTCGCGGGTTCGATCCCCGACCGCGTCATACCAAAAGACGTTAATATATGGTACTTGTTGGTCCCTGCCTGGCGCCCGGCATTAATGGGTACAGCAAGAACTGGTCGGCTCGGAGTCAGTATAATGTGTCTGAGTGGGGTATTTATGCTTCACTGCGGCATGGTATCTCAGTGGGCTAGCACTATAAAACCAGCTTAAGTCTGGGCTAGTACAAGCAGCCGCACATACACACGCATGCACATCGTCATATGAGCAAAATATTTTCAAGCACGACATAAAACCCAATTTCACCTCACCATTAATCACACTAATTGCAAGTTTAAATCAATCTAAGACTGCAACAATCATTTGGCAAATATAACCAAAATAGGGGTATTAACCTGGGGCTCCTTTCACGAAGCAACGCTTAGTAAGGTTAACCATAACTTCCACATCTGATTCTGAGTTCGAATAGAGAAAAAGCATGATGCTTACCATGTTAACAGAGAATCAACTATAATATTTCTAGTAACTGTGAATATATCCTGATGTTTGTAGAAATTTTGGACCATTCAGTTGTCACTAACGTAAGATGAGACTCTAGTCTGAGAGCATTTGAAAATGAAAGTATATACAACTTCAGGGTTGTTTTTTTTTTTTATGGAAATAAGGACGTGATAACAAAAATCATGTTAGACTTTACCATGTCTGACAAATTCCACAAAGTTTTATTGTCCAACTTTAAACAAATGACAAAGAAGCATATTTGTTATGGATCAACATGCGCCCACTAACAAAGACGATTATATTCTGTTGAGAATGTAAAATGTCAAGCTACGTTCATGAATGGTACATATTTCTGTAAATTTCCGAAAATGACAATGCAAATTTGAGGTGTTAGTTTCAATCATTGCTCCAGTATTTACCCTGAATGGGCTTATCTTCTTCTTTGTCATCCTTCACTTTCCTCTGGTCAGATCCTAAGTGATCAGGCATGATGAAATAAAATTATAAACAACAAACACAGTCGAAAAAGGCCGGATAATTGTGTGTTTGAGGATAAAACTTGACTGTAATACCGGAAGTAACGTTTTCTCGCTGTGTCTCGCGAGATACGTTTTATTAACTTCCGGTGATGTCATTACCTTGGAAAATATGACAACAAATTGGTGAAGGAATCAGTTCTCGAACTAGAAATGCTCCTGTACGTAGAAGATAAAGCTTTTCCGGTGAGTAAACTGTAAAACGTTTGCGGTCCTGTGAAACCATATAGATGATATGTTATAAAGCGTAGTTTCTTATGTAACGTGTACGGACCTCTTAAACTTTAAGACTTTTACATAAGCTTTAGCTTATGTAAAAGTAGGTAATCTACACTGCCAATCGGACGGTACTCAATAGAAGCGCCTCAAAGTGTCACTGTTCTTGCTTGCCACTGCGATCTTAAGGTATAACACTTTTACGCATTAAATATTGTTTTATTTTAACGATAAAATAATGATCTGTTTATTTTGAACTCCTTGGAGGGCTGTGCAGTGTGTAACTTAGTAGCAGTGTGTTGTCTGTTACTTAATATGACTAAACGTGTCGTGTGTGACGTAATATGAGTAAACAGTGCAGTACTTAACTAAAAATGAGTAAACTGTATAATGTGTAACTTAAAAGCAGTGAACTGTTTAGTGTGTAAGTTGTAACTCAGTAGTAGTAGTAGTGTAGTGTGTGACGTGTGTTGTGTGTAACTTTGTAGAACTGAACTGTGTACAGCGTTAGTGTAGTCTGTGACGTGTGTTGTGTGTAACTTTGTAGAACTGAACTGTGTACAGCGTTAGTGTAGTCTGTGACGTGTGTTGTGTGTAACTTTGTAGAACTGAACTGTGTACAGCGGTAGTGTAGTCTGTGATGTGTGTTGTGTGTAACTTTGTAGAACTCACAGAACTGTGTACAGTGGTAGTGTAGTCTGTGATGTGTGTTGTGTGTAACTTTGTAGAACTCACAGAACTGTGTACAGTGGTAGTGTAGTCTGTGACGTGTGTTGTGTGTAACTTTGTAGAACTGAACTGTGTACAGCGGTAGTGTAGTCTGTGATGTGTGTTGTGTGTAACTTTGTAGAACTGAACTGTGTACAGTGGTAGTGTAGTCTGTGACGTGTGTTGTGTGTAACTTTGTAGAACTGAACTGTGTACAGTGGTAGTGTAGTCTGTGATGTGTGTTGTGTGTAACTTTGTAGAACTGAACTGTGTACAGTTGTAGTGTAGTCTGTGACGTGTGTTGTGTGTAACTTTGTAGAACTGAACTGTGTACAGTGGTAGTGTAGTCTGTGACGTGTGTTGTGTGTAACTTTGTAGAACTGAACTGTGTACAGCGGTAGTGTAGTCTGTGACGTGTGTTGTGTGTAACTTTGTAGAACTGAACTGTGTACAGTGGTAGTGTAGTCTGTGACGTGTGTTGTGTGTAACTTTGTAGAACTGAACTGTGTACAGCGGTAGTGTAGTCTGTGACGTGTGTTGTGTGTAACTTTGTAGAACTGAACTGTGTACAGCGGTAGTGTAGTCTGTGACGTGCGTTGTGTGTAACTTTGTAGAACTGAACTGTGTACAGCGGTAGTGTAGTGTTTAACTCAGTAATAGTGAAGTGTTTGGGGACTATTTCAGTAGCTACTAAGTATAGTGTTCAACTCAGTAGTGAAGTGTTTAGTAGTGTTTGTGGTCTATTTCAGTAGTTACTTAAAGTAAAGTGTTTACTGTTACTGTGTGTTGTTCCAGCACAAGACATTTGTGGTGGTGGTGAAGGGAGAGGAGAAGGTGGCTCGAGTCCGGGCTCAGTTGCTGCACATCTTGTACAACATTGGGAAAGAGACGCATCAGTTCCGACTCCGACACAATGGACAGTTTCTCCGGGATGCCCACACACTTGACCAATATGACATTGTGGACAACTCCGTCATCAAGATGGTTCCCATGTCCAAGAAACCAGAGGTAATTATCCCCTGTTAATCTAGTGCCACCTGAACCATGTGACGACAGTTGTACACATTTCTAAAATTCGTTGTTTTGAGTTACATGAAATGATAACTGAGCTGTTATATATTTGCAGGCCTCCTTTGACACCATCTCAATGACCAGTAGTACAGTCAACCTGGAGTTTAGCCCAGGGCAACCTCCCAATGTGAAGAGGGCTTTGTACTCTGAAATCAAACATTTGGATTGGAGAGAAAGAATTCTGAATGACTTTAAAGTAAGATAGAATTTTGAACCACCCCTACAGGGCCCGTAGAGGGGCCCCCTACAGCTCAAGAGCAGGTAACTCTGGCTGTGTACCTCGTACCACCTCACTTTTCATGCTGTCGATGCGTCGGCCGTGGAGTCGATTGATTGCATGGTCAAGCTTCTGAATAAGAGAGAGATGGTAGTGAGATAGAGTCAAATCCTGTATGTATGGTTCCTTTTTTAAAACGTCGAAGCTAGCTGGAATCTTTGTATGACTTTTTTCATTCATGATTTGTTGTAACTTTACGGCGTGTTAAGCTGTCTCCAGCCACGCGTGGCAGGCAAGATGGCGGACGCGCGGGGTCCGTTTGCTTTCCTTCTCCTGGCTTTAGAAAAAGCCTTGTAGTCGGATTAAGTAAAGGGGCTGATATTTCATTTTGTAGATTATACTTGCCTAAATTCCTCTTTTTCCAGGCTTTAAGGTAAGTTTTGCTTGAGTGTTTTTGCATTGTGGCGTTTGCGTGTGCAAGCTCACACATGTTGCTCTTTGTCACCTATGTGCGCCCATTACCCAACGGCTATTATGGCTTTGCGCTAGTATTTAATAGCTTTGCTGTAACAGTTAAAATATCAGCCGGGCGTTGTATTTTGTTCTGTTTTTGTTGTGTACATATTATATTATGTATATCGTACAGTCCTTGCTATTGTCATAGAGTGGTTCTGTTTTTGCAGCCCAAGGGTGTGTCACCTGTAGCGGCAGTTTGTCACCTCAGGATGCGCCACCTGGTTTGCTTTACGTTGTTTAGCGGAGGAAGCCCATGACGAACAAAAGGTTGTTCTATGTGTCAGGCTTTCTCCCCGCACCATCAAGTCAGACGTGCTGATTACATGTTCTACACGTCCTTACTTCAAGCTGGGGACATTTGGGGTCAGGAGCCTAAAGACAAAGATAAAAAGCAAAGAAAAGAATGCTTCGGCTTCCTCTCTTTTGGGGATGCTCCTAAGCGGTGAAGGTGCGGGGCCTCGGCTCAGTCACCTGCCATCCCTCAACATCACAGGCACCTTCCCCCTCCTGTCCCTGTTTCTAACCAGCTAACAATTGGTTACTTTCTGATATATTGCAGAAGCAGATGGATTCAGTCCACACTCTGCGTGGCTGGCGCTTGTGGCTGGCCTCCGCCAGGAGATTGGCGTCCGGCCGAGGTATGCCGGGTGTGTGTGTGCAGGGTCTATGGCGAGGCAGTGCTCCCAACCTCAGCTTAGGCTCTGGTGTGGGGGTTTCTGCTGTCAGGGGAGTGCGTCGGCTCCGAGTCTCTGCCTCTCGGTTGCTGGCCACCCTCCGCTGTAGTAACTGCTACGGCCCGAGCCTTGGCTCTGGGTCTGGTCCAGTAGTTAGTAGTTTGGCAGGCTCAGTCCCTGTAGTTGCCGCTATACCATAATTGTGTCCCACCGGCTTAGCGCCCGGCTTGGCCATTTAGATGTCGGGATCATTTGTCTACCATTGAGGAATCCCAGCCGCGGGCTCTTCCCTCGTCGCGGCACAGCGACTCAGTATCGAGTCTTGGGTCAGGTGTGCGGGCAACCCGGCTCTGCTCGAGCCTTTGTCCCTCTCTGTAGACCCTCGGATGATCCCTCAGAGCTCTCTCTGGTTACAGAGACCTCACTCATTGAGGATCGATTCGAGGAGGCTATGGAGGAGGATGAGGTGAGGGAGGAGTTTAGTATGCCTTTGGTTTCCAGCTCGGTGCGTCCCTGAGAGGCAGGTGCAATCGGAGGCGTATTGCTTCTGTCCTGCCCCAGGTAGTGGTCAGTACTGGCGCACCCGACCCTCAGGAGTTTAAGCCTCAGGGGAGGATTTTGCTCCCACCAAGGTGGGGGACACAAGGCTGCGTATATTACCCTCAGTCTTGTCTGAGGTAATCAACCCCTCCTCTGGTGGTACCAGGTCCAGGTTCGATTTGCCAGAACTTGACCGTCCGGTACCTCATGGGGAGGCTTGCCTTCCACAATCCCCCCCAGTGGTTGACGATTGTGTTTACGCATCCGCCGTCGCCTGGGGGAGTTACGTCGAGTAATTCTATGGCTTCAGCCAAGCAAGGTCGCCGGCTTCCGCCCGTTCCACGACTAACGCTGGCAGCTTAAATCGCTTCCTATCGATCCTTTGAAGAGCAATGCGCCAATGCGGTTCAAGTGCCTCAAAGTGACGATCCATTCATACATCATCTCGTGTTGCAGAGGCAACTACTGGATGTGGGTGGGGTGGAGGAAAGATTCGTCTCCCTCCACCTTGGCTAAGCAATTAACGGAGGGTACAGTCACATCTGGCCGCGATTCTATCAGGTCGTCGGCTTGCCAAATGATAATGTGGCAGGTGATGGGCCTCCGTCGCCTGTGGCTTTCGATGGCGAGGTATTAAGCCTGCCATAACAGGCTCTGCTGGCACTGCCATTCGGATGGGTTCTACCCTGTTCCCCGGGCAGCTACAGTAGTCCGGGAGGCCGCTGAGGCTGTCTCAACCTTCAAGGACTCTAAGCCCTTGCTGGAACAGCCTCACATGTCTCGCTCAGCGGCCCGGTTGCCTCCTCGCATATCCTTCTGCCTTGGCTAAGGAATCTGTTAAATGGGCTCAGCCCTTGCAGTCGCGTGAAGGGTAAGGGGCAGAGGCAGGGGCAAGGGCAAGAGTCACGGCCCACCAGCCTTTTCAGAGGAAGGGGAAGTCAGCCCCGGCTTCCCAGCTATAATTCCTCCGGAGCCCTTGTTGGTACCAGACCAAGCAGTCGGAGTACTGCCGAAGTCAGGTATTCAATGTCTCATGCCACATATCCCTGTGGGTGGTCGACTTTCCCTCTTCCTGTCGGAATGGGAAAAAGTCACGTCCAATCCCTGGGTCCTGTCCACACTCAGGGAAGGCCACATGCCACAGTGGAAGCGAGTTTGCACCCAGTCGTTGCTGGACAAGGCAGCCATAGAGGTGGTTCCTGTGGGACAAGAAATGTTGGGTTTTACTCAACTTATTTCCTTGTCACCAAAAAGGACGGAGGGTTCAGACCTATTCTAAACCTCAAAGGTCTGAACGACATGTTAGAGGTACCGTCCTTCAAGATGGAAACACTGCGTTCGGTGATTTCGTCTGTGGAGAAGGGAGATTGGCTCACGTCAATCGACCTCAAAGACGCGTACTTCCATGTCCCTATGCACCCCGAGTTCAGGAAATACCTAAGGTTTTCCTTCGACGGGAGGTGCTATCAGTTTTGGTACTCCCCTTGGCATCTCCACACAGCCACGGGTGTTCACCAAACTCATGCTAATTCCAGCTCAGGTAGCGCAGGTCACAGGGCAGGTGCTGTCACCCGTACCTAGGCGATTGGCTCCCTTCGTCGCGCTGCCACTCCACTTGAGTCGAGTTGCGACACTTTCTGTGATGAGTATTCTCACCAAAGTTGGGCTGGATTATCAACCTCAAGAAATCAGAACTGGTTCCCCACCCAGGATCTGGTGTTCTTAGGAGCGAGATTGAGACAGCGGGATAGTCTCCTGTCTCCGGACCAAGTCCACCAAAGTCCAGAGAGTTGTGTTACAATTTCTCCAGAGTTCCCCAGAGACCTCGGCTCATCGGACTTGGCTCCAGTTGCTAGGCAACATGGCGGCAGCAGTGGACATCGCTTTGAAGGGTTGAGGATGCGACCCATTCAGCAGGCTCTAGCTCGAATGTGGAGTCCACACCCAGGGTTACGAGTTGATTCTCCACACTCCAGGGTGGCTAATTCCTCATTCACGGTGGTGGACACTGGCAGGGAATTTATCCAGGGGGCCCCTTTGGACATCCCATCGCCAGATCTCTCAATTCAGACGGACGCTTCCCTCACAGGGTGGAGGCGTGCTGAAGCGCCCTGTCGGTCTCAGGCCTGTGGTCACAGAGCGAAGCGCACTGCACATCAATGTGCTAGAATTGAGAGCAGTCAGGTTGGTGTTCAAACGACTTCGGGAGCAGGTTCAAGGCGTGTGGTCCGTCTCGAGATGGACAACCAGACGGCAATGACTCTACATCCTGAAGCAGAGGCGATGCGGTTTCCCCATCTCTTCTGCAGGAGGCATGGCAGTTTCTGCTCTGGTGCGACCAGTTCGACATACGGGTGATGCCTGTTTATCTCCCTGGGGCAGACAACGTTCGAGCAGATGCACTCTCTCGTCGTATCCTGGCCCCACACACACGAGTGGATGCTCCATCGGGGGATATTCGGGGCTATCTCCCAGTTGTTAGTCGTTCCAGGTGGATCTGTTTGCATCTGGGGGCCGAACCAGATTCGATGGTTTTGCTCTACCGGATACCAGATCCGGTGAGCCATCGCCCAAGACGCTTTCCAGCTCGATTGGACGGACAGGGTTCTGTGGGCGTTCCCGCCACTACCCTGATTCCCAAAGTCCTCTTGCAGCTTGCCGCAACCAGCTCGACTTCTTGTGCTCCTTGCACCCCTTTGGTCGGCTCAAAGCTGGTTTCGGTACTACTCAGGTTTCTGGCTCAGCCTCCTGTACTATTACCCTTCGACCGGACTTACTATCCCAGAGCGGGCCGCTGCCGAATCCCAGGATTCAGTGGGTGGCCTGGCCTCTGTCGAATGAATCGCCTCCGCAGCGGCGGAATTCCTGCACCAGTTGCAGACACAATTCTGGCTTCGGAGGGATTCGACAAAACGTTCAGTATGAGGATAGATGGGCCTGTTATGCGCGCTGGTGTGTCGGGCAGAGGATTCTTGATCCCTTTTCTTCAACTGTAATTGAAGTACTGGAGTTCTTGCAGTCTGGGTTAGAAGCCGGTTTAGCGCGTCTACTATCGGGGCTACTCCGCGGCAATCTCTGCCTTCCATATCCCTGCCGACGGCGGTGCTCTCTTGGGGCAGCACCCTCTAGTACAGCGCTTTTTAGCAGGCGTGGACAGAATCCGTCCGACTGTCCGGCGGATTAGTCCCCGATGGGACTTAATCAATCGTTCTTGATTGGATGTCGGTCCTCTCTTTCCGCGATCTGTCGTCTCTTTCACTCCAGCTGTTAAGTTGGAAGGCTGCCTTTCTTGTGGCGGTAACGTCTGGCAGGCGAGTAGGTGATATCCATGCGATGTCAGCGGATCCTGCTCTGACTGTCTTTCACAAAGACAGAGTCAGCATTGGTTGCCAGACTCCTACCGTCCTAAGGTGCGCGAAGCGCTTTCATATAACGCCCTATCGAACTGCCAGCTTTCCTCAGCCTCCATCGTCCGGTACCTCTCTTCGGCGTGCTCACGCGTCTTAGATGTCCGTAAGACTCTCAAAGGCTTATATCAAAATGAGCGGCTGCTATCAGGAAAGATAAGCAGCTGTTCTGTTGTTATGGGTGGTGTAAGGCTGGTCTTCCGCTAACAAAGCAGACCATATCTAGGTGGCTTGTCTCTGCCATTTGTTCGAGTTACTCTTACAAAGGATTAACCATCCCTCAGGGTTTAAAGGCTCATTCGATTAGGGCAGTGGCGACATCAAAAGCATCGCTGGCGGCACTGCCCATTGAGGAGATCTGCTCAGCGGCTATCTGGAGCCGACCGAGTCACGTTCATCCGCCACTATCAGCTGGACAAACACTCCGCGGGGCGTGCTCGGTTTGGCCAGACAGTTCTCACCAGTGGACAGTGTCGTGATTCTCTAGCCGAATGAGCCTTGAGAAATCACGTTTGCTTTTCTCATGGTGTAGGTGTTAATAAATTCCCATTTTTTATCAGTGGTGGTATCACTTTGGTGGTGGTTTTACCGTATGTAGCGATTATCACTGCGCTACAGTCACTGTGTTCATCCCTGCACCAGCTTGGCTGGTTTGGGTTGCTGAGGGATATATATTGGACTCGCCCATACTTTCCCTCCCATTTTGATGGTTGGGGTTTGGGACTTTGCGTCAGTCTTTATAAATTCCACCAATAGCCTGTCGGCTAGGCTCCTTTCCCCGCCTTGCCACGCCCCACGCCTGATTGACATCAGCGGTCAGGTGACTAGGTGAGTGTACTTTCTCTCTCTGTCGCCGCCCGGCTGTGCCTTCGACTGAACTTGGGGGTATGTTAGGCAGACAGAATACCGCTCCGACTCAACATCGTTGGGGAGTCTGTCTTATGCTTATATGTACCCCAAGGAGGACTTCTTCTGAAAAATTTTACAAACCTGGAGAGGTTATGAATTCTTTGAAGAAAAGTCCTCCTTGGGTATGCGACACCTCCCTCATTCTGTCTGACACGTTCAGCATGAAAAGTGAGTGAGTCACGAGGTACACAGCCAGAGTTACCTGCTCTTGGCTGTAGGGGGCCCTCTACGGGGCCCTGTAGGGGTGGTCTCACCACACATAACGAGTTTTTTGTTTGGTAAAATATTTTATTGAAATATTGTTACAACTGTCGTAGGCTTTTAAAATGGACATTTTAATGCTTATATGTACCCCAAGGAGGACTTTTCTTCAAAGAATTCATAACCTCTCCAGGTTTGTAAAAATTTTGCACTATGGGCACATCTGCACAAAATGTGCATGAAAACTTATGATACTTTGAAGTAAAGATTTTATAGTTTACAAATTGCTGTTAGAGACATTTTGGATAAAAATGTGAATAGATATTGCTCGATGGAACCATGTTATCAACTTTTACTCTCAGATGTTTGATTACTCTGATAGATATTGAGATTAGATGTAGCTTTTAGCTTTTGTGACAGATACTGTGATCAAATGTAGCTCTCTTTAAATTATTTCTGGTTCAAGCAATCATCAAGTGGAATTGGAAATTTGAAAAAGAAATATCATTAAACAGGTGATAAAGCACAACAGAAGAAATTGTCCCCAAAACAAAAGTGTCTGCCACAGGAGGGGTTCTCCTTAAAGGGGAGGAGGGGCAGTGGGGTAGCCAAGTGGTTAAAGCGTTCGCTCATCACACCAAAGACCCGGGTTCGATTCCCCACATGGGTACAATGTGTGAAGCCAATTTCTGGTGTCCCCATTCGTGATATTGCTGGAATATTGCTAAAAGTCGCGTAAAACTAAACTCACTCCTGAAAGGGGTTAAAGCAGGTTCCTGCTGTTAGATGGGTCGGCACCCTGATAAGTCCACCTTGGGGCAGCGTGAGTCGGCACCCTGATAAGTCCACCTTTGGACAGCGTGGGTCGGCACCTTGGGGCAGCTAAGTCGGCACCCTGCTAAGTCCACCTTGGGGCAGCGTACTCTACTGGATGTGTTCCAACTAACCCAGCAGCTATGGTTCACCTGAGTGAGGTAATTAGGGGATAATGGTGAAAATCTGGCATATGATGCAGCAAACTGTTGAATAACTCACAAAACTTACAGAAACAACAATTAACTGTTAAACTATATTCAAATACACTGTATTGGGTGAAATCTTTTAGTATGGCAGTGTTTGATATATAACCTCAGCCAGCTTATTTTACAGTACCAATCAACAAGTTTTCTTCTAAATACATTACTCTGCTGAATATGTTAAGCCATGTTATGGTTCCAGCATTTTGTTTATTTTATTTTATTATATAGACTTGACTTCTATCTGTTTCAAGTCGGAACATCTTCTGCTGCTGTGCTGGAATCGTCTCCCTGACATTTACCGCTGTAGCTCTCTACCTGGCTGCCGCTCAGTGGATAACTGTCATTGTAGGTATACTCTGTAAACAATATCTGCAAGTCTCAGATTTCTACTAGCTCCATATATAGCTAAAAGTATGAGACTTCAAATGGTTGGTTGGTTTGTTGTTTAAGGCTGCACTCAGAAATATTCCAGCTATATGGCGGCGGTCTGTAAATAATCGAGTCTGGACCAGACAATCCAGTGATCAACAGCATAAACATCGATCACCATTGGGATATGATGACATGTGTCAACCAAGTCAGCAAGCCTGACCACCCGATCCCGTTAGCTGCTTCTTTCAGTGAGCATGGGTTGCTGAAGACCAATTCTAACCCGGATTTTCATGTGTCTGAGCGTTCAGAGAGAGTATTGAAACCATTTTCAGGACTGTTACCAAGTCCACATATTGTTGTCTCTCTGCTAATAGTTCTGTTTTGCTGTAGGTATTACTACTTACAAGAGGGGTGGGGTGGTATAGGTGGCAAGTGGTTTAAGGTAACTGCTATTGCCATGCACATCCATCCAGAAATAGTATCTGAATCTAACTAACTCTCTACTGGTTTCAGGGTCACGGTTGTGCTGAGTTTGTGGATGAATGTTCCCATCAGAAGGTGTACACAGCAGTGTTCTTCTCCGTCCAAGCCCTCCTGGTCCTGGTGTCCGGGATCCTGGCATGGGTGCTGCTGGTCAACTTCAAGCTAGAGGTTAGTCAATGTTGCAAATAATGAATAGCTGCCCCAACCAAGTGGATAGCTGGATACTTATGATGGTAGACACACACCACCTTCTTTTCAACCTTCTCTCAGGCGGTGGGGAAGCCTAGTGGTTAAAGTGTTCGCTCATCTTGCTGAAGACTCGGGTTTGATTCCCCACATGGATACAATGTGTGAAGCCCATTTCTGGTGTCCCCTGCTGTGATATTGCTAGAATATTGCTAAAAGCGGTGTCAAACTAAACTATCTCACTCACTCACTCACTCACACAGAATTTCTGTAAAGAACATAACATCAATATTGCCCTTTAAGAAAAACATTCAAACATCTGTTTTGAAAATGTTATCATTAGATGTATATAAACTGTACCATTTTTATTTCAGATGGGTGACAGAATTGAGAAAAACTTGATACAGGAGAGAGACATTGACCAAGTCATTCTGGCTGCCAAAGATGGAAAGTATGTATATATACTGCGCGCACACAAATTTCCCACCTGCCTATCTCCACTCATTACACCCCATTGTGACCTGAATCTTAGGCTTGAGATCCACACCTTTAAGTTGACATGCTGTTGAGCCCTGTGTCATCAACAGAAATACTGGTCCAAGTATCCTTGAACCTGCTCCATGAGGGTTGTGTTGTCACCTGGGAATAGTGTAACGATATATTGCTGTACTTTAACCTGTATCCAGTTTGTATTGCAGTTTATTACCAATTCACATTGTCAAGGGTTTATAACCTGTATTATCATATCAGCAACACTGACCACACAGTGGGTTATGTTAAATCATTAAATGTATTTTTCCTTATCCTGACTCATGCTCTTTTTGCTTGTCTTCTTCTTCTTGCGAACATAGTGGAACACTTGTATCTCCCTAATTGAAGCTCCCTTCAATTTAAAATCACTAATTAGTATTCACCACGAGTTACCTCCTTTCCACAAGCTCGGGAACGAGGGCGCCACCTCTACCCATGTGCCTCACTCTCTCCTTCTTCGCCCAGTGAGCTGGACGAGAGCTTGTGTCTCCCAATACACTATATCCTTTGAATTATATTTAGTTAGTTACCTCGTGATAGACATCTATAGAGGTTTAGCTAGTATCCTTCAACGATTATATATTGATATTTAGCGTTTTCTACAGTTTATTCACGGACGACCGTGTTTGTTTCAGTGGATTACGCTGATGAAAATTCTGTACTATTGCAGATTACGCTTTTATGCTGCTGCTGATCCGCCCTTTAATATGATGTACGGCCATGTTTATTATATTCACATTGCAGTTGCGTACTAATTTATCCACCTCTACCTTTTATTAATATTTACTTTGGCGCTTGCACGCATACAGCAGATAGGTCGCGTATGCAGAGTCTAGTATGACTGATACACGGAACCCCTCGCCAGTCTACTGCTGTTGGCCGACTCTCCCGTGTGGTGTTCCGCTAGAGTGGTCGAGAGGTGTGGACGAAGTCCGCCATCTCCAAGAAGCATCCTGCTTCCCAGACATCCCATCGCCGCAGCAGAAGACTAGAGGATTTTTTCTACTACATCTCAACAACCGAGACCGCTCCCATCGGTTTTGGGCCTGTATGATGATCAGCCGTCATCATACCGATGTACATCAAAGATTGACCGATGTCGGCACAGATCAGCATGCAGCCTGATGTACCAACGCGAGATATGATGATCGCCCTGAGGGTCCCATCATTACCAACACTCAACGCAGACGCCGCGACACCCAGGCAGCGTCGACCTCTGAGGGAAAATCAACGAAGTCTACTAGACTTTCTCAACCGAGATTGTTCCAGCCGATGACCTGGACTTCTACGATGATCAGCTGATCATCATCCCCACGCACGCCACAAGAAACGACCGGGATTAGCTACAACGCATCAGCAGAGATCACCATGCAGCCTGATGCCTCTACACTGATGTCGGACGATTTTCCGTGGACCCCTCCATTAACACCGCAGATAAAGCACCGACGACCGCCGCAGACCATCCCAGAAGACATGATGCGACAAATTATGAACATCATGGAGGACCAATATCTCGCGTAGCAGGGTCCGAAAGCCAAGGCCAAGGCTCCAACGTGACAGCACCCCAGAGGCACCCCCGTCCAACGTAGCAGCCAGGACGATGTCACCTTCGCTGGCGAAGTCACGGACCACCTTGACGGCGACCTAGATGTACAGCTTTCTGAAGGCCTTCGCCGGCGGAAAGGACCTAGATGTACAGCCTTCGCCAAGGCGAAAGAACCTAGATACAGCCTTCGCGAAGGACTTCGCGAAGGCAGGATAGATCATCACCTTATGCGGTTTCATCCCTAGATGTGGACTCGACCATCAGACATCACGGAAGCCTTCGCTAAGGTCATATCGTCGTTCCCCGACCGACGCAGAGGAAGCTTCGCGAAGGCATGCGCGGACACCTGAATCCAGATCATCATCATCTAGAAGGACATCGAGGGACTATACAAGAGCTTCGCAAAACTATCAACGCTCCTCACAAGTCTCCGAGAAGATCAACCCATAGACAAGTTGATCATCGATATCAAGTATAAGAACTACAATCGTATATTGGTTCTGTTGAATCCATGACGAGACGTGATGTTCGCTGGCCCTAAATAGATCTAGAACGATCAATTAGACACTTATCACCAGACTTCGTGAACACCTACTTCTGAATATGATAAGATGATCCATGCGCCCTATTTAGGCAAGCGCCACGATCCCACATCCTGTTAAACACAGAGGCTGTCACACGGCAAGCCATATATATATTTATATATATATATATATACTAATCGGCTTTTGATTCTCGACACCTTCGCGATGGTCGCTAAGGCTAAGTGGCTCCAAGTCTACTTCACCCAGAAGATCTAGAAGGGATACTTCGAGAACTTCGCGAAGTCTCCAGCGCTCACCGAGGAAGTCTCCTCCAAGGTTTCCATATACTAGCCACTGCATCATATATAGCTACTGCCAGTCCGTTTCAAGACGCCGCGATAAGTTGATTATCAACTGTATGCCAGATGCCGCCTATAAGCCTACGCTAAGATAATTGCTCAGGCTATTTACAACACAGAACGCCGCTGTATTATTAGTCAACGACATTTCATAGATCTTCACAGAAATCAACTATTCCGTATAAATTGCTAATATACAACCCCGACGACGATACGATTATCTACATGCGCGACCATTACGCGATATCTGCAGACTATTCAATATCATCGAATTGAACAGCAGCCTTGTTACAGCGAGTATAACTCTTAATCGTCCAAAGTTTCTGAGAAGAAATATGTACAACAAGTTCAACGCTAATTCTACAATTATGACGATACATTCATGTATACAGTCTACAAGCTCACAACTTGCAAGTTGTTTATACCCTTATTTATAAGGAAGTCGGAATTATATTCAAAACTGAAATTACTTTCACGACAACCAGGAAAATAACCTACCCAGCATAAAATTACAGAGCGAGATATTTCGCGCCGGAGGTTTCGCTCGGTTACCATTAACCCTCGAAACACGTGGTCACTCGGATAACTTCGGGAAGCTACGGTGAAGACCGACGTTTATGCTAATATCAACGACAAGAATTTACCGTATACCGGGAAATTTTCGAGGTATCTAATTTTCGAGGTTTTCGAGGTTAGAAACGCAACCTCGAAAATATTATATCCATGAATTTTTCCGAACTTCAAACCTTTGGGTTAGATTTCCTATCGATAAGCATTTCAACTGCTGGCAACCAATGACTTCCTGACATGCTCATTAACTCTTTGATGCATGTCTAAACTAATAAACAAACAACAGAAATGCGGTGTCGATACTATTTAATTGTGTTGCAATTGTTGGTCCAGAACAACATGCATTATAGAAAATAGGTAATTCAATCAGTGTCTTACATGTGAAGTCAAACCAACTGTCAATACACTCGATGTCACTCTCTGGCCAAACGGACTGCATCGGTGATGCCAGGTTTGATGAATGCGCTATCTTTAAGGATGGTTTACACAAACATCCTGGGGCTGTAAGGTATCCGTGCAGTTGGTCAGTTTCGCTAAAGAGGTCAACTTGTCAGCTTTCTAACAACAACATAGTTTCAGCAGAGACCCATGCATACATGCTTATAGTTAGTTGTTAAAAAAATAATATCGTCTGAGCAAAAATGGCGTCATGTTTGAACACTGCCGACAGAGTGTTTCATCGGTCATTTATCACAACAAAGGATCAAAGGGTTGTTTTCATTACTATTATTTCTGCCATGGACTGGTATACCGGTAGTTATAACAGTCAGACGGCAGTTATCACTGGCTACTTGCCGATAGTTCACTGAGTATTAATCCGGTAAGTCATGTTTGTGGCCACTTTCTTCTAACCTCGAAATTCAAACTGTCTAAAATATTTATATATTTTAGGCCCCGAAACCTCGAAATTTAAATCACCTCGAAAGCTCTGGGGGTCTCAAACCTCGAAATTTTAGTACCTTGAAAATTTCCCGGTATACGGTATTCAAGGTGGGTTTTTTCCCGCTACACCGGTGACATCACAGCTCGGGTATTATACAGAATCAAAATGCCTTGTTCTGATTGGACCGCGAGGGACAACGACCTACACAGAGGTCGATCTCTATTCACAGTTCAAGACTTACGTCACAAGTGACAACTATATATCAGTGAACGAGCAAGCCTCATTACAGTCCAGTTAACCTGAACATTCATGATTAGACTGCCTTTCTTCAAGTTAGAGACCTCCCCTGTCAAGTTAAGACGAGGGATCGGCAGTCAGGCGATTTTACATAAAGTTCAACGAGGACAGACACACCTGGTTGTGCACCTACATCGCCAAGGACTTCGCGAGCTTAATTACCTAGACGAAGATACAAGTGGGATCTAAATCCACAGCGCTTCAGACTACAGCTGAATTTCATCAGTTTAATTAACACAACTTGATGGTTAGTAAACCTACTAAACTTCTGTTTGGAGAATAAACGGAAATTTCACGCCAAACCTGGGGATATGAATATAGTGCTCCAACACCTCACAAGTGAGGTTTATGAACACGCTTGATGACATACTTGGACCCCATGATACGATGATTCTATCAAGATGGCCAGCAAGAGCACTGTAAATTTATCTCCACCAAACCAAACAGGAGGAAAAATGCAACAGATTATTTCCTCTATCATCAACTTACGCAGAGTGAAGTCTCATGTACTATATCTCCATTTGGATCAGAACTGTCATACTACGTGCATATGGCGCGGATGGACCTATTCCGACCCTCCATGAGCTTAATACTCATGATATTATAGCTTAACTTCTACAAATGTTCTACACAAATGTGATTGAAATAATGGAGGGTTTATTTCTGAACTCGATATGGTGGTTGCAAACCATTATCTGAGAGATATCACCACCGAGGACGCCCCAGGTATACACCAATTGATCCCATGGTCCTCGCACAACAGCTGACAGTTCTCTGAGAAGATAAGTCAATCTAACAGATTTTACTTATCTTATAACAATACTAAATAGCTTCATGCTATATATAATTTACTTAAGTTCCTTTTATCATCACAGTACTATGATTATTACATCATACAATATATAAGTTAACAACTCTACAGAGTTTGTTATTATATATATTTACCTTAAGTTATTCATATCTTAAGAGTAATACTATGGTTACATGATAAATGCATTAGCTAACAAACTCTACAGAGTTTTTGGCTATTTTATACATAGCTTAAGTTAATTAAGCTAACAAACTCTACTGGAGTTTTACTATTATATAGGTAACTTAAGCTAATTATACCTTAAGCATAGTACTATACTCATATTATTAAAATATATTGGCTAACAAACTCTAAGGAGTTTTGCTATTATATAGGTAGCTTAAGCTTATTCATATCTTAAGCTTAGTACTATGTTTATATCATATAAGTAGATTAGCTAACAAACTCTAAAGAGTTTTTGCTATTTGGCTTAAGTATCATCATATTTCTAAGCAATATGGTTATATTATAACATGTATTAGCTAACAAACTCTACAGAGTTTTAGCTATTATATATGTAACTTAAGCTTATTCATATCTTAAGCCAGTACTATGTTTATATCATATAGGTATATTAGCTATCAAAACTCTAAAAAGAGGGTTTTGCTATTATATATTTCTCATTTAAGTTTCATCATATTTTTAAGCTTTATGGTTACATTATAACATGTATTAGCTAACAAACTCTACGGAGTTCTTGCTATTATATATGTAGCTTAAGTTTTCCTTCATAAGCTCAATACTAGGTTTATATCATAGCTAACAAACTCTAAAGGGTTGTTTTCGCTATTATACAATTAGCTTAAGTTTTCATCATATCTTAAGCAGTATGTTTACATTATAAAGCAGATAGCTAACAAAACTCCCGACGGAGTTTTGTTATTATATATATATAGCTTAAGTTTCATCATAACTTAAGCTCAGTACTATGTTTTTAACATAAAAGTATATTAGTTAATAAACTCTAAGGAGTTTATTTTGCTATATACATTTAGCTTAAGTCTAATCTTATCTTAAGCTTAGTACTATGGTTACACTATAAACATATTAGCTAATAAACTCTACAGAGTTTTTTGGCTATTATATATGTAGCTTAAGTTAATAATATCTTAAGCACAATACTATACTCATATTGTAAAATATATTAGCTAACAAACTCTACAGAGTTCTGCTATTATATATGTAGCTTAAGTTCATTATATCTTAAGCACACTACTATACTCATATTGTAAAATATATTAGCTAACAAACTCTACGGAGTTTTGCTATTATATATGTAGCTTAAGTTAATTATATCTTAAGCACACTACTATACTCATATTGTAAAATATATTAGCTAACAAAACCCTACAGAGTTTTGCTATATATATGTAGCTTAAGTTAATTATATCTTAAGCTCAGTACTATACTAATATTATAAATATATATTAGCTAACAAACTCTACAGAGTTTGGCTATTATATATGTAGCTTAAGTTAATTATAGCTTAAGCACAGTACTATACTCATATTATAAAAATATATTAGCTAACAAACTCTACAGAGTTTGGCTATTATATATGTAGCTTAAGTTAATTATAGCTTAAGCACAGTACTATACTCATATTATAAAAATATATTAGCTAACAAACTCTACAGAGTTTTTGCTATTATATATGTAGCTAAAGTTTATTCATATCTTAAGCTCAGCATTATATCTATATCATATAAGTATATTAACTAACAAACTCTAAAGAGTTTGCTATTATATAATTAGCTTAAGTTTAATCATATCTTAAGCTTAGTACTATGTTATATCTTAAAGTATTTTAGCTAACAAACTCAAAGGAGTTTATACTAGCATATTAACAAGCTTAAGTCTATTAGTCTTAAGCATTGTATTAATGTTATATATACTTTATCATAATAAGTACATGGTAATAACCTTTTATATGGCAGCTGATAAGTTAGCAGCAGGAATTCATCAGTTCAGTGCCTTTATGAAGTTCCCATAGGGTTATTACAATCATCACAGTTCAAATCACTAATTATTAAAAATCCAAAGTATTAGATATTCCCACCTCCGTTCCGTAGGATGCTACAAGCAAAAAGAGCATGAGTCAGGATAAGGAAAAATATGTAATTTTTGGAGTAAAATTGATATTTTATACTTATCCTGACTCATGAGGTCAGCCCTCCCATCCTCCCCAAATAACACTTTGGATTTCCCTGTAAATTCAAATGTTGGGCTCAGTATATGAGGAGAGAGTGAGGCACATGGGTAGAGGTGGCGCCCTCGTTCCCGCGCTTGTGGAAAGGAGGTAACTCGTGGTGAATACTAATTAGTGATTTTAAATTGAAGGGAGCTTCAATTAGGGAGATACAAGTGTTCCACTATGTTCGCAAGAAGAAGAAGACAAGCAAAAAGAGCATGAGTCAGGATAAGTATAAAATATCAATTTTACTCCAAAAATTACATTATTGATCAGGAACTGTTAATAATAATAATAATGTGTCGATTTATATAGCGACAAACTCCACACAAGGTATGCTCATAGCGCTAACAATCAAGGCACAGCACATTGTTCTGCTTGTATTGGGATGTGGGTAGGGTTAGTCATTAGCTTGAGCTGTTGTTATGATAATGTATTAATGTGGATATTTATAATGCACTAAATCCACACATAGTCGCTTTTTGTTGTCTTCTTGATATTTTATTATATGTTGTACTTTCTGTTAGCCTAAAGTTTCCAAATGTCATCTATATCTTAGATGTGTTGTACTCTTTGACTTTCACCTTGTTGCTAGGATTAGATAATTCAGTTTGAGATACAGTGTTTTTACCTGTTCAGACTGAACGAGAAGCGGCAGGCGTCAAGTGAGCTGGCGATCATGGCAGCTGCTAACGACGACAACAAGTTCAGGATTGTGGCAGAGGGAGGGTGAGTCTGTCATCATGTTACGGAGTTATGTCCCTTCCCCATGAAGTGACCGTACCACCAGTAGTCGTATCTCCCATAATTTAACATTGACTTAATCATAGTACTTATGGAGCCCATTTTGTGGCACGTTTTCTTCTTGAACATGTTCAAAAAAATGGTCCTACAGAAACATTTGGATGTGTTAGATGTTTAAATGTGGTGTCTGAGGTTGTAATATTTCAATTAAACTTTGACATATATTCAATGAAAAGAAGATTTCAATTATTAAAAGAAATCAATGAAATCTTTCAACTTTTGTTGAGTTCATGTACCTCTGAAAAAGGATAATTTTATGGAATCAACATAATTAAGAAATTGGACATTCATCACCCCAGTACTTTCACTGAATGAAATGTTTACATTCAGGGACAATTCTATAATTAATGTGAATTAATTGAAATGTGAATAAAGAAATGAACGTGAAGCTCAATTCCGTGGTTGTCGCAGCCTGGACATCCTGATGTCGCTGTCCTTGCAGCTTGATGAGTCGACCCAGGAACACGCCCTGGAGGCCATCACTGAGCTGCTCACCATCCCGTCGATACAGGTGATACAGCGTTCGGGGGGTATCTCATGAACTGTTGTACCTAATGTCTTCAAATTTTGTGACAGCCTACATTGGGGGATTACGCAGATACCAGTCGATTTGGGTGACCTTGACCTTATGTTCAAAGTCACTATTGTTAACCTGACTACGACACTATGACCACTTTTCAAACTGATATCTCATAAAACATTGCACCCAATGTTTTCAATTATGTCGGCAGCCTACATCGGGTGATTATGCAGACACCAGTCATTACAGGCATCTTGTATGTGACCAAAAAATAGAAAGTAGTAAATATAGATATTCCATTCTTTAGCGACGGGGGACATTGCCATATCAGTGGCAAACACACGTTATTCTTTGTCACAATGTTTCAGAGCTAATTCTTGCTCCATTTCACTTGATGAAGGAGTAAGAATTAGCTCTGAAGCGTTGTGATAAAGAATAACGTAGTGCACATGCTTCTTGTGAAGTCAGTAACACAGCTACCTCTTTCATAATCCAGTTTCAGTTTGTGAACTTCCTACTCCTAACTTGGTAAGACTGGTGTATAACTAGATCTCCTGTAGTATTCTATATGTGTGTTACAATCATGTATGTATGCTGCAGAAAGTGTAGAAATCCTGCTGTGCAAGCTCAGGAGGCAAATGTCAGTCTGATCCAATTCACTCCTTGTGTAAGGATTGGCATTAAGGTTGGATCTATACTGAAATGTGACATAAGTCTGTGTATTTACCAGGACACGTTTGTGAACATGGGCAACGTGAGCAAGCTGACAGCGCTGCTGCACTCCCAGAGTCCCCGCGTGATGCAGGCCGCCGCTGCCACCATCTCCACCATCGTCAACCAGTCCGAGGAGAACAAGAGTGTCATCATTGCTGACCATGGGTAAGACAGCTGCGGAAAGAGAGACCTACTGCTGGGGAAAACAGACAATGAATTTTATGATCTCCTCCATGTTTCAAATTGTCCAATTGGTGCTAGAACAGGTCCACAGTAGTTTCAGGTTAGAGCTGACTGGCACAGGTGTTGGGAGGGGTGATTACCAGGGAAGATCCTGTGACTACCCAGCGTGGCTCTCACTATCCATGGAAGGGTGATGGCCAAGGAAGATCCTGTGACTCTACCTAGTGTGTCTCTCACTATCCATGGAAGGATGATCACCAGGGAAGATCCTGTGACTCTACTCAGTGTGTCTCTCACTATCCATGGAAGGATGATCACCAGGGAAGATCCTGTGACTCTACCCAGTGTGTCTCTCACTATCCATGGAAGGATGATCACCAGGGAAGATCCTGTGACTCTACTCAGTGTGTCTCTCACTATCCATGGAAGGATGATCACCAGGGAAGATCCTGTGACTCTACTCAGTGTGTCTCTCACTATCCATGGAAGGATGATCACCAGGGAAGATCCTGTGACTCTACTCAGTGTGTCTCTCACTATCTATGGAATGATGATCACCAGGGAAGATCCTGTGACTCTACCTAGTGTGTCTCTTACTGTCCATGAATGGGTGATCAACAGTGAAGATCCTGTGACTCTACCTAGTGTGGCTCTCACTGTCCATGAATGGGTGATCAACAGTGAAGACTTGACTGAATACATAATGCTCCACCCACATAATCACAGTGTTTACTATGATCTGCATGATCTGAACATCAATGATTTTACTGGCGGCTGTGTAATAGCTGAAGTATTTCTTAAACAGCCTGTACAGATCACCTTTGCTCACACACTTCACATCTCTAAACCCATGAAGATCCACCCGGGTTAGAATTTGTTTTCAGTAACATATGCTTATCGTAAGACGCAACTAACAGGATCAGGTGGCCTGACTCGCTGACTTGGTTGACACATGTCGTCATATCCCAATTGCATAGATTGATGCTCATGATGTTGATCACTGGATTGTCTGGTCCAGGCTCGATTTATTTACAGACCGCCGCCATATAGCTGAAATATTGCTGAGTGCGGCGTTAAAGAACAAATCAACCAACCAAATAATCAAACTGTTCTGTTTCATAATTTTAAAAAGATAATGACATTATGAAAGTCTTTCATGTATTTCATGTGAAGAAGATGTTATTTATCTGTTTCAGTTTGGAGGATCTGGCCCATGCTGCATGTAATGGAACTATTGCCTGTCAGCAGTCCGTGGCCAGTATTTTCAATGAGCTGGCTATCAATTCTGACATCAGGGCCCAGTTGACTGCCAGAAACATCCCAGGTACGAGTTTGGAGGTCTGGAGGGATGGGCCAGTAACTCATGTCTGTCACTGAACTAATGAGTGACTGGCTTTGTTGTGTCAGGGTGATAGTAAACCTCACATCTTGGTCAGTCTGACCTGCCCCTATCGTCTAGTGGTTGAGTGTCTGCCTGGAGAGCTAGCCAGTGGTTCAATCCCTGGCCTCATCATGGTTTGTTAGAAGATGGTACTTGTTGTTACCCTGTCTTAGGCTTGTCATTATAGGAATAAAACAGGGACTTGTTGGCTCAGTGAGTTAGTGAGTGAGTTTAGTTTTATGCCGCTTTTAGCAATATTCCAGCAATATCATGGCAGGAGGACACCAGAAATGGGCTTGTACACATTGTACCCATGTGGGGATTCAAACCCAGGTCTTTGGCATGACGAGTGAACGCTTTAACCACTAGGCTTACCCACAGCCCTTGGTTGGCTCAGAGTTAGTGTACCGTGTCTTAGTGGGGCATCATTGCTATTCCCTGGGATGGGTTATCAGTGGGATGTCAATATAAACTGACTTTAGCCTGAGCCAGTGAAGGCAGAGAACACGCCACCATAGTAGTGAAGTTATTATCTTGAACTTAACAGTAAACTCCATTTCACCAGTTTCAGTCTGACAGAAATGGATCCTGCCCAGGACTGAGGTGAGGTTGTAAATAGACCGGTGATGTAGTCCTTCTTTACCTGTGTTTATCTGTGTTCTGTGTTTTCCTGTGTTTACCAGCCCAAGCGCTGACGGAGCTGTGCCGCAGCAATGATTCAGACACACTGAGAGATGCTCTGCAGGCTTTGGAGCTGATGGCTATTGAAAGTGCTGAAACCATCTGTGCTCAGGTTTGTAACTTTACTGAAATTATTACATCATCTCCTACAAGTCAAGAATCTTTTGTTAGGTATATAGTGGCTTATTTATCTAAAAGCCCACAATAACAGTCTATACATATTTTGTTGAAATTCACGATTTTGTGTTTCTGTCACATTTTACTTGTGAGAACAATGATAATAGATATTTATGAGAAATGATAAGACAGTGACTCATACAGTATGTCTAAGTACAGTAAACTCAGGTTATACTGAACTTCAAGGGACTACTAATCTCAGTTTTTTACTTTGTATACTAGTAACTATATTTTCTTACTTTGAAAATTTGTAACTCTCTGTTGCCAATATGTAACCAGCCCTAACATGGAGTTGCCAATATGTAACCAGCCCTAACATGGAGTTGCCAATATGTAACCAGCCCTAACATGGAGTTGCCAATGTGTAACCAGCCCTAACATGGAGTTGCCAATATGTAACCAGCCCTAACATGGAGTTGCCAATGTGTAACCAGCCCTAACATGGAGTTGCCAATGTGTAACCAGCCCTAACATGGAGTTGCCAATATGTAACCAGCCCTAACATGGAGTTGCCAATGTGTAACCAGCCCTAACATGGAGTTGCCAATATGTAACCAGCCCTAACATGGAGTTGCCAATATGTAACCAGCCCCTAACATGGAGTTGCCAATATGTAACCAGCCCTAACATGGAGTTGCCAATATGTAACCAGCCCTAACATGGAGTTGCCAATATGTAACCAGCCCTAACATGGAGTTGCCAATATGTAACCAGCCCTAACATGGAGTTGCCAATATGTAACCAGCCCTAACATGGAGTTGCCAATGTATGTAACCAGCCCTAACATGGAGTTGCCAATATGTAACCAGCCCTAACATGGAGTTGCCAATATGTAACCAGCCCTAACATGGAGTTGCCAATATGTAACCAGCCCTAACATGGAGTTGTGTAGTCCCTGTCTTTGTATACCTATCTGAAATGAATAAAAATGTTTAGTTTGTTCATTATTGGCATTTGATCTAAGATATAAAGCAAGTGGTTGGGACAGAACAAAACACTTCATTATATCGGACAGTTTGTTGTCAATGTGTTCACTATTTACATGGTTTACTGTAGATCATTTTTTGTCTGCTTACTTACAAATACTGTCCTGAGGGTAATTAAGGCTCCTCAGAGGCCCAGATAAGCTGCGTATCTGGGTAAAATACGCATAGAAAATTTCCAATTAAAAATTAGTTGTTGTGTACCAATTACGCATTTAAAACGTTAGATATGCAAAAAGTTTAAAACAAATGCGTACGGAATATATATTTAAAACATCGCTTGCGTAATGAAAAAGACATCGATTGCTATCAAGTTGTACTGTTAGTATAGGACTAGTGTTGTACTGTCAGTATAGGATGAGTGATTTTTTATGAAATCATTTCCAATAGATTTAAGATGGTTTTGATTAGGTATGACATAAGGCAGAACATACCTGCTTAGTAAACTTACTCAATGACATAATACTTATGTGAGTAAAATGACTGAAATACGCACAAATTTAAAAGCAGTGGGTAACGGAAAATGAAATACCCACTCAACATTCATAATACCCACTCCAAAAAAATACAGTGGGTACAGTACCCACATGAGCTAAATCTTATCTTGAGCTCTCATTGATTCTGAGGGTAATTAATATGGCTCCTCTCTCTTTCACAATGCTGAAAAATGCATGTTACACCTGGGCATCCACTGTTGCTGTTTATTGGATAAATGTATCACTAATTTAGCATGCTAACTTTTTCTAATTGCTTTACTGGAAATACTGGTTGAAATAATCAGGGAGCTACCGAAAAAGAAAGGCATACTGAGGATTGAAATAGTACGCATTTGTTACAAATTTTCCACACGATGGAATCACAGGCAGTACTAACACTGTTACTCAAGCACTCGTTAGATGCATTGCTGTGGTAGCAGGAAATTGATTGCAATAAATAGAATGTGCATGTGCTGCTTCCTGTTTTATCCTATGTTCTCTGCTGTTTTCCGTGCAGGGGGACTTGCTGCAACTGTTGCTGCAGCTGCCATTCCGCTCCATGGACGAACGCAACTACCTGCTTGTTGCCAAGATACTCATCTACTACGCAGAGAACAAGGAGGTATGTGTTGTCACCTGACAGTATCAAGATGTATGTAGCCAGCAGCAGTGTCTGGTGCAGACTCGATTATTTACAGTCTGATGCCTTATGGCTGGAATATTGCCCAGGGTGGTGATAAACAAATAGCTGGAAGCAGACAGTATCATGACCTTAAAGTGTGTGACAGGTCTGGCGGCATTGTGTAGAAAACAATGTTCATGTGTGGTGATTCCTTGGTGGAGTGAAGACTGGAACAACTAACCTACCTGCTGCTGTTCCAGAAATGCCAACAGCCTGTGTATCTGTCATTCAGGAGGTTATAACATGTTGGTGAACATATTTGTGCTGTTCCAGAAATGTCAACAGCCTGTGTATCTGTCATTCAGAAGGTTATAACATGTTGGTGAACATATTGGTGCTGTTCCAGAAATGCCAACAGCCTGTGTATCTGTCATTCAGAAGGTTATAACATGTTGGTGAACATATTGGTGCTGTTCCAGAAATGCCAACAGCCTGTGTATCTGTCATTCAGAAGGTTATAACATGTTGGTGAACATATTGGTGCTGTTCCAGAAATGCCAACAGCCTGTGTATCTGTCATTCAGAAGGTTATGACGTGTTGGTGAACATATTGGTGCTGTTCCAGATGTGTTAACAGCCTGTCAGTCAGGAGGTTATAACATGTTGGTGAACATATTGGTGCTGTTCCAGATGTGTTAAGAGCCTGTGTCAGTCAGGAGGTTATGACATGTTGAAGGGAGGGTGAGATAGCCTAGTGGTTAAAGCGTTCGCTCGTCACGCTGAATGCCCAGGTTGATTCCCCACATGGGTACAATGTGTGAAGCCCATCTGGTGTCCGCTGCTGTGATATTGCTGGAATATTGCTAAAAGCGGTGTAAAACTAAATTCACTCACTCACTCACTCACTTATACCATGTTGGTGCTGTTCCAGACATGTCAGCAGCTGCTGGACCAGGAGAATGTCCGGGATGCACTGGAGCAGTTTGTGAAGACCCGTGAGCCCCGGCTGCAGCGTGTGGTGGCCAGGATCATCACCTGTATGATGGACACACAGCAACTCAAGTAAGCAGCCTCACATATGAAAACAGGACATTTCATCAAAAGATATTAGCCAGCTATTGGCCCATTTGCACACACAGTGATTATAGTGCTTTGTATGTCTTTACTCCTATACTTCAGCTTACAATAGTCCTACCACCAAAATGGTTTTGTGCATGTGGCACCTGATTATCATGATTAATCTCCTTTAGCTTATTGTACAAAGAAGCTCTACTAGGTGAGATGGCTACCACCTGATGGCTACCACCCAATGACTGTGGTGTCAGATGGCTACCACCTGATGACTGTGGTGTTACATGGCTACCACCTGATGGCTACCACCTAATGACTGTGGTGTCAGATGGCTACCACCTGATGACTGTGGGGTCGGATGGCGACCACCTGATGACTGTGGGGTCGGATGGCTACCACCTGATGACTGTGGTGTTAGATGGCTACCACCTGATGACTGTGGTGTTAGATGTGGGTCAGATGGCTACCACCTGATGACTGGTGTTACATAGCTACCACCGGATGACTGTGGGGTCGGACGGCTACCACCTGATAACTGTGGGGTCGGATGGCTACCACCTGATGACTGGGGGGTCAGATGGCTACCACCTGATGACTGTGGGGTCGGATGGCTACCACCTGATGACTGTGGTGTTACATGTCTACCACCTGATGACTGTGGGGTCGGATGGCTACCACATGGTGACTGTGGGGTCGGATGGCTACCACCTGATGACTGTGGTGTCAGATGGCTACCACCTGATGACTGTGGTGTCGGATGGCTACCACCTGATGACTGTGGTGTCAGATGGCTACCACCTGATGACTGTGGGGTCTGATGGCTACCACATGGTGACTGTGGGGTCGGATGGCTACCACCTGATGACTGTGGTGTCAGATGGCTACCACCTGATGACTGTGGTGTCGGATGGCTACCACCTGATGACTGTAGTGTCAGATGGCTACCACCTGATGACTGTGGGGTCTGATGGCTACCACCTGATGACTGTGGGGTCGGATGGCTACCACCTGATGACTGTTGGGTCGGATGGCTACCACCTGATGACTGTGGTGTCGGATGGCTACCACCTGATGACTGGTGTTACATGGCTACCACATAATGACTGTTGGGTCGGATGGCTACCGCCTGATGACTGTGGTGTTACATGGCTACCACATGATGACTGTGGGGTCGGATGGCTACCACCTGATGACTGTGGTGTTACATGGCTACCACATGATGACTGTGGGGTCGGATGGCTACCACCTGATGACTGACGTGTTACATCGCTACCACCTGATGACTGTGGGGTCGGATGGCTACCATCTGATGACTGTGGTGTTACATGGCTACCACCTGATGACTGTGGTGTTACATGGCTACCACCTGATGACTGTGGGGTCGGATGGCTACCACCTGATGACTGTGGCGTTACATGGCTACCACATGATGACTGTTGGGTCGGATGGCTACCACCTGATGACTGTGGTGTCGGATGGCTACCACCTGATGACTGGTGTTACATGGCTACCACATAATGACTGTTGGGTCGGATGGCTACCGCCTGATGACTGTGGTGTTACATGGCTACCACATGATGACTGTGGGGTCGGATGGCTACCACCTGGAGACTGTGGTGTTACATGGCTACCACATGATGACTGTGGGGTCGGATGGCTACCACCTGATGACTGTGGTGTTACATCGCTACCACCTGATGACTGTGGGGTCGGATGGCTACCACCTGACGACTGTGGTGTTACATGGCTACCACCTGATGACTGTGGTGTTACATGGCTACCACCTGATGACTGTGGGGTCGGATGGCTACCACCTGATGACTGTGGTGTTACATGGCTACCACATGATGACTGTTGGGTCGGATGGCTACCACCTGATGACTGTGGTGTCGGATGGCTACCACCTGATGACTGGTGTTACATGGCTACCACCTGATGACTGTTGAGTCGGATGGCTACCGCCTGATGACTGTGGTGTTACATGGCTACCACATGATGACTGTGGGGTCGGATGGCTACCACCTGAAGACTGTGGTGTTACATGGCTACCACCTGATGACTGTGGGGTCGGATGGCTACCACCTGATGACTGTGGTGTTACATCGCTACCACCTGATGACTGTGGGGTCGGATGGCTACCATCTGATGACTGTGGTGTTACATGGCTACCACCTGATGACTGGTGTTACATGGCTACCACCTGATGACTGTGGGGTCGGATGGCTACCACCTGATGACTGTGGTGTTACATGGCTACCTCATGATGACTGTTGGGTCGGATGGCTACCACCTGATGACTGTGGGGTCGGATGGCTATCACCTGACGACTGTGGTGTTACATGGCTACCACCTGATGACTGTGGTGTTACATGGCTACCACCTGATGACTGTGGGGTCGGATGGCTACCACCTGATGACTGTGGTGTTACATAGCTACCACCTGATGACTGTGGTGTTACATGGCTACCACATGATGACTGTGGGGTCGGATGGCTACCACCTGAAGACTGTGGTGTTACATGGCTACCTCATGATGACTGTGGGGTCGGATGGCTACCACCTGATGACTGTGGTGTTACATCGCTACCACCTGATGACTGTGGGGTCGGATGGCTACCATCTGATGACTGTGGTGTTACATGGCTACCACCTGATGACTGTGGGGTCGGATGGCTACCACCTGATGACTGAGGTGTTACATCGCTACCACCTGATGACTGTGGGGTCGGATGGCTACCATCTGATGACTGTGGTGTTACATGGCTTCCACCTGATGACTGTTGGGTCGGATGGCTACCATCTGATGACTGTGGTGTTACATGGCTACCACCTGATGACTGTGGGGTCGGATGGCTACCACATGATGACTGTGGTGTTACATGGCTACCACCTGATGACTGTGGGGTCGGATGGCTACCACATGATGACTGAGGTGTTACATGGCTACCACCTGATGACTGTGGGGTCGGATGGCTACCACATGATGACTGTGGTGTTACATGGCTACCACCTGATGACTGTTGGGTCGGATGGCTACCATCTGATGACTGTGGTGTTACATGGCTACCACCTGATGACTGTGGGGTCGGATGGCTACCACATGATGACTGAGGTGTTACATCGCTACCACCTGATGACTGTTGGGTCGGATGGGTACCACCTGATGACTGTGGGGTCGGATGGCTACCATCTGATGACTGTGGTGTTACATGGCTACCACCTGATGACTGTGGGGTCGGATGGCTACCACATGATGACTGTGGTGTTACATGGCTACCACCTGATGACTGTTGGGTCGGATGGCTACCATCTGATGACTGTGGTGTTACATGGCTACCACCTGATGACTGTGGGGTCGGATGGCTACCACATGATGACTGAGGTGTTACATGGCTACCACATGATGACTGAGGTGTTACATCGCTACCACCTGATGACTGTTGGGTCGGATGGCTACCACCTGATGACTGTGGGGTCGGATGGCTACCGCCTGATGACTGTGGTGTTACATGGCTACTACACAATGTTTGTTTTTTTCTGCTTAAAGATGCCGAGCTAAGGAAGTGAAGATGAACAAAGTGCTGGAATATATCCGTAACCATGCTGCTGATAGAGACACATGGGACGAAGCTGATCAGGGTAGGTAACTCTTGGCTCATATCGTGGTCTGTAGGTAAACAATGCAAAGCTCAAAATCAAGTTGTGCTGTGTTGAGTCCATTCTAACAGAAAGGTTTAATTCTCCATGTCATTTAAACATGTCATTCCCATTCTTATTTTAAACAGTGATGACATAGCGTGCTGTTGAAGGAAAAATAAACTTGATACCCTCTCAACAATGTCTTCATGGATACTATAGAATTTGACACACTCACACATGCCATTCTTATTGTCCTCTTTTAATTGCCCCCAAGCCCAAATGGAAAAATAAAATCACTCTTGTTTATTAAAATCATGCCGAGGTATTACAGAAGCCCTTGTTGACCTCTGAAAATGGCAACTGTCATTTTTGAGACATTTTTTAAAATATTGACAGATATTTTCACGTCATGAACAAGCTGCCGTTTTTCTCTCTGTGAAACCAACACAAATGTTGCACAATTTGGATAAAAATATGATAGTGCTTTGAAAGCAAAACAAAGCCCAAATTTCAATGCTATTAACATTTCTGAAAATCTGTAACATTTCTGACATAGATCTGCAGCTAGTTGTCCCTGTGTTCCTTGCATGACACAGTTTACAATGCCCTTGTACAATGTGTTCCTTGCATGACACAGTTTACAATGCCCTTGTACAATGTGTTCCTTGCATGACACAGTTTACAATGCCCTTGTACAATGTGTTCCTTGCATGACCCAGTTTACAATGCCCTTGTTCCTTGCACAATATGTTCCTTGCATGACACAGTTTACAATGCCCTTGTACAATGTGTTCCTTGCATGACACAGTTTACAATGCCCTTGTACAATGTGTCCCTTGCATGACACAGTTTACAATGCCCTTGTACAATATGTTCCTTGCATGACACAGTTTACAATGCCCTTGTACAATGTGTTCCTTGCATGACCCAGTTTACAATGCCCTTGTACAATATGTTCCTTGCATGACCCAGTTTACAATGCCCTTGTACAATATGTTCCTTGCATGACACAGTTTTACAATGCCCTTGTACAATGTGTTCCTTGCATGACACAGTTTACAATGCCCTTGTACAATGTGTTCCTTGCATGACACAGTTTACAATGCCCTTGTACAATATGTTCCTTGCATGACACAGTTTTACAATGCCCTTGTACAATATGTTCCTTGCATGACACAGTTTTACAATGCCCTTGTACAATATGTTCCTTGCATGACACAGTTTACAATGCCCTTGTACAATATGTTCCTTGCATGACACAATTTTACAATGCCCTTGTACAATATGTTCCTTGCATGACACAGTTTACAATGCCCTTGTACAATATGTTCCTTGCATGACACAGTTTACAATGCCCTTGTACAATATGTTCCTTGCATGACACAGTTTACAATGCCCTTGTACAATATGTTCCTTGCATGACACAGTTTACAATGCCCTTGTACAATATGTTCCTTGCATGACACAGTTTACAATGCCCTTGTACAATATGTTCCTTGCATGACACAGTTTACAATGCCCTTGTACAATGTGTTCCTTGCATGTCACAGTTTACAATGCCCTTGTACAATATGTTCCTTGCATGACACAGTTTTACAATGCCCTTGTATAATGTTCCTTGCATGACACAGTTTACAATGCCCTTGTACAATATGGCCATGGTTTAGTTCTGTATCATGTGTATGTTTCTGGATACAAAGATGATGAAGATGCGTGTGTTTGCAGCACTTCAGATGATGAATTCGGATGACCTGGGCAATCAGTCGACAGTTTCGAACAAACCCAAACTGGAGGTCAAGGACAGTTTTGGGTCAAGGACATCCATGGGGTCGATCAAGAAGAGGCCAGCAAGCGCCTCCTCTGGTGCAGAGTCGGACAAGGGATTGGCCTAGAGATCGATTGAACTATCACCTTCTTTTCTTTTGTTTATGTTTTCATTTTCAGTATTACAATATGTATTTGCACACTTCAAACTAACTTATTTTTATCAGGAATTATTACTTGATAAAGGGCTAATTATCCAACCTACAGCTCTGAAACCCTAAATGTCTCAGCTGTGGCTTTAAGAAGAGATAGGTCATTATGAGTGATGGTTGCCAAGGGAACAGGACAGACTTGCACATTTTCACGAACACCTGCTGTCGCCTGTGGTTTTCGATGATCCATTCATGTGATTTCCCTGCCGGCCCAGCGGAATCTGTTTCAGATGCTGATCAAAACTGGTAGCCATCTGACACTGAGATCTTATAGTCTAACAAATGTCTGAATCACTTTTGATACTTGTATGGTAATGGGAAATGAAAATGTATGAGTGTAATCTGAAGATAAGGGAAATTCATTAATATATAAGCTCAGTCACCTGGTTTACTTGCATAAACGGTATTGTCTGCCCATCATGGTGTTTGTTGTAATAGCTTGTCAAGATGAAATATATACTGAGAGAAACAAATAAAGGAACACAGGAAAATTCAAGTGTTCCTTTAATATTTTCCAGTTCTCATCTACAGCTTTGAATAGCGCTGTGGGAGGAAATCTGAGAATAAATACAGGATCACTGTCATGAAGTGGTGTTCCCTTATTTGTTTCCCTCAGTATATGACAGAATATGTTACAGACATATTAGTATTGAAATCAAAAGCTGACCGATTTTTTGTTATCTCACTTTGTGTTACCAAATGTATGAGAAATCACAAATGCATCACAAAAGCAGTCATGAAATCCAGTTTTTATCAAAACCAGTGTTAAGGAAGAATAACAATATATGGATGAACAACTTCTTTATTACTGTGAGAGCAACGTTTTGGTGAAGGTTCTAACACCGTTATCATGCATATAACCTACACTGAAATGTTGCTCTCACTAACAAAGAAGTGGTTCATCCATACCTTGTTTTCTCCTTTACTTCTACAACTTCTAAATGCCTCTCAAAGAAGAACCAATGTTGATCAGTTAACCCAGAGATATGGTCCCTGGTGTACATGATGAAACCAATGTACTTGGATGAGGATTGTTACAAAATGAAGACCTTTATGAAATCTATGTATGTCAGCCTGTGTCAATATTACATGAAGAGACATGTATTTGATACACTGGGAAATTGCATAATCTTTAACTTTAACTCAAAATCAGAAATCAGACCCAACACCCTGTACAATGTCAAGTGTTTGACTATCTCATTTGAGTTTTCTGGCTATTTGCAAAATCCGATATATATTTTTACAGTGTCTGACTATAATCTATTTCTTTGACAAATGTTGTTAACATGCAAATGGAACTAAGTTGTTTTCATTGAAACTTGTGCAGATTGTTTGTTCAGGTGATGGTGTTTCCTTATATTAATCTCTCCATTGCATATGCTTCACAGTTGACAGGCAGTGTACTTGAATAGCAACAGCTACCGTCCTTATAAATTCAGTGTCTAAAATTATGACATCTTATTCATAACAGGGAAGATGTAGTGAAATGGATATACATGATATCTTTGTTCTTCAGACTGAACAGTATATTTGGTACTTGGGAATTGACTTTTGAAAATGAGATGTTCACTTGCTTTGTTAGATGTTATTATATTGCTCAGAAACTAGCCTGTTTCTGCAAGAACTGATATGATCAGTGCCATGAAACAAACTCTGTATTATTTTGGACTAAACTTGTGAATCTCCGTCCGTCCAGCATCAAGACGTAATATACAGATATGAACCGAGATCTGGCTTCACTGCATCTCCTACACTGGAGGATATACATGTCATAGGGACGAAGTTGTCACTCAATATTTACTCTCTATTTTGTATATTTAGATTGAGAAGTTTTACATTTGTAATCAAAGTTGTTTGAATTTAATTTAACACTTTTATCATTTGAAAATCATCCTTCAGGCCAGACTAGACCATTTGTTTTTGTGTTACAATTGAGACCAGACTAATTTTATTTTTGTTTTACAGATTTTTTGTGATCAGAAAACCTAAAGGCAGGATGGATTTTTTTTTTTAAATCACCAGTCAAAGCAAAAACCCACATGAGTTTTTCAAAGGCATTGTTTTTCAAGTTCACACTCGCTCAGGTGTTTGAAGCACTCAATTTCTAACATAAATATTGTTAGATAATTCAGTTTAATGTCTCTGAGAAAAGATACCGATGTTTTAGTGTCCAACAAACTGTCTTGCGTAGTCGAAGTCTTGTTCCTATATATCTTAACATTAGGATATTATTTTTCGAGCGGGGACAATTTATTTTCATTTTTTTTCTTATTCTTGAAAAATACGACTGGCAGATCAGTAAAACAAGAAATAAAATTGGTCTGGCCTGATATTAAATTTTCAAAATTAGACAAATATTCAGAAGAGAGCAAAATACTGATAGTTTGAGAAATGTAATACTCAAATCTTGAAAATTTACATGTAGTTTAGAATAATGTTCTTTTTAATGTCGTCAATCTGTTATTTATTTCTATTGTAATTTGTCATAATTGCTACAAAAAAAACCTGTAAAACAAGGAAAGAATTTAGTTTGGCCTTTGATAGTGAAATCTTTATGCTAATGGCAGCACAACGTTAGTTCAGTGTCTGAGCCAGGATGTTTAAGCAGATATCAAAACCACAAACAGCATTTGTTATACTTGATATATTTCTTGATGTATTGGATTATTTGTTGTTTCTCTGTTGATGGAAATATGGCAGGCCCATAAAAGCATTTTGTGATATTTTTTCTAATATCAGATATCTTTTGCAATAAACATTTACATTTTCTACACTGAGTTATGTTCTGTATCCCGCCATGATATTGCTGGAAGGCGGCGTTAAAACAAACCCACACACTCACTCACCGTTTCATGATTAAAGTCCCTACCCACGTGGAACTATTGAACAGGTAACCAACAAATGGCTATGAAACGCATGTCATGAACGTGAATGCAATTCATTGGTTGATACACAACTTGGATCATCTTGTACTCATTGGGGTTCATTTACCATTCCACAGATACTCAACCTTAAACAAGAGTGGATACCAAATAAATTGTGTTTATTCCTGAAACACGACTGTTCATAATGCATTTAAGCATATGACTATACCTGATTGTACCTGTAATGTCATTAACTGAGCATCAGGTGAATGATGGTTTATACCAATATACTAGAGCAAGCCTCTGCCGTAAAGGATGAACCACAAGGTTCAGTGATTGTCGGACAGTATGCATTGCCTGAAAATTAAGGCTGGGTTCAATCTTGAGTGTATAAACTTGTCTTCATTGTTGCACAAATAAGATGTTGTATACTAAATAGTACATCCGTGTAATTGTAAATTATAAAACTGATCTGACAGTCAGCAATATATAACAACCATTCAGTGGTAAAATACGGTTTCATTTTATAACTCCAAAATGAATTGAAAGTCGTTTTTCATATTTTAGCATATGCCATTTATTGTATTATGTTAAGGTCCAGATGGATGACAATAGCATTTCAAGTAGCATTGCCTGCGGTCTGATTTCAGGAAGAATGGGCTAACGGATGGAATGAAAATCCACGTGTACCTATTAAAATTTGATGAATCCTGCCCTGCTGTACGGCAGCAGTTTTTAGATGATCAGATAGGTGGAGAATTAACACAGAATGGTAAAATATACTGTCATTATGGATCTAAAACATGTTTTCTAAAGTCTATTGGTTGGTTGGTTGTCTATCGCTGCACTCAGCAATATTCCAGCTATATGGCGGTGGTCTGTGAATAATCGAATCTGGACCAGACAATCCACTGATCAACAGCATGAGCGCCAATCTATGCAACTGGGATACTATGACATGTGTCAACCACGTCAGCGAGCCTGACCACCCGATCCCGTTAGTCTCTTACGACAAGCATGAGTTACTGAAGACCAATTCTTACCCGGATCTTCACGAGTCTAAAGTCTGTAAAATGGGGTATCAATGCTGTTGAAGTTGAGGTACCAACTGATGTACTGCTAGGCTATATCTCACTCTTTATTATCCTGAATATCTATGACTGTCAAACATGGTCATTGGCTGAATAACAATGATAAAATCAGGTAAAACTTCGTATTTTGCGCTCATACACTTTGGCAGTATGGGGGTACCTGTCTAATGCTTAATTTATTATTTCGTTAGTCATCATTGCTAGCAATAACTAAGGTACACACCACTTCAAGCTTGGGACAGGTAGAAACTATTCCAGTCGAGACATAGACTTGATATGTAATGGAAGGTTTGTATATGTAATTATGTAACATGGGTTGTTGATCGTGGTGTGGCAAATATCTTTATTCCTGTCTCTGTTGTCATGGTGATATGGGTCCATCTCCTCACTGTGTGTGAAGGGTCCAAAGTTAATGTGTACCTGTGGCAGAAGTCAGAATGATATCATTGTCACAGCCAACAAACTTGTGCATTGCAATTTCTCTCAACTCCCTGGGAAGTATTTCAATTAAGGCTGAGGTTAAGTAGTTCACCTGATCTTTGTAATATTTTCTTCAGTGAAGGTAAGTGAGTGAGTGAGTATGGTTTTACTCCGCTTTTGGCAATATTCCAGCAATATCACAGCAGGGGACGCCAGAAATGGGATTCACATATTGTACATCTGTATAAAATCGAACTCGGGAGTGACGAGTGAACTAGGCTAGCCCATCACCCTCTTCCGTAAAGGTGAAATTAAGTTATTTTTGACTTCACATTTAACAGATAAGAAACTTGAATTAAATATCTGATGCGTACATTATTTGATGCTACATAATCATAAAAGATTTGTTCTTCACGGGGCCTCACACTAAAATATTGAGCTGCCCAAATCAGTGGTTAAACACACATACAACTGGACATGGTCAAACGGCAGTCAAAAGACTGGTTGAGTAAAAGATTAAGAGCGTTTGTGTTGTAAGTGTTTGCAATGCACCTTGTATCTGGATGTCACGGTATTACAAATATACAAACATGACACCAACCACTTGGCATTGTGCCACGACGATTGTGAGTCCTTGGTCTAAGATCAAATCAAAATCAGAATAACTTGTGGCACTACAAATATTATAACCTGCTCACAATTGGGCATTCAGGATTTCCGTACTGCATGAAGAAATATTCATTCATCACTCCAAACACAAAATGTATCATTCCTTGTAGGTTATCCTTTAAATGTTTTTTTATGTGAGAGTTAAAAGAAAAATAACAAAGTTGAAATTTGGAACATAAATATTGTTTTCACCTGTGTAGTATCCTTGACACGATGACCTTCATCACGTTCAGGGCAAAGTTCTGCCCAATACAGTTTCTGAAATCAGTGGAAACGACACTCACTACAGCATCAGTTAAAGCATTTTGCAATGTTCCAGCCTAATAATGGTGTGGAATGCAACAATGGACTTCACACATTGTACCCATGTGGGGAACTGAACCAAGGACTTTGGCGTGACATAGCTGGAACTTACCTGTTGAACAACATGAATCTCCGGTTGGGTAATTACAGGAAAGGAAAACTGTTGATGGTGAAAACACAGTTCCAGGCTTAGAACACGTATTGGATTGTGAGTTTGACACAATACTCACATAAAAGTGCTACACCCACCTACAGGCCCTCGTGTCTTTACGAGGATTAAAGATTAAAAAACAAAATCAGATGACCCTCGACTCAAAATACTGGTCATGCTGTATTGTACTGTGAAGCATTTCGAGCCAGGGTGATATAAAAATATACAAAATAATCTTAATTCTCGCAAAGACACGAGGGCCTGTGTACTCACCTTGGACCAGCGGAGAAAGGGACAAAGGCAAAAGGGTCCATGGTTCTGGTGTTCTCCGGTAGGAACCGTTCAGGTTGGTATTCCTGGGGGTCGGGCCAGACATGGGGGTTCAGACCAAGGCTGTGAATGTTAACAGTCATTATTGTGCCCACAGGGAACTGGGTACCTGGAAGTATATAATATGAGGCCTAAACATGATTGTGGGTTAACGTCTGTTGGGGATTCCAGAGTCATCAAAGTCGTCTTACAGGTTGAGTCAGTTGGGATTCGAAAGTCGGGAACATTGTCTTGGCGATTTGAGTGTCATAGAAATCATATTGTGCACCGTTTCTGATGGGAATCCCATGTCCAAACCGATTGACTGATGTCTCTAAACTACAGCAAGAAATAAGAAAGAGAGTAAATGGATTTCAACTTCTAAATCCCGTGGAACACAATGTTTTGAACCAATAGGCTACCCCACCGCCCCGTATAACATGAACCCTCTGTTTCCAAATCATGGATTTCCTTCTCATAAGCCCATATAGGCCTATTCAGGTACTCGGTTTTGAGGGGTAGCTGTAGATGTGTACATGGTGCAGAGACCTATATTGTGTTCTGGCCACACTACCCACCCTGGATGTCCATGGCCTTGGTGAGCTGTCTCTGTATGAGCGGTACTGGGGGACACAGGCGGAGCGATTCCTTCACACACAGTGTCAGGTGGACCAGCTGGGGCAGGTGCTCCCTACAACAGATCAGTTAGTTGGGTTCAACACTGCTTTCAACAATATTCCAGTTATATGAGGGTATGTCAGTTAAATGATGAAGGAATACCAGAAGTTATCCAGGTCTCAGACATTTTCCACTTAGGTGAAATCCACAAACTTAGAAACAAAGTCGGGGCGAACCTGAAGTTGAATCCACGATCATGTTTGTTTTTCGAGTTGCTTTGCCTCAGGCGGCTGGGCAACTCATCTAGTGAGTGAGTGAGTTTAGTTTCACGCAACGTTTAGCAATATTCCAGCAATATCAAGGCGGGGGACACCAGAAATGGGCTTCACACATTTTAGCCATGTGGGGAATCGAACCCGGGTCTTCGGCGTGACGACCGAACGTTTTAACCACTAGGCTACCCTACCGCCCGCGCTCCTTTAGACAACACTTGGAAGCAACGAGCTAAAGCATAGTATGAGGCAAGGGTGACCCTGTGTTCGACAAATTGACCTGCACCATATAAACCGACGAGGACGCTTCACTGGATGTCATTCTGTACACCTACATCATTAGTAGGTGACCATCTGCAGGTGCACACCTGTCATAGCATTGTCATACCATTGTCAGCATGTACCTATACCTTTAGATAACTAAATTTGCATTCGAAAAAAACCCAGTTTCCAGTTAACTATTTGAGCGATGTTTGCAAGCCTTAGCATTTTCAATATTTAGGAGTCTGTGATTTTACAATAGAAGCGACAAAGCCCTTTCCACATCCATAAGTAATCTCTGCTTTAAAATCAGAGTCGATGTACAATTGTGACTTTATATGAGTATATATTTGAACGGGTCGGGGTAAAATAGTGACATATCATGCTTTTTCCAGATAATTATATTTAGTGGTTTCCAAGGTCCACCATGCGAGTACTACCATATGAACATGAGTTATCTGCCCTAATTTTTGCAAGGTGCAGAGTTGCATCATGCCCATGTTTAGGATAAGGCATGTGGTGCCCTTTTGGCAAGACCATGACAAGCCACACAATTGTTTCCAGCAGCATTACAGCTGTACGATGTTGTTTGTAAACAAATCGAGGTGTTTTTGTCATGCGTTACGTAATTTGGTTATACAAGTCAAACAACCATGTTGCGATACATGGTTTTGTGAACTGTGGAAGAATCTGTAAATATGATGAGATATACCACTCAATATAATCCAGGGATTGTCCAGTCAGGACTGTATCGATCTCCTGTTGAACACGTGACTGGTGATCCGGGTACTTGGCCAGATGGTACAGAAGCCAACTAATCCCGCTGGTGGTGGTGTCGTGACCTTACACAGAAACAACAACATCATTGACAACGACGACAAGGAACTTGGTGTTGCTGACCAAACATTGCTGACTGTAAGTGAGGTGAGGAGAATATTTATAACGCTCCTTTTCCAGGTTAGACATCCTGCTCAAAGCGCACAATCTGATAATTATTACCCCGGGTAACCCAAGCTGCTTGTTAGGAGCTAGAAGGTTAATAGTCTCACGACTTATATCACCGACTTATTTGTGTGTGACAGCTTGACTCCTGAGAGTTTCTAGGACTTCAGTCCTGCCCCACAATGAAGCACAAGTGATACAAAATTGCCTCAGTTCGCCCAGCAGAAAATGGGTACCCGGTGGGATAAGTCATGTGACTATTAACCTTCAAGCGCCTCACAGGCAGCAGGCTCTAATAATGTGTTAGCGCTTTGAGCATGTGCCTTGTACATGGAAAAGGCGCATTATAAATTCACATTTATTATTATATCATATCGTGATTAATGTAGAATGTTTCGTGTGTAACGAATCTACATGTGATGTTTATGTACTTTGAGAGCTGATTGCATTGTTAACATGCTCTAATAATCAATTGTAAATTAATAATTCTATTATTGACTGATTATGTAAAATATCATCCCGTGCCTGTGTAATAAACTCCTCGTATATTTACTCATGTCTGGTGTTGTGTGGGGGTTGGTATAGTGGAAACTCTTGAAAACATTCGCGTTTTAATAAGTGGCTGAGAATATGATATTGGCCAATGGTTACATACCAACCCACACATTGTAACGAACGATAATGCACTTAATTTTATTTATCATTTACTTCGCATGAATGTTTGTTACAATGGGTGCCCAATCTGAATGTGTGTTACCAAGGATATTTCATGTAAAGTTTAGTATCATTGATACTTCATATGTGTTTGTTACCAAGGATAGTTCATTTTATATGTTTGTTTGTGAACATAGATATGTTTGTGTATATATTTCAAATGAATATGGCTTACAGCTGATACTTCACACAAATATTTGTTATCGAAAATGCATCACTTGCTTGGTGACGGTGCCTTCAGTTGATTAACAACTTCTAAAATGTCTCTCAAAACAACAAATGCTTCACCGGAATGTTTCTTACCACTGGTATTTCACCTGTATACTGGAATGTACCTTGGAATGTGTGTAACCTTGGATACTCCAAAGGAATATTAGGATATTTGTCACCGAGCATATTTCACAAAAATGTTGGTTACTATAGATACCATTCGGATATCCTTTCCTTGCAACAAACATGCGTTTATATTATCCTTGGTAACAAACATTCGTATGCATTGTCAATGGTAAGAAACATGAATACGAAATATTAACGGTAATAAAACTTCATGCGACGTTGACTAGATGAACTGTGTGGTATTTACCTGCAAACAAGAACGTGTCTACTTCATTCCGTATCTCCCGAAATGTGAGTCCGTTTCCGTGTTGATCCCTCGCCATCAGCAAGATGTCCATGAAGTCGTGTTTCCGTTTTGTTTGTACACCCTGCAGGAGAAGGCTGAAAGTCTACTCTCTATCCACTCATGAGTAACGCTTGATGCAACCCACCGCCACTGTGCCATCCCGGAAACATCGCGTCTGACTAATGTGCTCTACTTATGGAACACGCGTGGCCAACACATTCGCAGCGCGTGGAAGATTTGGTTTGGTTGTTTAACGCCGCGCTAAGCAATATTCCAGCTACATGACATCGGTCTGTAAATATTCGAGTCTGGACCAGACAATCTAGTGATCTACAGCATTAGCATCGATCTACACAATTAGGATATGACATGTGTCAACCAAGTCAGCGAGCCTGTCCACCCGATCCCGTTAATAGCCTACGACACGCATGGGTTCTGAAGACCAATTCTAACCTGGATCTTCACGGGTCAACGCGTGTAAGAAACATAACTTCTCGTCAGTGGCATAGTTCAGAATCAGATAGACCCTCAGACATCAGACAGACTACCAGTTTGTCACAGTGCATGAAACACACACTGATGCGTCGCACTTAATAATATTCGGTAAATTGGAGTTGAACTCTATGCAGGTGGCGGCTCAGCAGCAATGACTAAAGTACACCCATAGACAGTGAGTGAGTGACTTTAGGTTTACACCACTTCTAGCAATATTCCAGCAATATCACGGCGGTGGACACCAGAAATGGTCTTCACACATTGTGCCAATGTGGGGAGTCGAACCCGTTCGTGACGAGCGAACGCTTTAACCACTAGGCTACCCCACCGCCCCCCATAGACAGAGACACTACTAAACAATGTCAAGAAATATCTATTTTGTCATTCCGTCATAATTAATCTGTCATGAAAAATTCACAATATGGAACAATCCCTCATAACTGATTTCAGAGTGGCTGTGCGTCGCGAGTTGCCACGCAACAAATCTACTGCCCATTCCAAAGGAAGACTGACTCTTTTTAAAGTATAGTCGATACTAAGAGATAAAGTCCATACTAAGGGATAACGTTGTCTTGGATTGTACTCACCACAACTGCTGCCCTTTTCTGTACAATATCCTCGGCTACTCGGTGCACATATCTGCAGTGTCTTAGGAACTGTTTCCCGTTGCTGGTCCTGTAGTAGACGATGTCGAGGTACAGCAGGGGGTTGCTGTGGACGTTATAGATGTTGACTTTAGGTGTGGTGCTCTTTAACGTTTTAGAATAGGACCAGATCAACCTATGCCGGTTGTAGGACAGGATGATGGTCCTTGTGTCTAGGCTGATCGCATGTCATCCTATATGACAACTGGATCTTTGCTCAGAAAGAGCTGCGTTGACATGTAGAGAAATCTTCGGCCATTCCATAGTGTGGCTGTGTAATGTGGTCTGACTGACGCGAAAGGACATGTATATAATAATTTCCAGGGTAAATGTTTTATCTCATTAAATATTTTTAAAAAACCATTTATGAGAATATTGAAAGGATTTTGTAACGCTGCTGGCACTTAACATATTTATGCAACATCGCCAACATGTGGTCATGCATAATGTGATACAGTGCATTAACGGGAAAAAAAGTACAAATCAATACACACAAGGCACGATCACCCCACAGTCGGATCATCTCCTTCACGGCTTGTACATACGGGTGCCTTTCCCTGGAACAAACGTTCACAAGATATTAGTGGACTTGTGAGGAAGCACGTGGCCAGCGGTCAAGTAAAGGATCGCCCAAGACCCGGAAGAACGAAGCAGACCGGTGACCTTGATAGTCGAATCTGGGCAAGACGTAACTAATGACCCATGACGTAGAAATACTCTGGCGAGGTTGTCGCGTATGGAGACGTCGTAACGAGGCACATCACCTGATCACACGTTATCGACTGGAAGTACTGGATACTGCCGTCGTGCCACATTTTGACAACCACCCCCTTGCCAGTCGTCTGGTATTCATGGATGACAACGTTAGACCTCACCATACTCGAGCTGTCATCGCCCATTTGCAGGACAACGCCATCAAAACATTCCAGTGGCCCGCAAGAAGACCCTATCTGAACCCCATTTAACATCTTTGAGACTATCTAGGACGCCAAGTTTGTGCTAGAGATCATCCAGTTCAAAATATGCAGGAATTGACGCATGCACGCCATAAGAAATGGCAGAGGACCCCGATGCTGAGAATTCAACGCTTGATTGCCAGTATGAGATTGAAGGAGACTGGCAGATGTTAGTGGTTCATACATCCATAACATTGGAGAGCTGTTTAACAATCGCATTGGTTGCACAATGATGGTGACCATGCTTTCCGGCATTTGTAGATATTTTTGTATTCATCTCAGATGGCAAGTAAATTGTTAGAAAATGTCACAATAAATTTTGTTTTTGTATTAACCAGAGGAAAACATATTATAATTACCATTTAAATACGTGAACTTTGGTTTCCAAAGCATATAAAACAACTGGTTTCGTACTTGTGGATGGTGCTTAATTAATGCACCTTGTATTTGTGTGAGATCGTATTACAGGTACGTGATTGGCTACTCCATGGTTACGACCTTAGGTCAGATTATGACGGACTACTTTTCTTATTGTAATTTATCATCGATGCTTCAATGATGCGATTTAAAGACACAGATTACTGCAATCATTACTGTCATATCTTAGAAACCCGTTGTTCCTAAACGCATCTAACTTTGAAACAACTCATTGTAAGATAGATGGTATCTGACAGCAACTCGCGTAGTAATCTATCCAGGCAGTATCGTTTGTGTGATGTGATCTGAACGGCCGTGTGTATTCACGGTTGATGGTGTATGCAAACCCGTGTTTGGCGATATAACTCCATGTTGCTCACTCTGTTTGACAGTTGGTCCGATGTGAGAAGGCACACCGCAGAAGGACGTCGAGGGAGTAGAGCCCAACTGTGCTGAAACACTCAAAGGGTTCACCCATCCGGCTTAACCTGTTCAGCCTATCCTGAAATGAGTAAGCGAGTAAGTGAGTGAGTGAGTGTTTCAGAAACCGGTATTATCTACATTACAGCGTAAAAATCGCCCGGTCCATGAACACAAACCACGTGTTCATATCACAAGGAGGGATTACAGGTGCTGACGAAGACACCGAAAAGAGTGAGTGAGTTTAGTTTTCGCCGCCTTTTGCAATATGACGGCGGGCGCCACCAGATATGGGCTTCACACATGGTACCCATGTTGGGAATCGAACCCGGGTCTTCGGCGTGACGGGCAAACGCTTTAACCACTAGGCTAACACCCACCCCCCACCGAAAAGAACATCACGGCTAAATCCATCCTCGACTATCGAGAGTATTTCACCTTCAGTATTACCTCCCGTAGATTCATTTCTCAAGCCGATAATACTGACTCTCTCAGAATACTTCAGTATTACCTCCCGTATATTCATTTCTCAAGCCGATAATACTGACTCTCTCAGAATACTTCAGTATTACCTCCCGTATATTCATTTCTCAAGCCGATAATACTGACTCTCAGAATACTTCAGTTTCTCAAGCCGATAATACTGACTCTCTCAGAATACTTCAGATTACCTCCCGTACATTTCTCGCCGATAATACTGACTAATACCTCCGTATATTCATTTCTCAAGCCGATAATACTGACTCTCATCTCAGAATACTTCAGTATTACCTCCCGTAGATTCATTTCTCAAGCCGATAATACTGACTCTCTCAGAATACTTCAGTATTACCTCCCGTATATTCATTTCTCAAGCCGATAATACTGACTCTCTCAGAATACTTCAGTATTACCTCCCGTATATTCATTTCTCAAGCCGATAATACTGACTCTCTCAGAATACTTCAGTATTACCTCCCGTATATTCATTTCTCAAGCCGATAATACTGACTCTCTCAGAATACTTCAGTACAGTGAACGCAGAAACTTGGAACGGTGACAATAACTGTCTCATTCTGCTTGGGCTCAGAATCTGCCGACTCAGAATCATCAACATCTTTACCAATTATGTATATCTTCAGAAAACACTATGTACAATTCAATGATGTAGTGATTACTAATTCATAAACAGTATGCCCGCCCCGCACTGATGTAGTTGCTATGATATGTATGATACGGTAACATCTGTATAGTAATAGGTGCAGATTACTTCAGTCACGTATATTAGAAACAGGTTTGAATGATAAGTGATAATTTAGATTTATGTGACTTTTGTATATCACAAGCAAGTTTTCATTTGATATGTATCATGCATTATGTCATAATATCAAATAAAGTCACATTCTGAAATATCGCCGATAGACTATGAGCAAATGGCGGCCATTTTGAAATCCAAGATATTTCGTTGAATAAAATGGCAACGTCATTTGTTTTAATCAGTGGTGACATTGGGGTCAGGGGTATGAATTTGGTCTAAATATCAGTCCAGGTGGGTATATGTGTCTGAGTATAGTTTCACGCCGCCTTTATCAATATTCCAGCAATATCACGGTAGGGGGACACCAGAAATGGGCTTCACACATTGTACCCATGTGGGGAATCGAACCCAGTCTTCGGTGTGACGAGCGAACGCTTTAACCACTGGACTACCCCGCCAATGTGAATTACTACTCATTCTATTGTGCAACTGCTTGGCTAAATCACGTGTGTTGGGGGTATTATCACAGTACTTGCCAACAACACATCGGCCGCTTCATTGTAGACTTTCATATACTGACGTAAGACGAGGAAATGAAACGCGGGTGTCAGCAGGCGCCGAGTCCGCTCCCATCTTATCCCGTTAGAAAACAGCAGCCCCATTCCTAGCCACGGCATCCCCATCTCCATCGGCATCGAGATGTAGCGGCTGTGAGGCTTCGGTTCTGTTGAGAGCATGTAGAACATCATACATAGGTTTGATTAAGGATAACGGTCAGACTCCGGTTGGTTGGGATTCTTTCGAAATTGATTAAATGTTTGATTATTTTTTTTTTTTTAAAGTTTGCTGGTTAAAACGAAATTGTCAGCCTAAAAAACTTAGTTTCTCTCTGTTGGGCACATCGCTCTGAAGATAACACCCGTAGAGATCCGGGTTAGAATTGGTCTTCAGCAAACCATGTCGTTAGCGACGACTAACGGGATCAGGTGGTCAGGCTCGCTGACATGTCATCGAATCCCAGTTGACTAGATCGATGTTCATGCTGTTGATCCCTGGATTGTCTGGTCCAGACTCTATTATTTACAGACCGCCGCCATATAGCTGGAATATTGCTGAGTGCGGCGTAAAACTAAACTCACTCACTCACTCTAACATTAATGATACAGTTACCTGAAGACCTGAGGATACGTTTGACCGTGTCCGGATGATGGACAACGATGAAGGGCAGGAGGGAGCCTGTCCACACCCGCACAAACAGGGGGGAACCTTTTGACGAGGTCCAGGTTGTAGGCAATTCCTTCTTCGTTTGGACCCGGATACTACATGGAATTAATACAAAACTTCAGGAAAACGTGTGCGGCAATACATAATGTTTGAATACTAAATTACACTTAGTACACAAGATACTGGAGCACTGAAACATTTGACATTACCAGCCCGTTCATCTTTATTCATTCGGCAAATACTGGCTAATTTGCAGTCACCGAATGCTTGTGTAAATGATAAATGGTTAAATAACACTGTGCGCGAGTACATGATTTAATGTTATTTAGAAATTTTAGAACCTGTTCCGAAACACATATTAAACATATTTAGCAGTATTTGGGAATCTGTATTGTAATCTTTGAGATATAACTCATAAACTTATATCTTGCAAACTTGTTTTCGTTATGTAGCTAGTATTTTGTAATCAGGTTGCAGGCGGTCTTGTGTCATGAAATACCTCATTGGCAAAATAGCGCTCCGTTTTACTAGTAGTCTAGTAATCATAAAATCAAAGATATCTGAGCCCGTGATGATCCGGGTTAGACTTGGTCTTCAGGAACGAGATCGGGTGGTCAGTCTCGCTGACTGTTGATACATGCCACCGTATGCCATCGATTGTGTAGATCGATGCTCGCATCATCAATCACTAGATTGTATGGTCCAGACTCGGTATGACATCATATAGACCGCTGTCACAAACCTTGAATACTGCCGATTGCGGCGTTAAACAACAAACAAGACATGTGAATAGGTTTCCGGCAATCCCTGCAGTCATGAGAAGGGACTGCACCAGATTGTCAGGTTTGCTGACGTGGTTGATATTAATGCTATTCAACAGCGTAGGTCGCTGCACTGGGTTGATGGTTCAGATGAACAGCTCTGGTACAGCTGGGATATTGTTACGTGCGGCGTAAAACAACAAACTAACAAACCTTGTGAAGATTGCCATATATGTAGCTGTAGTCTCCCTCCCCTGGACAGCGATGAAATAGCTGTCGTAATTTCCACAACCGTACACATGCCCATACACATTTAAGCAGAACGTATCCGACTGCTATCCCTAGCACTATATGCCACGCACATAGATCGGTGTTGAACATCACTAGGCACGTCACACAGATCCAGTGGGATACACCAGAATGACAAAACTCGGCTGTCTCAGCGTATGTGTGAATCAATGTGTCTGTCACGTACAACTGTTGGCGGTCACGCAGAGTCTGTTATAACGTTGTTAACATTTGGACGTCACCGGGCGCAAAACTGGGATTCTTGTACTTAATTGACAGAATGCAATATATGCTGAACACTACAGTTTACTTAAACTGTAATCAATACACGCTTCTAACTAAAACAGCATGGCATGTAATGAATGGTCGTGTGTCACAAAACTGTCTCAGTGTGGTTCTTGATGTCACGGTGAAGCCTAAAGTCAGGTTTGTTTGTTTGTTTAACGCCACACTCAGCAATATTCAAGCTATATAACAGCGATTTGTAGAAAATCGAGTATGGATCAGACAATTCAGTGATTGACATAATGAGCATCGACCTACGCAATTGGGATACGATGACATGTGTCAACCAAGTCAGCGAGTCTGACCTACCGATCCCCTCCTTACTTATTCGATTGCTTTTTGTCATGAAAATGTCTTGAAATATACACTACTGACCAAAAGAAAGTGTCTATCACATCGTGAGGTAGAGTGAAGTTCTGAGATTTAAATTTTCAAATGGCAAGGTAAAATTATGAGGATTCGCAATCTTAATTTCACTTTATTTGATTTACTTTTTTGTTTAAAGTGAAATTCATCGGTACGTTTTCACCGCAAACAGACTATAGGTTGAATTATTATTGCAGATTGCTTACAGTTAGGATTTTCTCGGAAGTAAGTGCATTTTGTAAAGATGAATGTATTTCTGTGCTTCCTAGTTCTGATTCAGAGTGGGTGAGTGAGTGAGTTAGGTTTAATCTTTCTTTGAACAGTTATCCAGTATATGAAACCCGTGAAGATGCGGGTTAGAATTGGTCTTCAGGAAACCATGCTCGTCGTAAGAGGCAACTAACGGGATCGGGTGGTCAGGCTCGCTGACTTGGATGACACATGTCATCGGTTCCCAGTTGCGTAAATCGTTGCTTATGCTGTTGATCACTGGATTGTCTGGTCCAGACTCGATAATTACAGACCTCCGCCATATAGCTGGAATAGTGCCGAGTGCGGCCTAAAACGACAAACCAACCAACCAGCCGATATATCACGGTGTCAGCTTCAAGGACATACCGAGGTTATGCAGGCTTCAGGTGTTTACCAGTTTACCACCAGCCCCGGTGTTAACAAACCTCCAAACATATCAGAGGCGAACCGGTTTGAACCGACCATAGATTTCTAGCATTTGCCAGGGAGACTTGAACCGACCATAGATTTCTCGCATGTCCCAGGGAGACTTGAACCGACCATAGATTTCTAGCATGTCCCAGGGAGACTTGAACCGACCATAGATTTCTAGCATTTGCCAGGGAGACTTGAACCGACCATAGATTTCTAGCATGTCCCAGGGAGACTTGAACCGACCATAGATTTCTAGCATGTGCCAGGGAGACTTGAACCGACCATAGATTTCTAGCATGTGCCAGGGAGACTTGAACCGACCATAGATTTCTAGCATGTGCCAGGGAGACTTGAACCGACCATAGATTTCTCGCATGTCCCAGGGAGACTTGAACCGACCATAGATTTCTAGCATGTGCCAGGGAGACTTAAACCGACCATAGATTTCTAGCATGTCCCAGGGACACTTGAACCAACCATAGATTTCTAGCATGTCCCAGGGAGACTTGAACCGACCATAGATTTCTAGCATGTCCCAGGGAGACTTGAACCGACCATAGATTTCTAGCATGTCCCAGGGAGACTTGAACCGACCATAGATTTCTAGCATGTCCCAGGGAGACTTGAACCGACCATAGATTTCTAGCATGTCCCAGGGAGACTTGAACCGGCCATAGATTTCTAGCATGTCCCCGGGAGACAACTCTTCTTAGAGAACTACAACCTGTCATCCAAGCCCCAAATCCAACTTAGTAACAGTTGTATAATAACATAACGCCCTTGCACATCGAGGATGACGTCAGGCTGGAATGTGAATATCCCAGTCCATGCATGTCTTTCATATAATCCTATTTGTATATTTTAATCAGACACTCTATGACATGTCCTTTAATTAATGTAAGCTTATTGAGAGTAGACAACAAATGAACAGCCGGCCTCCCATGTCATGCGTTGACAACATCTGGAGCCTTCAGTCTTTTTCATACACAAATTAGTTTATTGTTTAATTTATTATCACTTTACTGTAGCGGGAACAACCATAAACTTAATCAAAGATATTTATATGAATATACCCATACTTTAATTAAAATGCCAACGGAAATAAATGATCAAAAGTGAACGGATGCTCTACTGTATTATAATTTCTACATTTATTTACGCGGTGACATATCTGATGTTATTGACTATGATATTGCGATGACGTTACATTAGTTTTTCAAATAACAGTAGTGATGATGAAGCAAACAACTTTATAGACAACTTCTTGCAAAATGGGAGATGGTGTGTGTGTGTGTGTGTGTGTGTTAGTGTTAGCCTAGTGGTTAAAGCGTTCGCTTGTCAATCCGAAGACCCGGGTTCGATTCCCCACATGGGTTCAATGTGTGAAGCCTATTTTTTGGTGTCCCCGCCGTGATATTGCTGGAATATTGCTAAAAGTGGCATAAAACCAAACTTACTCACTCACTCATGCTTACTGCACAAAGCGACATTTCAGTGTAGATTCTTACACTGTTTTCAAAGTTGATAAAAGTGTATAGCATTTAGCTTGATAACGGTGTAAGAATCTACGCCAAAACGTCCCTCTATATAATAAACAAGTTCTTATCCCTGAAGTTATATACTTCAGTATTGACTCACCAGCTGCTAGAGTGCTGATCAAACAAACAGTGGTGATGAGTTCACACCCGAGGTGAGTCACTGACTATTATTGTGATGATTTGGATGACCATCGGTCAGACCCTGTAATCAGTGAATGAGTGAGTGAGTTTAGTTTTACGCCGCACTCAGCAATATTCCAGCTATATGGCGGCGGTCTGTAAATAATCGAGTCTGGACCCGACACTCCAGGGAACAACAGCTTGAGCATCGATCTACGCACTTGGGAACTGATGACATGTGTCAACCAAGTCAGCAAGCCTGACCACCCGATCCCGCTAGTCGCCTCTTACGACAAGCATGGGTTACTGAAGATCAATATTCTAACCCGGATCTTCACGGGTTGGCCCTGCGATGAAGTATGAAGATCTGAACAATAGGTACATGTGTAGACCATCTGGTAACTCATACTGTAGACAGCCTCCATAGTCTAGTGGACAGGGCCACCTTCAGGAGAGTGGTAGGTCCATGGTTGGATCCCATGGCAGCATCATGGATACTTGTTGATACCTTGCCTGGCGCTCAGCATGAAGAATGAAGAAATGTATGTCATAAATGTATCTTTAACTATACATAAATGTATTTTATAAACATCAAATACATAATACAAAGATACAGATGGCTCGAATTCATGACACTAAGCGCGGTGGGGTAGCCTAGTGGTAAAAGCGTTCGCTAGTCACACGAAAGACCAGGTTCAATACTCCACATAGGCAAAATGTGTGAAGCCCTTTTCTGGTTTCCCCACTGTAATATTGCTGGAATATTGCCAAAACAGAGTAAAACTGAACTCACTCACTCACTCACTCACTCACTCATATGACATTAAATACATTGTTGCAGCTACAATATGAGTGTCATGTTATATTGACGATGTCTTGACAGTGTTAGCAAGAGCGTCATGTTATTGACGATGTCTTGACAGTGTTAGCATGAGTGTCATGTTATTGACGATGTCTTGACAGTGTTAGCATGAGTCATGTTATTGACGATGTCTTGACAGTGTTAGCATGAGAGTCATGTTATTGACGATGTCTTGACAGTGTTATCATGAATGTCATGTTATTGACGATGTCTTGACAGTGTTAGCATGAGAGTCATGTTATTGACGATGTCTTGACTGTGTTAGCATGAGAGTCATGTTATTGACGATGTCTTGACAGTGTTAGCATGAGCGTCATGTTATTGACGATGTCTTGACAGTGTTAGCATGAGTCATGTTATTGACGATGTCTTGACAGTGTTAGCATGAGAGTCATGTTATTGACGATGTCTTGACAGTGTTAGCATGAGTGTCATGTTATTGACGATGTCTTGACAGTGTTAGCATGAGTCATGTTATTGACGATGTCTTGACAGATGTCTATTATTGACGATGTGTTGACAGTGTTAGCATGAGCGTCATGTTATTGACGATGTCTTGACAGTGTTAGCATGAGAGTCATGTTATTGACGATGTCTTGACAGTGTTAGCATGAGTGTCATGTTATTGACGATGTCTTGACAGTGTTAGCATGAATGTCATGTTATTGACGATGTCCTGACTGTGTTATCATGAATGTCATGTTATTGACGGTGTCTTGACAGTGTTAGCATGAATGTCGTGTTATTGATGATGTCTTGACAGTGTTAGCATGAGTGTCATGTTATTGATGATGTCCTGACAGTGTTAGCATGAGTGTCATGTTATTGACGATTTCTTGAATGTGTGTAGCATGAATGTCATGTTATTGACGATGTCTTGACAGTGTTAGCATGAGTGTCATGTTATTGATGATGTCTTGACAGTGTAAGCATGCGAGAGTCATGTTAATAACGCTGTCTTGAATGTGTTAGCATGAGCGTCATGTTATAGACGATGTCTTGACAGTGTTAGCATGAGTGTCATGTTATTGACGATGTCATGACAGTTTTAGCATGAGAGCGTTTTTAGTGTATCACATCCTGGTTTGCTCAGACTTCTCTTGAACTGACTTCCAGGAAATCTTGCAAAAGTGTTGCATTAGTTGAACTTTATAAGGTAATTTGTCTTATTTTGCTGACCCATTTTGTGAATTTAATATACTCACAAAAACTGCACCATCTACCGGAGTGCATTATTTCAACTTACTATAGCACATGTGTGCAGACCATACTGTTATTGTCAAACTTTAAACAATTAAGAAAAACTTCAACAATTTGTACAAAATAATACATAATTTATTTATATCTGTTTTTACAATATGCAAATAATATCTTCACCAAGACATCAAGTTTTCTCAGCGGTTATCAGTCTCCTGATGAGGGGTATCAACTTGTCCTCTGAAAAAACAACAATTGAGAGATCTTTCAAAAATGAAAGGATAGCCACAAGCACTGAGCAAGTCGTTTTTCATATTTAATCAATTATTCTGACCAGGAACAACTGTTTGAATAGTGCTAAAATTTATGCTAAACTCCAAAGCTTTGATCCACACTGAGTTACAAACCTTTCAGATCTAGAGCTGGTTCTTCAAGTTTTTTCTGTAACATGTCTGCCAGTAAGTATCGGAGTTCCTTGAATATAACACCTGTCTTGGCCTTTGCCTGAAAAAGGAGATCAGATATTGACTCTAACGAGGAAAGTTATGGTCCACATAAATCACACAGTACACAGAACCAAAATGTGAGAGATCAGGAATATTTTGGTGTATATTATTAGTCTGACAGCTGTTAGTCTACATCACGTACTTTGTGTACCCCTCTGACCAGTGTAAATTGGCTCATCCCGATGGCCGAGGGTAATTATCGGCCCGATAATCGTATTACATCCCTTTGCTGGCTTTTCATCCAATCAGGTGCCTACGCTGGGAAGTTGAGCTTACTAATCACAAGGCTTCTACCATAACTCACTTCTGCTTATTTTATATAACCAATTAAACTTGGCAACACAGTTGTTGCAGAGGTACCCCCAAAGAGGTAGAAGATGTTCTTGCATATATTTATGAAGGTTTCAGACCTGTCAATTTGTTTGTATGACTTTTTCCCTAAATCTGAGTTGCACAGTGAGCAAACCTTCGTGGCTGTGACTGCCATCTTTGTTGAAACTGGCAAGCTCGGTTGTAACGGCTTATCTGATTGGCTACTGTGAGAAGGCAAAGCCAGCAAAGGGAGGTAATACCAATTATCAGGACGAGCCGTAGATGCATCCAGGGAACTAGTGGAGATTTATCGGAACTTATACACTGGAGATTATCAAGGATGGAATACACATTACCTTTCAGAAAGTGGCAAAATGCAATATATGTCATATTTGGGGTTACACTTTTACAGGAAGTACACATGCAAGTTACTTTTGGGTTGGGTCCCATTTGGGATTGTAACCCACACTCTCAGATTGAGGCATCTAATCACAAACAGAAAGTCGGCGATCTCATCCATTCAGTCACTGCGGTTTCCACAAAATGGAAGTTGGACAATTGGTAGTCTCAATCACATACTTTGTGTACCCCTCTGATGAGTGTTCAGTGCCCTTTTAGAAAGTTGTTAAATGTTATATTTGGGATGACACTTTTTCAGGAAGAAATATGGAACCAATGAGCAAAGGTATGGAGCAGACAAACCAAGAATACTAATCAATGTATACCTGGGATTTGAACCATCTACCTGCAGTTGTCATGGTTACGGCACACATCAATGTACAGTTAGTGATGGCACCTAGGATATGCATCCTCCTGAAAAGTGCAGAGACATTGTTGCCATGGTACTGACCTTGAACTGTATCCAGGTATCTATGGAGACGGCCTGCTGAGTGTGCTGTACATCCATGTCCCCCCCGAACAGCATGAGGGGGTAGGAGGAGGTGAGGGTGGAGTCGCGGAGGTACACCCGGGACAGCTTCACCTGCATGGGGGGCAACTCTTACATATCAAACACGGTTCACTCTGTGACTCATGTTTTATTGTGGCGGCGTGTAGTCCTGTGCATAGAGCTCAGGTCACAAATCAGTTGAAGTTAAGCAACCATTGGCACAGAGAGTCCTTGGATGGGTGACCGTGTTTGGCAGCTTGACTCCTCAGAGGTTCTAGGACTTCAGTCCTGCCCCAAAACGACACATGTGTGATACATGTGGTCTCACCCCAGGCAAGTAAGTTTGTTCATGAATTGCCTTTGTTCACCAAGCAGTGAATGGGTACCCGGTGGGATAAGTCATGTAACTGTTAACCTTCTAGTGCCTCACTGGCAGCTTGGGTTATCCAGGATAATAATGCGTTAGCACAGTGAGCATGCACAAGTGCAGGGAAACAGGCACTTCATAAATAGCCATTATTATTGTTAAAGATTGGAGTGAAACTAGCAGGCTTTCTGCCATCAGCACATACCAAATTTGTCTTTATAACAAAAAGGTGAAAGTTATGGATGTCAGCTTCTTTATATGAGAAACATGATGTTTTGGAGCATATTCTTACACCATCATAAAGTGCCTGGAGTATATCAGCAGCAAAGGTATACTCTAAAACGTTAAGTTCCACATATTACAGAAACTCACATCCATAACTTTCCCCTATATGTGTATCACTTCTAAATGACCTTCAAAGACTGTTAAAAACAAGTATATAGAATGTATGTTCCAGCTATATGGCGGTGGTCTGTAAAGAATTCAGTCTGGACCATTTCAGCTTACACATTGCAAGGTGACTAGAATTGGAGGAAAACTGAGAAACATAAATACTACACCGTACAACATTTTCTACTGACCTTTTCTAGATAGACAAGCCATCCATTAGCCTGGAGGAACCTGTTGACTGAGGACGGATGTATCTGTGCAATTCCCTGCGATGTCTCGGCAAGGCAAACAATCTTCTCTGGATTGGCTGCAGCGTCCACCGCCGGAGTGAAGCTGATCTTGGCCACGCTGGGGTACAGCCCAGCAGTGATGACCGCTCGGACTACTGCAATGGTGTCCGAGTTGAGGCCCTGGTCGATGGTGGTGCTGCTGCTAATATCAAGTACGTCAGGCCTCTTTCCTGTCGGCCTCCGCACACTCGACATGGTGATGTTCTCAAAACCAATTGAGGTCACAAGCTTCACAAGGTCGTTCTTCACATTCTGGAACAACATCAATACCTCTTGTAATTCTACCTGCCATTCCAATAGCCTTTCCATTGTCACATCTCACCTAAACAGATATTGAGGGGATGTTGTTTTTTTGCCACAGTCTGCACTATCCTAGCTATACCGCTGTTCATATTATCTCTGAACTGAGTCTGGGTAATGCAAATAAGGAGTCAATAGGACTTGGAGCGTCGGGAGAGTGTGGTCACAGCTTTTCACTCATCTCTAAAACAAGGGCTGTGGTACTGAGATTGATTGCCATGGTGATAGACAGACAACAACACAAATAGGTTTACCGAGGGTATCACTTGGAATTACTGTCTACTCTAGGTATCATTTACACTCAGGGCTATCTACACTGGGCACTATCCACATTAAGCACTATCACTACCCACGGAGAGTGCTATCAACACTAAGCACTATCCATGCAAAGTGTTATCAGTATCAACACTAAGCGCTATCCACACTAAGCGCTATCAACACTAAGCACTATCCACATTAAGCATTATCCATGCAAAGTGCTACCAACACTAAGCACTATCCACACTAAGCACTATCCCCATTAAGCATTATCCACGCAAAGTGCTATCAATACTAAGCGCTATCCACACTAAGCACTATCCCCATTAAGCATTATCCACGCAAAGTGCTATCAATACTAAGCGCTATCCACACTAAGCACTATCCACATTAAGCATTATCCATGCAAAGTGCTATCAATACTAAGCGCTATCCACACTAAGCACTATCCACATTAAGCATTATCCACGCGCAAAGTGCTATCAATACTAAGCGCTATCCACACTAAGCACTATCCACATTAAGCATTATCCACGCAAAGTGCTATCAATACTAAGCGCTATCCACACTAAGCACTATACACATTAAGCATTATCCACGCAAAGTGCTACCAACACTAAGCACTATCCACACTAAGCACTATCCACATTAAGCATTATCCACGCAAAGTGCTATCAATACTAAGTGCTATCAATACTAAGCACTATCCACACTAAGCACTATCCACACTAAGCACTATCCACATTAAGCATTATCCACATTAAGCATTATCCACGCAAAGTGCTACCAACACTAAGCACTATCCACATTAAGCACTATCCCCATTAAGCATTATCCACGCAAAGTGCTACCAACACTAAGCACTATCCACACTAAGCACTATCCACGCAAAGTGCTATCAATACTAAGCGCTATCCACACTAAGCACCATCCACACTAAGCACTATCCACATTAAGCATTATCCACGCAAAGTGCTATCAATACTAAGCGCTACCCACACTAAGCACTATCCACATTAAGCATTATCCACGCAAAGTGCTATCAATACTAAGCGCTATCCACACTAAGCACTATCCACATTAAGCATTATCCATGCAAAGTGCTACCAACACTAAGCACTATCCACACTAAGCACTATCCCCATTAAGCATTATCCACGCAAAGTGCATCAATACTAAGCGCTATCCACACTAAGCACTATCCACATTAAGCATTATCCACGCAAAGTGCTATCAATACTAAACGCTATCCACATTAAGCACTATCCACGCAAAGTGCTACCAACACTAAGCACTATCCACACTAAGCACTATCCACATTAAGCATTATCCACGCAAAGTGCTATCAACACTAAGCGCTATCCACACTAAGCACTATCCACATTCAGCACTATACATCCAAAGTGCTATCAATACTAAGCACTATCTACATTAAAGGCCGGGGTTCAAACCTATACACAGATAGGGAGTGGCCTCCTTGACTTGTCAAAGCTGTCTTTTGATGCAAAGCAATGCAGTATTCAAGTACATTCAATAAAATATCTCAATATTGACTTCAGGGTGATATTAAGGCTGATATTAAGTCATAGTATAAAGAAGTATATTATGAAGACTCACTTCAAAAAGTATGGATTCAGAGAGTCTACAAAACATACATTTTGAAAATATATTTCTCATTTTTAAATCCAGATTTGAATTCTCACTGTGTCAGTCAGGTGGCCAGAGGAGGTGCGTTTCCATAGAAACAAGCCTTGGAGTGGGGGAAATGTTTCATTCAGGGTTTCATATTTCAGGCAGACTGGGAAAATGCCACTAAGCACTATCCACACAAAGTGCTATCAACACTAAGCATTATCAACACTAAGCACTATCCACACAAAGTGCTATCAACTCTAAGCACTATACACACTATCCATGCAAAGAGCTATCAACACTAAGCATTATCAACACTAAGCACTATCCACACAAAGTGCTATCAACACTAAGCATTATCAACACTAAGCATTATCAACACTAAGCACTATCCACACAAAGTGCTATCAACTCTAAGCACTATACACACTATCCATGCAAAGTGCTATCCACACTAAGAACTATCCATGCAAAGTGCTATCAACACTAAGCACAATCCACATTAAGCACTATCCACACAAAGCGCTATTATCAACACTAAGCACTATCAACACCCAGCACTATCCCACCCCTGCACTATCCTTGTGGTAATAATGTGTTACTGTGGACCAACCAGTTCCCAGTGAAGGGTTTGTTCCACATACCTCAATGTCCATCAAGGTGTTCCTCTTCAGGAAGTTATGGCTACAGTAGGAGTGTTCTGCTTGTCTCCCTTGGCTCCGAGCTGACACCCACCTGAGCAAACACAAGCAGATTTAGAAAACACATGAATACATCCTTCCAGGGTTTAACCTCGACTCACAAACCTGGGGGTCCAGGGAACGCCTAATTATTAGTTTTAAGGGTCCTTGCTGGCAATGTTAGGGTCTTGTGAAGTAATGGTGTAGAGAACTGTACGTTTTGATAATTTGTTTAGAGCCTGGAATGAATCCTTGATCATGTGAACTGACGGGTCAAATGATGCAAGTAACTGCTTTGAAGAAACAGCCAAACACTGAATATAGTCCTGGATGTGTTGTGGGTAAAGTGAATGATATTGTGAGTCCCTCTAGACGCAGTGAATTTTTGTTTTGCATCCTTTCTCTACATTTTGGGTACTGGACGCACATCTGCGTGTCGAGTAAAACCCAGGACCTAGATTTTCGAAGCTCTCTTAGCGCTAAGATAGTCGTAAGTTAATGTATGGCACTTACGACTATCTTAGCGCTAACAGAGCTTCGAAAATCTAGGCACTGATCCTTCACATTGCCAACAGACACATATTTATATGTGTACATTTGAAAAGTAAAAGCAGTACATCATTTTGTACTCGTTTTGTTGAGTCAAAATTACACTGACATTGCAAGGCAAGGTCATATTCCAAGTCATTTACAATTATCAAAATCTAAAGGGCATTGTAAAGGTAATTAAACAAATAGAGACATCTACCTACAGCTGAGTTTGTCATTCGGACAGGGCAAGACTGTACTGAAGGACTGGATCTTCCATATACAAGCATGGAGCAGTTGAAGTATTAACTGAGAGCCACTAACTCTTACCCTTCAAAGGCTTTGTAGACTGTCAGATGGTCAGAACAGGCTATGGACATTGCCCTTTTAGCTGTGTCAGCAAGATCACGTTTGCCGAGTGGAACAACAAACGGTGATTTCTCAGTCATTGATGCTGCAATTACTGCCTGAAAAAATATTCACATGTTCAGCAGAGCAATGTTGTTACATTGTGACACTTCTGAACTCAAACTATACATATTACAGGAACTTTGAAACACAGAATTCTAAAAGATGTAGCATGAGAGTGTCTGTAGCTGTGTTGTGTAAGCTATACACCAATAAGTTAAAACAGACATTCTAAGATGCCTAGCGGTTAGAACAATCGAAAAAAAAATACATTATCAGACAATAAAGGTATAGTTTTTTGATGACGTAACAGTTGAATGACGTTATCCCTTCACTGCGCCATTCTAGTGTGCCCCCTCGTAATCGAACCATTTTACATTACGTCACAATGTAAGCGACGTCACGATGCATGTCAGTTGTCATCGCCTCGTACGGCCTCCTACAGTAAACTACACCGTTGCATCCAGTTTCTTGGTTTGCTGTTGCTTCACGCAGCTAACATCACTGGTGGAAACATTACGTTTATGTATTACAACGGTTAAAATGTGTCATTTCGACTCACAAGTTTTCAGCGACACGGTAAGGTTCGTAATGTTTACATTCCCACAATGCAATTGTGGAATGTCGCTGACTACTCAACTTCCTCTTGATGTACTGATCTAAACTTACGCTTTCGGTAGTAGAAATGCAACGTTCATATTGCCCCATATGGTTTACGTTAATGAGAGATGTAATTAAAATAATTCAGAGAAGATATTTAATCTGAACGTGAAACCGTTATCAAACTGTTATCATTTGTTTTTTCTGGTAACGTTACGTCTTAACGTAGGGGCAGACACATCAATAGAACAGCGTGCCAGTTAGCCCTGTCGCGAGGATTCTTAATTTAGGTCACCGACACCGTTGTTTGTTTTCTGCCTTAAATTAATCGTAATTATCTTTAGAAAGAATTAAATTTGGCATCTTAGAAAGAAATACACTTTCGCCCTACCACCATGTATGGTTTAATAAAACACACTTTAAGCCCTGAACTATTATAACGTTAAAGCACTCGGACGCAAGCGTCCTCGTGCTTTAACTATAATAATTCAGGGCAAAAGTGTGTTTTATTACACTATACATGGTGGTAGAGCGAAGTGTATTTCTTAAGTAAAGCGGCCTTCACACGGCAAACTAGTTTAAGAGTGTGAACATTCCAACAACCCGCCACCAACACCAATTTCAGAGTTGTCAAACTGTTGTCGAGAAATAGGATCGGTCTCTATTCTCACCAACTTTTCCATCCAACTTTCAGGGTTGTCAAACTCAAGTTTGACGAGTGAAGTATTGTCAAACTCGTGTTGCTCAGAAACAACCCATCGCAGTCAACGAAATTGTAATGTGACCGCACCAATAGAGACATGGCGCTCAAATGACACGTAAGTTTGACAACACGTGTTTGACGTGTGAAAATGCGAACTTGACAACTTTTAAAATTTCAACGTGTTGTCAAACTTTAGTTTACCATGTGAAGGCCGCTTAACACTACCCTGTTTGTCATCTGACTGTCATATCAGTAACACTGCCCTTTGAAACTAGGTTCATGTGGTGCTTAACGCTGCACTCAGCAATATTCCAGCTATATGACGGTGATCTGTAAATAATCATGTCTGGACCTGACAATCTAGTGATTGACATCATGCGTATCTACGTATTTAGGACATGATGACAGGTCTAATACAAAACAGTGAGCCTATTACTGTTAGTTGTCTCTTATGACAAACATTGGTTGCTGAAAGCCAATTCTGACCCAGATCTTCATGGGTTCTGAAACACTGGTAGGGCAGACTGAAAGAATCAGTCATCAGAAATATCTTCCAAGGAAGAATTATTAACAATTATCAGTGTGAAAACTAAACCCTGGTTTTGTGATGAATATGTTACTTGAGTATCAAGTCAAACCAGGCTCTCAGTAGCCATCTAGTTAAAGATGGAAATTCTGCACCTACCACTTGCTCCAAACATCCAAAGATGGATGCAAATATGAGCATCTTGCCGATGCGGACATGTACTGGGAGGGCAGCCAGGTGGTGGCCCAGGGGAGTGAGGCTGCCCCCCTCTAAGTCACACGCCCCCACATCCTGTAGGAGGGTCAGGGCTCTGGACACAACAACAGACTGAGGGGGGTCCATAGCACGGCATAGGAACTCAACGGGCTTGCCAAACTTGCATTTCTGAAATAGGTAATGATAAACATGGTACCTCTCCTCACAACGATGAACAGCCTATAGCTCCAACCATATGTTTTGATATAAGAACATGTGGGTTCTTCAGTCGTATGGAATATGGTGTTATGCCATTCTTACCAATATTCCTGCCATACTACAGTGGAGTCACCGCTACCAAACCTCTAACTGAAACTATGCACAGGTCTTCTGTCCTCTTCTCCTCCATCATTAACCAGAGACATCAGTGATGTCAGCTGTTCCACTGATGCATTCATGGTTTTCTAGTGTGTTTGTATGAGGTATAAGTGAGGTTCTAGCGTGTTTGGATGAGGTATAAGTGAAGTTCTAGCGTGTTTGTATGAGGTATAAGTGAGGTTCTAGCGTGTTTGTAAGAGATAAGTGAGGTTCTAGCGTGTTTGTATGAGGTATAAGTGAGGTTCTATCGTGTTTGTATGAGGTATAAGTGATGTTCTAGCGTGTTTGTATGAGGTATAAGTGAGGTTCTAGCATGTTTGTATGAGGTATAAGTGATGGTCTTAAAAGTGAAGTTCCTAGCATGTTTGGATGAGGTGCATAAGTGCGTGTTTGTATGAGGTATAAGTGATGTTATAGCGTGTTTGTATGAGGTATAAGTGATGGTCTAGCGTGTTTGGATGAGGTATAAGTGATGGTCTAGCGTGTTTGTATGAGGTATAAGTGATGTTCTAGCGTGTTTGTATGAGGTATAAGTGAAGTTCTAGCGTGTTTGTATGAGGTATAAGTGAAGTTCTAATGTGATTGTATGAGGTATAAGTGAGGTTCTAGCGTGTTTGTATGAGGTATAAGTGATGTTCTAACGTGTTTGTATGAAGTATAAGTGAAGTTCTAACGTGTTTGTATGAGGTATAAGTGAGGTTCTAGGCGCGGTTTGTATGAGGAGGTATAAGTGATGTTCTAACGTGTTTGTATGAGGTATAAGTGAAGCGTGTTTGATGAGTTATAAGTGAAGTTCTAGCGTGTTTGTATGAGGTATAAGTGATGTTCTAGCGTGTTTGTATGAGGTATAAGTGATGTTCTATCGTGTTTGTATGAGGTATAAGTGATGTTCTAGTGTGTTTGTATGAGGTATAAGTGAGGTTCTAGCGTGTTTGTATGAGGTATAAGTGATGGTCTAGCATGTTTGTATGAGGTATAAGTGATGTTATAGCGTGTTTGTATGAGGTATAAGTGATGTTCTAGCGTGTTTGGATGAGGTATAAGTGATGGTCTAGCGTGTTTGTATGAGGTATAAGTGATGTTCTAGCATGTTTGTATGAGGTATAAGTGATGTTCTAGCGTGTTTGTATGAGGTATAAGTGATGTTCGCAGGGGGTTCTGATGAGGTATCAAGTATCAGTGATACTAGACTGTTCCCATATTGCATCAAGGATGTTCTTAGGTGTTCCTATGATGTATCAGTGATGTTGTCGGGTGTCCCTATGAAGTATTAATGGAGTTCTAAGGTGTTCCTATGATGTATGAGTGATGTTCTGGGGTGTTCCTATGATGTATCAATGGAGTTCTAAGGTGTTACTATGATGTATCAGTGATGTTCTAAGGTGTTCCAATGATGCATAAGTCATGCCATCTACCATGATATTGAGGCACAGTTCTTCCAGTGGAACCCTCAGCAGCTCGGGAACAGTAAAGGGACGGAAGTTCTCATACCTGGAAAATATCACATACCATGATGAGGAGAAAGATTGTGACACTGAATCACGTATGAATTCACAGGTATAACTTAGGTATGGATAGAACTATTTACAGGCATGAATCAGAACGACTACAGTTTCTTTTCATGTATGGTATAGTGGCGAACTTACATTTGTTTAGTATACAGCCGGAAGCAGAAGCCCTCCTGGACACGACCTGCTCGACCTTGGCGCTGCTTGGCGTTGGCTTTACTGATGAAAACTTCCTCGAGGGAACTCATCTGACTGGACTCAATGTACCTGGGACAGAAAAAACACTTACATACTACATGATAAACATAACACTTCCTCCAACTAGCTCATCTAGGACAGAAACACCACTTACATACTACATGATAAATATAACACTTCCTCCAAGGAGCTGATCTGGGACAGAAACACCACTTACATACTACACGATAAACATAACACTTCCTCCAACTAGCTGATCTTGGACAGAAACACCACTTACATACTACACGATAAATATAACACTTCCTCCAAGGAGCTGATCTGGGACAGAAACACCACTTACATACTACACGATAAACATAACACTTCCTCCAAGGAGCTGATCTGGGACAGAAACACCACTTACATACTACACGATAAACATAACACTTCCTCCAAGGAGCTGATCTGGGACAGAAACACCACTTACATACTACATGATAAACATAACACTTCCTCCAAGGAGCTGATCCGGTACAGAAACAACACTTACATTACATACTACTTCCTGAATGGAGCTGATCCGGTAAAAACAACATACGACACTTCATAACACTTCCTCCAAGGAGCTGATCTGGGACAGAAACACCACTTACATACTACATGATAAACATAACACTTCCTCCAAGGAGCTGATCCGGTACAGAAACAACACTTACATACTACACGATAAACATGACACTTCCTGAATGGAGCTGATCCGGTACAGAAACAACACTTACATACTACACGATAAACATAACACTTCCTACAAGGAGCTGATCTGGGACAGAAACACCACTTACATACTCCACGATAAACATGACACTTCCTGCAAGGAGCTGATCTGGTACAGAAACAACACTTACATACTACACGATAAACAAAACACTTCCTCCATGGAACTCATTTGTCTGCACTCTATGTACCTGGGACAGAAAAAACCCACCTGTTCTCTAAAATGCTTAGGTTTTATCAAAGAATACAAACTGTCAGTTGGACAACAAATAGTTCAAGAAACAAAGTTTTATTGTTTTCATGACTGAAAAAACATTTAGGCCACCAAGAATATCCAATGGTCGTACTCTCACTAAGCTAAAACCTTTGAGGCATGGCAGGGTTACCTCACATAGACTTATTATAAGTCTGGTTCTCAGATAAAACTAAACACTACCAAATCATACTGACATAAAAGCAGGGGTGTAAATATACATTCAAAATATTAGCCAAACACAGAAATTCAGACATCATTCCTTCTCCCTTACCTAATGACCATGATTGAGTACTTACCTTTCATATTTCATTTATTTCACATCAAAATTATCGAATAGGAGCACAGGTTGAAGAGGATCTTCTGCTGGACAGCTCACATGCGACAATCATGATACTATATTGCAATAAAGAAGCTTATTGGATCTGAAGCAAGACTACAAACGAGACAAATATAATCTTGCAAACCCTGTTGGCGTATTGAAAGAATTCACCTGTTTTCCTTCGCCTTCCCTGCATCGATGACAAACACAACATCAGGTATGGTGATGCCAGTCTCCGCAATGTTGGTTGCTATGACGATCTTCCTGACCCCTGGAGGTGGCACCGTGAAGGCCTCGCTCTGGTCCGTGGATGACAACACAGAGTGAAGTGCAAGCACTCGGTACCTGAAGATACCATTACATTTTCACCCCTCAGTTTATTACACAAAAACAAAACCTGCATACATTGTTAGCCTTATGTAAGTTAGTCCCAGCTAATCTGCTTCTGGAACAGGGCGCGATTTCATCTTTTTTTCAGTACCTGCAGCAACATGGCTTGTAGGTTTGGTTGCATCATAAAAATGTCACTGGTTCTAAAAAAGTACAGAAATATTTGTTTAGCAATTTTCATAGCAAGTCCTCAGTTCAGATACATTCAACAGAACCTGACACCATGATTATAAAATGATTAATGATTCTGTTACAATTTTGCCTTACCTTTATTTATAAATCTCAGTTACATGATTACGTCTACGTAACTGATTTATAAGTACACAAATGTTTATGCTTGTAACAAGTCACGCGGAGAGAAATGTATTACCTACAGTCACTTACTTCCCAATTAAAACACATGATGCTGGCTATGACATGCTGGAAGCTTTATTGTTACCTGCACCAGGTGCAACCTGTTACTGAAGGTAACCTGCACCAGCCATTGTTAACATGAACAACTGCAGGTTGTAAATGGCGAAATCACACCCTTAGGAATACTGAACAAACATTACATACAAGTAGCATGTAAAGGTGGGAAGACAGACACCGAGATTCAGTAACTGATCACACCTTGATACAGGCTGATATGTTCCACACATACACTCAAACCCAGACATACAACTCAAAGCCAGCTGAGAGTTTTTGCAAAATACAATAAAACACAAATATATTTGTTTCCAGATGCATGACATGAAGTCTAGAACAAGGTCCATCCATAATTGTTCATGATACCTTGCTTTGTCCGAGAAGTGCCTGTCTGCCTGTAGGTTCTCGTGCAGCTCCTGAATGTCAGACAGGCCAGGAAGGAAGACCAGCACAGAGCCATCCACACTGCAAAATGGCTGCTTTTTGTCCAGGTGACGCAGGATCTCCTATGATGGAAATCAGAATCCATCAAATGTACGAACTGGCAGCAAGGATTAAACAGACCATCCCTCCATCCCATACTTCTGTCCCACATCATAGCAGGGGTTGAAAAATACCGTTGCCTGATGCCTGAGTCGAGTGGAATTCTCTGGTCGGTCAAGCAAATGGCCACATTAAACTTTACCGTGGTACAGTAGTGCCAAACTAATGATTGTTTTGATGTATGTATTTTGATGGTGAAACTAACATGGAATTGCTACCAATTGATAAAGATTATTTGCAAGAGAAATTAGTATTTGGTACAGTGGATTTTGAAAGTTTACTGGACCTGTGCCCAGTGGAGTTTTGAAAACAAGTTCAACCCCTGCATAAAGTGGAGGTAAGACAAATTACCAACAGTGGTAAACAAATTCATTAATTTCCAGTTGTTGCCTGAACACCAAGTATAGGGGAGCTGCAGATGAGTTGAAGATGGAAGTGCAACAGTTGCTGCCTGAACACCAAGTATAGGGGAGCTGCAGATGAGTTGAAGATGGAAGTGCAACAGTTGCTGCCTGAACACCAAGTATAGGGGAGCTGCAGATGAGTTGAAGATGGAAGTGCAACAGTTGCTGCCTGAACACCAAGTATAGGGGAGCTGCAGATGAGTTGAAGATGGAAGTGCAACAGTTGCTGCCTGAACACCAAGTATAGGGGAGCTGCAGATGAGTTGAAGATGGAAGTGCAACAGTTGCTGCCTGAACACCAAGTATAGGGAAGCTGCAGATGAGTTGAAGATGGAAGTGCAACAGTTGCTGCCTGAACACCAAGTATAGGGGAGCTGCAGATGAGTTGAAGATGGAAGTGCAACAGTTGCTGCCCTGAACACCAAGTATAGGGGAGCTGCAGATGAGTTGAAGATGGAAGTGCAACAGTTGCTGCCTGAACACCAAGTATAGGGGAGCTGCAGATGAGTTGAAGATGGAAGTGCAACAGTTGCTGCCTGAACACCAAGTATAGGGGAGCTGCAGATGAGTTGAAGATGGAAGTGCAACAGTTGCTGCCTGAACACCAAGTATAGGGGAGCTGCAGATGAGTTGAAGATGGAAGTGCAACAGTTGCTGCCTGAACACCAAGTATAGGGGGAGCTGCAGATGAGTTGAAGATGGAAGTGCAACAGTTGCTGCCTGAACACCAAGTATAGGGGAGCTGCAGATGAGTTGAAGATGGAAGTGCAACAGTTGCTGCCTGAACACCAAGTATAGGGAAGCTGCAGATGAGTTGAAGATGGAAGTGCAACAGTTGCTGCCTGAACACCAAGTATAGGGGAGCTGCAGATGAGTTGAAGATGAAAGTGCAACAGTTGCTGCCTGAACACCAAGTATAGGGAAGCTGCAGATGAGTTGAAGATGGAAGTGCAACAGTTGCTGCCTGAACACCAAGTATAGGGGAGCTGCAGATGAGTTGAAGATGGAAGTGCAACAGTTGCTGTCTCACCATGATGAGGTCCATGTTGATCCTCTTCATGTTGAGTCTGGTGACTGCATTTCTTGTCTTCAGACTATACTGGTCAGCACTGAGGTCAGTCTGCAACAGGACAAACTCAGTTAGTGTGGTCCTAAACATGGGTGAATGGTGTGGTGTGGTATGGTGGTGGTGTGGTGTGGTGGTGTTTGGTGTGTGGAGGTGTGGTGTGGTGGTGTGTGGTGTGGTGGTGTGTGGTGGTGGTGTGTGGTGGTGGTGAGTGGTGGTGGTGAGTGGTGGTGTGATGGTGGTATGTGGAGGTGTGTGGTGAGTGGTGGTACAGTGTGTGTGGTGTGTGGTGTGGTGCGATGGTGGTGGTGGTGTATGGTAGTGTGGTGTGTGATGTGTGTGTGTGATAGTGGTGTGTGTGTGGTGTGGTGGTGGTGTGTGTTGGAGTGGTGGTGTGTGATGGTGTGTGGTGGTGTGTGTGTGATGGTGTGATGGTGTGTGATGGTGGTGGTGTGTGATGGTGTGTGATGGTGTGATGATGGAGGTGGTGTGATGGTGTGTGATGTGTGATGGTGGTGTGATGGTGTGTGGTGGTGTGTGATGAGTGTGTGATGGTGTGTGGTGGTGATGATGCGGTGTGGTGGTGTGTGATGGTGGTGATGTAGTGAGTGGTGGTGGTGATGTGTGTGGTGGTGTGATGATGTGTGTGGTGTGTGATAGTGTGGTGGTGTGATGATGATGGTGTGTGATGGTGTGTGGTGGTGGTGTGATAGGTGTGATGGTGTGTGATAGTGATGGTGTGATGGTGATGTGATGGTGTGTGGTGTGTGATGGTGAGTGTGATGGTGTGTGATGGTGTGTGTGGTGGTGTGATGGTGTGTGATGGTGTGTGATGGTGTGATGGTGTGTGGTGGTGTGTGATGGTGTGTGATGGTGTGAGATGATGTGTGATGGTGTGTGATGATGATGTGTGGTGTGTGTGTGTGGTGGTGTGATGTGATGGTGTGTATGGTGTGTGGTGTGATGGTGTGTGGTGGTGGTGATGATGTGTGGTGGTGTGTGGTGGTGTGTGATGGTGTGATGTGTGTGTGTGATGATGTGTGTGATGGTGTGTGGTGGTGATGATGTGTGGTGGTGTGTGGTGGTGTGTGATGGTGTGATGTGGTGGTGGTGTGTGATGGTGTGTGGTGTGGTGTGTGTGTGTGGTGTGTGTGTGATGGTGTGTGATGATGGTGTGATGGTGATGTGTGTGTGGTGGTGTGTGATGGTGTGTGATGTGTGTGATGATGGTGTGTGTGTGGTGTGTGTGGTGTGTGGTGGTGTGTGTGATGGTGTGTGATGGTGTGTGATGGTGATGGTGTGGTGGTGTGTGGTGTGTGTGTGGTGGTGTGTGATGTGTGTGATGGTGTGTGGTGATGGTGTGTGATGGTGTGTGGTGTGTGAGTGATGGTGGTGTGGTGTGTGTGATTGTGGTGTGGTGTGTGTGATAGTGTGATGGTGGTGTGTGTGATGTGTGTGTGGTGTGTGTGTGTGAGTGTGGTGTGTGGTGGTGTGTGTGTGGTGTGGTGTGTGGTGTGTGTGTGGTGTGTGTGTGGTGTGTGTGTGGTGGTGTGATGGTGTGTGGTGGTGTGTGATGGTGTGTGGTGGTGTGTGATGTGTGTGTGATGGTGTGTGGTGTGTGGTGGTGTGGTGGTGTGTGTGGTGAGTGGTGTGTGTGTGTGTGGTTTGTGATGTGGTGGTGGTGGTGTGGTGTGTAGTGGTGTGTGTGGTGGTGGTGTGGTGTGATGGTGGTGTGGTGTGATTGTGGTGTGGTGGTAGTTGTTAGTGGTGGTGTGGTGTGTGGTTTGTGGTGTGGTGGTGTGTAGTGGTGTGGTGTGATGGTGGTGTCGTGGTGGTGAGTGGTGGTGAGTGGTGTTGTGTGGTGGGGTGGTGTGTAGTGGTGTGGTGGCATGGTGGTGTGTTGTGGTTTGGTGGTGGCATGGTGGTTTGTGGTGGTGTGTGCTGGTGTAATGGTGTGGTGGTTTGTGGTGGTGTGGTGTGTGGTGGTGTGTAGTGGTGTGGTGGCGTGGTGGCGTTGTGGCGTGTGGTGTTTTGTGGTGGTTTGGTGGTGGTGTGTGAGTGTGGCACTGAGGTCAGTTTGGAACTGGAGAACATGAGTGAGTGGAGGCCTAAACATGGGTGATTGGTGTGCCAGTCAGGTGATGTGGCTTTAGGGGTAATGAGTAACTGACTGACTGACTCAGTTTGGTTTTACGCCACTTTTAGCAATATTCCAGCAATATCACCGCGGGGGACACCAGAAATGGGCTTCACACATTGTACCCATGTGGGGATTCGAACGCGGGTCTTCGGCGTGACGATCCAACGTTTTAACCACTAGGCAACCCCACCGCCCCGGTAATGAGTAACACTCACCATGTCGATCTTGGTGATGTCCTGCTTGGTCCAGTAGACGTCCACCTGGGACGAGTCTCCCCCTTTCTCTGTCACCTCTAGTGTGGCACTTTCTTCCTGGGAAGAAAAACTATACATATTAATCATAACTTTCTGTGCCATCTACAGCCCATTCTGTCACTGTGATACTTCTATCTCTGCAGTGAGACAGACTCATCTACTACTGAGATATAATCCTCTTTCTCAAATGAGACAGACTCATCTACTACTGAGATATAATCCTCTTTCTCCAGTGAGACAGACTCATCTACTACTGAGATATAATCCTCTTTCTCCAGTGAGACAGACTCATCTACTACTGAGATATAATCCTCTTTCTCCAGTGAGACAGACTCATCTACTACTGAGATATAATCCTCTTTCTCCAGTGAGACAGACTCATCTACTACTGAGATATAATCCTCTTTCTCCAGGGAGACAGACTCATCTACTACTGAGATATAATCCTCTTTCTCCAGTGAGACAGACTCATCTACTACTGAGATATAATCCTCTTTCTCCAGTGAGACAGACTCATCTACTACTGAGATATAATCCTCTTTCTCCAGTGAGACAGACTCATCTACTACTGAGATATAATCCTCTTTCTCCAGTGAGACAGACTCATCTACTACTGAGATATAATCCTCTTTTCTCCAGTTAGACAGACTCATCTACTACTGAGATATAATCCTCTTTCTCCACTGAGACAGACTCATCTACTACTGAGATATAATCCTGATTTCTCCAGTGAGACAGACTCATCTACTACTGAGATATAATCCTCTTTCTCCAGTGAAACAGACTCATCTACTACTGAGATATAATCCTCTTTCTCCAGTGAGACAGACTCATCTACTACTGAGATATAATCCTCTTTCTCCAGTGAGACAGACTCATCTACTATTGAGATATAATCCTCTTTCTCCAGTGAGACAGACTCATCTACTATTGAGATATATGCCGATTTCTCCAGTGAGACAGCCTCATCTACTATTGAGATATATGCCGATTTCTCCGGTGAGACAGCCTCATCTACTATTGAGATATTTGCCGATTTCTCCAGTGAGACAGCCCACTCAAGTATTCCTAGGTGTTTAACCTTACCTCCACCAGCTGCCCTGACTTGAGTGTGTAGGGAGAGTCCTCATCCACGACATAGCCAATAGTCTCTATCACATCTTCTAAGTGATAGACCTGTAAAGATGGAAGAGGTGATGGTAGCAAATTAATCAATGAGTTTGGCCAATAGAATCTGTGCTCTAATAATTGTCCTGTTCAAAACCCGTTTCCTTAATATCCGCTGCTTGTGTACACATGATGTTTGTGCAACTACAATGTCAAGACATCACATTTGCTAGATGATCCATCCTGTTTTGGATGTACTTGCTGTTGTGAAAGTTCAGTCTGACGTCAACCTAAATAATCTGATCAGATTGGGATTATTTCATCTTTGTGTTGATGCTACAATGCTACCACCATTATAATGCTAAATGTAGTTATAATGCTAAACATGGTTATAACACTATCCATGTCATAAAAATATATGTGATTAATAATGACAAACATGGTCATAATGTGAAACAGTGTCACAAAACAATATGTGGTATTAATGATTAATGGTATTAAGTTATAATCATGATAATTCTTTTCTATGTCATAACAATAAATGTGGTTATTACGGTAAACATAATTATGATGTTATAAAATGTCATAAAAATAAATGGTTATCATAACATGGTGCTTACAACAGTAAACTTGTTCATATTACCACACGTGGTCGTGATGGTAAGCCTGGCTATTATGCTAAATTTCTAACTGAGCCACTGAGAGTTCAGAATTCAATATTAACAATAACAAAAGATCTGTCACAGGTCTGTGCCTCTGTTTTGTTCAGTATTCAATGTAGACAATAACAAAGGATCTGTCACAGGTCAGTGCAGGTTTTGTTCAGTATTCACTATAAACAATAACAAAGGATCTGTCACAGGTCAGTGCCCAGGTTTTGTTCAGTAATAACAATAACAAAAGATCTGTCACAGGTCAGTGCCAACGTTTTGTTCAGTATTTATCACACACAATGACAAAGGATCTGTCACAGGTCAGTGCCCACGTTTTGTTCAGTATTCACTATAAACAATAACAAAGGATCTGTCACAGGTCAGTGCCCAGGTTTTGTTCAGTATTCACTATAAACAATAACAAAGGATCTGTCACAGGTCAGTGCCCAGGTTTTGTTCAGTATTCACTATAAACAATAACAAAGGATCTGTCACAGGTCAGTGCCCAGGTTTTGTTCAGTATTCACTATAAACAATAACAAAGGATCTGTCACAGGTCAGTGCCCACGTTTTGTTCATAGTATTCACTATAAACAATAACAAAGGATCTGTCACAGGTCAGTGCCCAGGTTTTGTTCAGTATTCACTATAAACAATAACAAAGGATCTGTCACAGGTCAGTGCCCACGTTTTGTTCAGTATTCACTATAAACAATAACAAAGGATCTGTCACAGGTCAGTGCCCACGAGTATTCACTATAAACAATAACAAAGGATCTGTCACAGGTCAAAGCCCACGTTTTGTTCAGTATTCACTCAATAACAAAAGATCTGTCACAGGTCAGTGCCAACGTTTTGTTCAGTATTTATCACACACAATGACAAAGGATCTGTCACAGGTCAGTGCCCACGTTTTGTTCAGTATTCAATATAAACAATAACAAAGGATCTGCCACAGGTCCCAAACAATGTTGAAGCACAGTTCTGTGGGTAGCCCTACCTCCACCGGGAATGTTCGGCCAGGGATGCTGATGACTTGGCAGTGGCTGAAGTAGGCTGAGAATTTCTCACTGTCCAGGGTGGCACTCATCAATATCACCTTCAGATCTCGCCTCTGATTCAGAATCTCCTTGACAACAATCATCAGGAAATCTGACTGGACACTTCTTTCATGAACCTGAAGATTTTGAAAAATATAACATTGTGTTCAAGGGACCAACTTAATGTTCAGTTCTACATTTCTTTTCCAGTGTAACTTTTATATGGGTCAAAACCTGATGCAAAGCAACTACAGTCAAGAATTTTCAAGAACATTCTTTTTTTAAAGCAAGCACTCATCAGAATCTCAAAGATCAATTCCTAACATCAGTAAAATCCATCATTCAATCAAGTCCTCTAGGTTTTCACTGTTTTCAGCCACAATTGAATGACATACAGACTCAATAAAACACTGTAATCACATCTTTCACAAGAGATTGATGAAAGTGTCTGAAACTTTAACAATTGTAATAATTTCTTTCAGATTATCTCCACCACACAAGATATTGTACTATTTATTAATATGTCAAAATGTTAACAAATGTTAGCATTTACTTCACAAATTGATACTGAACTTTCTACGAAAGTCGTCTCCCGAAAACAGGTCATATGTTTGATATGACATGCATTGTATCTAAATTCCATAGAGGCATCTCAGTGTTTACCTCATCAATAATAATATGTGTGATATGTGACATCAGTGGATCCTGCTGCAGTTGCCGCAGTAACACCCCTGTAGTGCAGTAGGTGAGTTTTGTGTTGGGCCCCTTCTTGGACTCGAAGCGGATCTGATAGCCACAGAGGGACTGTTTGTGTCCAGGGTTTCTCTCACCAAGCTCCTCCGACACTCGCTTGGCGAGACTCACGGCAGATATACGACGGGGTTGAGTACACACGATATTACACTGTGATCCAGCACCAGACATTATTGATTCCTGAAAATGAAATTTGGAACTGTAAACAATCTGGCTGAACTGTTTTCAGTCCTCTATGATAGTTAATAATTCCCTTTGCACCGATTTGTGCAGATCTACTTCTTTAATGCACCAGCTCTGCACCTTAACATGGAAGACTTGACCTTCATACTTACTTCTAGAACAAACTGAGGTATCTGGGTACTCTTGCCGCTTCCTGTTTCCCCCGGCAACCACTACCACATTTTCTCTGTTGATTCGTTCCATGACTTTCTCTCTGTGCTGGAACACTGGCAACTTCCTCCGAGTGTCCTGCAGAGTCTGGTAGACTTGGGATGACATCCTGTCCTTGAACAGCTGTTTCAAGGCACTGCTATCAAGCTTCGAGGCATGAGAGGATGATGGCCTTTTTGCTTGTATGTGGGCCAAAATCGTCCTGAATTCAAAAATAAACAAATCTATGCCACCAACTATTGAATTCCTTTGAAACAATCCACCCAGCAATGATGATTATTATTACTTATTATTATCCTTTGAATATGACATTTGCAGTTATATGAAAACAATGTCTTATTTACATCAAAGATAATTTCTCACTGTTGTAAAATCAAAATACGCATTTAAATTTGTGAATACTAATGATAGTATAATGCTAAGTAATTTAGTAGTTCCAAAGTTTGATTGGAAAACTCAATGGAGATATCATAACTTCATGATGTTCGACTCAGACAACCGTGACAAGATATTAGTTTGGTTTTGCCAGGGCTATTTACCTGTTAGACAACAAACTGCTCACCTCATCAGCAAGGTCTTCCCATGTCATTTCCTCATCATTCCTCTCACTGACCTTCACCATTGCAGGTCGGACCTTCTTGTCCTCCATCTGAACTTTCCTCAAGAATCTGGCAATGAACTGATCTCGTGGCTGCCAGAAAGGATGAGAAAGTGAAAATAACTGACACGCTGTATATCACTAAAAACATATCGGCAGGTGTCAGCCTATCATACATTGATGTATCATGACATCCCTGATCGAATGAGTCAGTGTGTTCAGTTTTACACTGCATTTAGCAATACTCCAGCAATATCACAGGAAGGGTCACAAGAAATGGGATTCACACATTGTGCAAATGAGGGGAATCGAACACAGGTCTTGGGCGGGATGAGCAAACAATTTAACCACTAGGCAACCCCACCGTCCCTCTGACTAAATGAAGCCCTTTAGGCCATAACCATTGTGACCATCGGTTGCATGCAGTGTGTTCCTAATGAATAAATGGGAGCTTCAGTTATTTCTGTCATTACCCTTGGTGTACGACGGAACACAATGAGCCAGTTCATACTTTGTAGCTATTGTCTCTTACGACAAGCAAGCAATACAGGGTATTTGTTTCCCTTCAGAATTATCCCCGACATGTCTGTGAGACTTTGCAGAACACCAGATGGTCCTTACCTTGTTTTCCTTCTCCTTGGCCTCCTGCTTGACGGCATTATCAGCATCCCTCCACTCCAGCCACACATCCCTGTACGGCGGCGGTAACAACTGGTGGATTGGCTGATTTGAAAAACAGAAACAAGAGAATACTGCAATAAACAGTGTGACCTACCTGTCCGGGACACAGGTGATATAGGTCATTGAGAGGGGAGCTGATATTTGACCTACCTGTCCGGGACACAGGTGATACAGACCATCAGGGAGTTGATATTTGACCTACCTGTCCGGGACACAGGTGATACAGACCATCAGGGAGTTGATATTTGACCTACCTGTCCGGGACACAGGTGATACAGACCATCAGGGAGCTGATATTTGACCTACCTGTCCGGGACACAGGTGATACAGACCATCAGGGAGTTGATATTTGACCTACCTGTCCGGGACACAGGTGATACAGATCATCAGGGAGCTGATATTTGACCTACCTGTCCGGGACACAGGTGATACAGACCATCAGGGAGCTGATATTTGACCTACCTGTCCGGGACACAGGTGATACAGACCATCAGGGAGTTGATATTTGACCTACCTGTCCGGGACACAGGTGATACAGACCATCAGGGAGCTGATATTTGACCTACCTGTCCGGGACACAGGTGATACAGACCTACCTGTCCGGGACACAGGTGATACAGACCATCAGGGAGTTGATATTTGACCTACCTGTCCGGGACACAGGTGATACAGACCATCAGGGAGTTGATATTTGACATACCTGTCAGAGACACAGGTGATACAGACCATCAGGGAGTTGATATTTGACCTACCTGTCCGGGACACAGGTGATACAGACCATCAGGGAGTTGATATTTGACCTACCTGTCCGTGACACAGGTGATACAGACCATCAGGGAGCTGATATTTGACCTACTTGTCCGGGACACAGGTGATACAGACCATCAGGGAGTTGATATTTGACCTACCTGTCCGGGACACAGGTGATACAGACCATCAGGGAGTTGATATTTGACCTACCTGTCCGGGACACAGGTGATACAGACCATCAGGGAGTTGATATTTGACCTACCTGTCCAGGACACAGGTGATACAGTGCCAGGGTAGCAGCCAGATGCTGGGATTCCATGTTGTTCTCACACAAAATCTCAGGTGTCACTGACAACATGCCGCCATCTTTCTTCCTGTCCACCTTGCATCTGAAACAAAAGGGACAAACGGCATAATGTCCATGCCTCACATATCACACAACCTATTGTGACAGATGGCACACACGACAGTAACATAAAAAAATACAAAGTTGGCAGATAATGTTTTTGAAACACTTTTATATCAAGTCCAAGTCATGTTTTCACAAGCTGGAGACTAATGATCTATTTCACCCTGGAATCTTGCATCTACCCCAGACATTCACAATAGATGTATTCTGTGCTAGTACAGCAACACACAGCATTCTTATGCTGACTTAAGCTCACACAGGAAAGAAGTGGGAGGGATGTACAAGAGCACCGAGCAATGAAAGACTATTATCCATACAACTGATTATTGATAGATGACAGTGAAGAGGATTTCAGCTGAAAATCCAGCTGATTTTTATGTAGTGAGTAAGTGTGTTGGGTTTTACACTGCTTTAAGCAATATTCCAGCAATATCACAGCAGGGAACAGCAGAAATGGGACTTCACACATAGTACCCATGTGTGGAATTGAACCTGGGTATTCGGCGTGACAAGCAGATGCTTTAAGCACAAGGCTACCCCACTGCCCATTTTATGTTGTGATGACTGCCAAAATATAAGATCATTTAATAGAGACAGGATATTTGCAGGAATTATTCAGTTTAACAGCCACTACTGTGTTACATACATGGATCTCCACTTCTGCTTGTGCTGCTTCTTGTCAAACTTTGGTGGGTCACTCGGTGGCAGGTGCTTGCGCACCCAATCTATGAGGAACTGTTTTGGAGACTTCCCAGTCCACTGTTGACGAGTGTACTCAAAGTTTCTCACATCCAGCTTCACTTCTTTTACAGGCGCTGAAAATGTATCATAATGTAATTTTTAGAGTAAAATTGATAATTTTTTCTTAACCTGACTCATGTTTATTTGCTTGTCTTCTTCTTCTGGCGAACCTAGTGGAACACTTGTATCTCCCAATTGAAGCTCCCTTCAATAAAAAAATCACTCATTAGTACTCACCCCGAGTTATCTTCCTTTCCATAAGCGCGGGAAGGAGGGCGCCACCCAAGCCCATGTGCCCCACTCTCTCTTTCTTCGCCCAGTGAGCTGGACGTGAGAGCACCTGTGTCTCCCAACACATATATCCTTATTTAAATCTAGTTTAGTTCCTCTTATACGTTAGTATAGAGGTAGTACTAGTATATTTATTCTATTTGCATTGATTATTAATTGTGTTTCTGCTGTTTATTCACGCTTTGCCGTGATTGTTCAGTAGGCTACATTAATGAAAATTTGCACAGATTGTAAACTACGTTACTCTGATACCGATCCTCATTTAAAATGCCCTAGTTGCATTACTCCATGTTCCTTTGATTCTCGTTGTAAATTGTGTAACAATTTACCTATCTCTGCCTTTTGACAAATGTTATGTTCCGTTTACAGGCGGAAGGCAGATAAATCTCGTAAACAGATTTCAAACATGGCTAATAGATAGCAAATTAATGTTTCATGTCAACTGTTGACTGAGGACTTCGTCACCGGCTGGTGGCATGCCTGAGTTTCCCTCGGAGGATAAGTGGGGCGCAGTCCGCTATGTCCAAGAAGCGACCTGCATCTCAAGAGCTGCCGTCGTCTCAGTCCAAGTCGAGGAAACCAGCCATATCATCTCGTGACTTCGTGCTCCAAGATCTACACCGTCATCTAAAGGAAAGTCAACTAAATCTAATAAATTTGCCTCTGATATCTTACCAGTTACAGAATTAGCATTATATGATGATGATATGCCTATTATCATTCCAGAAGTTTGTCACAAGAAAGCGGCCCGTTTCTGCGACTATCACCTCAGCGCAGGCGAACACACAACCCGAGGAGATGCCGGCGCTATCACCAATACATTTATCTGAGGGTCCGTCACCTCTGCAGAGACATCCTCATCAGCGCGAGAAACGTCCCAGATGATTTGATCAACCACATTATGAGAATGATGGAAGACGCTCACGGCTTACAGAGGCCTCAGAGCCACGGGCCCTAGAGCCCACCCCATACTAAGTCATACAGGGCCCCAGAGCCGCCTTGACTTCGGCGTAGAACCCCTGAGCCCTTAGGCAGCAGCCTCGAAGGCAACCCTGCCGAGGTGAGCTCTTTGCATAAGGTATCCCAGGCGCCTCCGAGAAGGAGCTAGAGTCTGACCCTTTGCAAGAGGCCAGCGGAGAAAGGTGCTTCGCCTGCTTACGCACCTTGTCATGTCTGAAGGCGTTAGCAAAGCACTCATATGTCGGATCGAACACTGACTCCAGACATTGGCGCAGAGGCGAAGGCAAAGTGGTTCTAGCGCCGCCAGAAGGCGTTCAGCGCAGTCCTCAACGTTCGAGAAGCCCAGAAGCGTCGTGAAGCCATCACCGTTCTCGTAGCCCACAGTCTCCGCGAAGGATGTCTTCTCCAAGATCTGCATACACTAGCCATTAGATCAGTCCGTTCTCCTCAGTCCTCACATAGATCTTCTTACAGATCGAGGTCTCCGACATACTCGACCATCACGTCAGAGGAAGGCGATGGTATCATTTTCTCAGAGGCTGAGATAAGGTATTGGATGATAAATGAATTACAACTGGCCTCTCCCTCCAAGAACGAGGATACAGCCCAAACTTACCTGATGAAAGATGATGACGTAGATCATATCACCATACCTCCTGTGGATCCTATCGCAGCCGTTGTTGCTAAACTGGATACAACTTTCTCCAAATCTACTAAATCCCATCTTCCTCACTTACCGATCTTCAATGCCAAGCATTTTTATGGACATAATATGGAGCCTTTTCTCAAGACTCAGGAGATTGATGAAAACTTCAAGATTATCAGTGATTCCAAGTCCAGAAGTTATAGGATTGGCGATCGCCAAGATGGCCCAGTTAGATACCATTGCCAGAAGAATGTTCTTCGGACTTAATAGATCTAGGACTATTAACTGAAACTCTCATCACCAAGTTCAAGAACTCTCACGGATGAGGGAGGACAGGATGATCTATTCAGCTCTACTTATGCAGAAGAAAAGATCAACAATTCCTTACAGACCATCTTTCAGCTCTTACTGAAACTACTACCATGTAACTCATCGTCGGCAAGGATTACTAGCCTCATGCTCTTGGAATAATCAATTCACAGAGCCCTGTACACAGCTCCATGGTCTTCACCTTTACTGTTTGGTGGCAACATTAACAAGGTCTCCAAGGAGTATCTAAAGATTCTAGAAAGTACTCATGATTAGATCTATGGATCACGTTAGCCAGCGTCTTCAAACATTCAGCACAGAGGTACTTTCGGGTAAGGCTAAATTCTCAGGGCTACAGAGAGCATGGGATAAGAAATTAGCGCCGCTAATAATCCCAAGGATTCTTTTAGTAAGCCCCTACAACAAGTTCAGAGGAGGATCAGCTAGAGGCAGATCATCCAGAGGTGGCCGATGGATTTAAGCGATGAAAGTCAGGTTCGAACGACTGAGAGTCTTCCACCCCAGTCGTCCCAGTACAACCGTCTCAAGTGGGTGGATCGACTACAACTTCACTGGGAAAACTGGGGGAATACTTCAAGACCATTATGTATCAACATCCTTGGTGCGGATATCGTCTACAACTCAAGGCTAAGCCACCGTTAACAGTCAACCCACCAGGGTTCAAGCGTTCATCTGGCACTACTACCGATGTTAAGAGAAACAGTACAGTCTCTACTAAACAAACAGGCCTTAGAAGTTCTCGATCAGCAAAACATCATACCGGGTTTCTACTCCCCAGTCTTCCTAGTGCGAAAAAAAGAATTCCAAAGAGAAGTATCGTCTCATTTACAACATGAGCACATTCAACAGAGAAATTTCTATGCAAACCACCAGCGTTTAAGCATGATACATTTACCTCAACTTAGGCTATCTAATTAGTCCACTAGATTACATGGTAAGTATAGATCTGCGGGACGCATACCTACACATTCCGATTCATCCCAGTTCAAGGAAATATCTGAGATTCATGCTAGGCGGCATACACTACCAATGGAAAGTACTTCCTTCGAAATCACTTGACCCCATGGATATTCACAAGAATAACCAAGCCTATGGTCTCATATCTACATCGTCAAGGCTCATGGAGTGCATTTTACCTAGACGACGGCATACAGGTGGATCCCACATCCACAGCGTCTCAGACTACAGCTGAACTTTACAATCAAGCTACTAGCGCGGTTAGGCTGGTTAATAAATCTACTCAAGTGGGACCTAGAGCCCACGCGGGATCTGCAGTTTCTAGGTATCACGATTCCTTACAGCTCAGAACCCGTATGATAGTCCCGAGGACAGATGGATCAAGATACAACAACTGATCCCCAAGCCCTACTCTCTCGTTACCACTCACGACAGTGGCAGAGTCTACTGGGACTACTCACATCGGCTCAAGACTTGACACTCAGAGGCAGGCTCCAATTGCGTCCATTACAAGTCCTCATCAATGCCCATCTCGAGGACTCTCTACCGTTCAGTCTACCAGATTACGTCAAACCACATCTACTCTGGTGGACCAAGAGATTGAATGTCTCGCGAGGCGTCTCCTTACTAGAGGCGAATCGAAACACATCTTTACGTGGATGCGTCACTAAAGGTTGGGAGCCCACCTTTCCGGCAGGACAGGACGTCAGGCCTATGGAGCATTCAAGAGAGCTTATGTCACATAAATCTGCTAGAGATGCAAGCAGTCATAAACGCCATAGATCACTGGAGCAACCTATTACAGAACGCTCAGTTAATGATTCATACAGACAACTCCACAGTGGCGTTCTATGTGAACAAACAAGGGTCAACAAGATCACTGAATCTACTCACTCGATGTTTCAAACTGTTCGATCTAGTCGACAGTCTAAACGTGCAGACGTATCAAAGCCTGCCACATTCAGGAGCAAAGAATGTGGTAGCAGGCGCTCTCTCGGCCACACCAACCATCGCCGACAGAATGGATGCTCCACACAGAGATATTCAATCAGATAATCATGGAAATAGGATCTCCTCTGATAGATCTATTTTGCCACCTGATTCAACAATCAACTGACAACCTTCGTCACCATGCCAGTGCCAGACCCACTAGCATGGGCAGCGGACGACTAAGCATATCGTGGGGAGGGACTAAGCAAATGCGGCTTTCCGCTTCCCGCGTTGATCCCACAAGTCTTGCTAAAAATCAGTCAAACGAAGAGCCTCGATCTCATTTGGTCTCGCGCCTTTACTGGCCAGCGAGAACATGGTTTCCAGACCTCATACGAAGAATCGGAAAACCAGTACTTCAGCTCCACTGCCCAGGCTCCAATCTACTGATACATCCGCACACCAAACAAGTGCACAAAACACCAGAAGCATTCCGACTTCGCGTGTGGATTGTATCAAAGCGTGTTGAATAAGAGAGGTTATTCCAACAGAATGCCGAAAGGCGGTCCACGCTTGCACTCACGTAACTCCACTCGTAATTTATCACGATGATAAATGGCTCAGATTTGTCAATTATGCGGCTAAGAAAGGATTTTCAGCCAGATTTGCTACACATCCTCAAGTGGCAGATTTCTTATGTTTCCTACGCCAAACTAAGAATCTCAAAGGATCTACACTGTCCACTTATCTTGCAGCCATAAGCTCAGTCATTACTATGAGAGCGGGCATCAAACTGACCAAGACACGGAGTTACTGCGCTTTGCTACGTGCGTCTTCCGATTGGAAGATCAGAAGCGGAAGTTTCAAGCGCCAGCCTGGGATCTAAATGTGGTACTTCAACACCTCACAAGTGAGGCTTACGAACCGTTGTTATCAAAAATCATATGAATCATTGACCCA